CACGGGTGCCCTTTAGCACGATTAGAGGAGTAGCTAGATGCAACTGGGGACCTCAAGATGAACTCTAAATCACTTTGTAAGGCCTTGAGCTTCGTGGCTTCTCTATCTAACATGAGAACTGTAAGATAGATATGGAAATCTATATCTTCTCTTGGCTAAAATTGTTACTGTTCCATTTATGGGAAGATTCGCTTATTTCAATTTTTTAAAATGCCCATAATTCGAACTTTTCGTGACTATTTCTGACGAATTTTTAAGTGAGCATTGATCTGTGTCAAAACTTGTCTTTAATCTTATCTCATGCCTTTTAGATTTAGCTTCTTCTTCTGTCATGTTGATACTTTGATTTTGGCCTTGTGTTGATGCTTTCAGCCATACTTATTGTGGGTTTTGACTTATATTTTTGGTCTTTTTCTAATCTATGATGTGCCGATAATCCATTGTTCTTAATGGAAGTGTTGATCCGTTACAGTGAATTAGGTGTCAACACTTTATCTGTGTATGTAGACAAATTATTTGTGGTGGAGGACGTATCAATGCATTTATTCATGTGCTTGGAAAAATCATTGATGATAGATGTAATGCTTCTACTGCTACCAAAAGTCTTGGGACTTTTGAGCAGCATAGTACATACCAACTGTTTTTCTTACCTAGATATAAGGAATGCAATTCTACTGTCTTGTCTCATCAATTTATTCGAGATGAGATCTATCGTTACTCAACAGCGTTTCCCAGATTAAGTGAAGGCATTCTTTCCAGTTCACATCCTCATGCACTCTTTCACACCCAAGACCAGTAAAATGAAAAATAAGAGAGAAAAAAATATTGTGTTCCACTTTTATCTGCCTTTCATTCTTCAGAAAATTGTTGGTGAAATGTCCTGTTTAGCTGTTTCCGTAAAAAAAAGCACTGAAACTGTGATAAGAATATCAAATAGGTACGGATTTATTCCACCTAAAATATAAGAGTAAAATATGTTAAGATGTCTTCTTGATGAAGTCATCAAATACGTCCTCTCCCTTATCTTACTTTCCTTTCACTTGTCTAGATTTTTTTTTCTTCCAAAAGCTCAATCTCTTCATTGCAGTTCAAGGTAGATCAATTCATATGTTCATGTTTATTCCTTTTCTTTTCTGTATGAACTTGGCAATAAGAATGCTTTGGGTATTCACTAAAATTATAATTTGGTTAATCGCTGGACAGAGGAGGACACATGTGCGTTAGACCAAGTCCTGATCGATTTCGTATAGACAAGGTCAAGTCTCAAGGTGCAATCAGGTTAGCTGTGGCATCAGATCCAGCAACAGATGGGTCCTGACGTTTGGAGATGGTCCCTAGGCGTATTTTACATAATTGCAGTCGCAACTATATGGATTGCTGCCAGCTATATAGTTCAGTCCGTTGTAGATTCAGGAGTATCTCCTTTCCTTATTACCTACATCTGCAACTCGTTGTTCGTGGTTTATTTGCCCATCGTTGAGATTGCAAGATTCTTTGGCGATTCCATTGAGAAGATCCAATTCCTGCCTAGTGAAGAGGATGACCACACCCAGATACATTCAGACCCAGAGAGGGTGAATCTTCTGCAGGAGAGTAATCCCTCTTCAGAAATACGTTTCTCAGCGAACCCACATGGCGATCAGTCCATAGATGCCCATTACAAATCGGCAGTCAATGCTGATGCAGCCTCAGGTGAAGAAGTGGATTCAAAGGGGCGGTGGACCCGCACCCGTGTGGCTAAAGTCAGCCTCTTGATATGCCCCTTCTGGTTCTTTGCGCAGCTCACCTTCAATCTCTCCTTGAAGTACACCACCGTGACTGTGAGAACAACCTCCCCCCCCCACCCTTTTTATTTTATTATTATTATTTTTTATTTTCTTCTGCAGATCTTTTTAACTATTAGTTTTATTTGTTTCAGTCAAATACCATCTTGAGCAGCGCATCAAGCCTCTTCACTTTCTTGGTGTCCCTGGCATTTCTTGGTGAGACGTTCACTTGGTTGAAGCTACTCAGCGTCCTCCTGTGCATGGCAGGGACGGTGATAGTGAGTTTGGGCGATTCAGAGATGGGGTTGAGCGCCATTGCCACCAAACCTCTTCTCGGAGACATTCTTGCTCTAGTTTCAGCATTGCTCTACGCAGTCTACATCACTCTGATCCGCAGAAAGTTGCCCGATGAGGGAAAAGGAGAAGGGAGGGCCAGCATGGCCGAGTTCCTTGGCTACCTCGGTCTCTTCAACCTTTTGATCTTCTCACCAGTTGCACTCATCCTGAACTTCACCAAGCTGGAGCCCTTCCGCATCCTCAGCTGGAAGCAACTCTCCCTAGTCGTGGGCAAAGGTCTGTGCTTCATCCTACTTTCCACTTCTTGTATAATTATATGCTAATTATAATGATGTTAATCCTGTCATGATCCATCCAGACCCCTCTCTCTCTCTCCCTTCCTCTCTTCTCTCTCTCCCTTCCTCTCTTCTCTCTCTCTCCCTTCCTCTCTTCCTCTCTCTCTCCTCTCTCTCCCTTCCTCTCTTCCTCTCTCTCTCTCTCTCTGCGCTTTCTATCTCATTTCTTGGAAATCTTTCTCCTCTCAGGCCTGCTGGATAATGTGCTCAGTGACTATTTGTGGGCTAAGGCAGTTCTTCTGACAACGACGACCGCAGCAACAGCAGGTCTCACAATTCAGGTCCCAATGGCGGCCCTTGTGGACTCGCTGACGGGCCATCCCCCACATCTCATGGACTACATTGGCGGCGCCGCCATCATGGTCGGATTCGCAGGGATCAGCATCCCCTCCGGCGGCTGCTGTGAGCCTCGAGCTGCACCCGAGCTCCTTGAAGCTGATCCTGGTGATGATCCTCATACCCTTTCAACTATCTCTTAACTTGTCTGCAGTATCCTCGTCTACCATGATTTCTGCCATCGGACCGAAAAAATTACACCTTTCCTTTAACCCACAAGGAAAATTAAATAATATTAATAATTGAACCAAAAAATATGGCATTTTTTTATATATAAAAAGCAGAGAATAGTTTTCGGATCTCCCCTTGCCCACTGCTACTGGGCTCTCCACATTTCGCCTTATTGGGCCTTTTGACCCCTCTCCATCAGACCAAACAAATTACACCTTTCCTTTAATCCACAGGGGAAAAATAAAAAATATTAATAATTGAGCCAGAAACATGCTCTTCCACTGTGTATGTATTTTTTTATTTAAAAAAAATCAGAAAATAGTTTTCAGATCTCCCTGTGCTTACTGCTACTGGGCTTTCCATGATTCCTGAACGGCTTTTTGCGAGCTTTGATCTCCCCATCAGATCCAAAAAAATTGAAAATTGCACCTTTCCTTAAACCCACAAGGAAAATTAAATAATATTAATAATTGGGCCAAAAAACATGCCCTTTTTTATTAAAAAAACAGAAAATAGTTTTCGGATCTCCCCGTCCACTACTTCTGGGCTTTCCACATTTCGCCTTATTGGGCCTTGTGGGCTGCAATATGGCCCCTTTCTTCTCCTAATTTGGTTATTTTAAAAATGAAAGAGTATTTTATAATTAAAAAAATGTCGGCCAACGATCCGCCCCCGCGGCGTCGCGTGTGAGCGGCGGCGGTGTGATTACCGCAGTTAAAACGTTGACTCGGGGAGTAGGTAGCCGCAGTTTTGGAGATCGGGGGTGCCCCAGGTCAGCGATCTGCACGTGGTGAGTTGTACGGATAAATTAAATGAGGCGGTGGAATTTATCATTTTATGGGATACTATTGAAAAACAAATTAGCATGCAGGGTTAATTCAAAATTTCCCAAAAGGGATCGTGGCAGTATGCTATTGGGCCGTATGGGAACTAGGTGTTTCGCAGTGAGCGTTGCCAAGTGAAAACGGCTGGATGGGCACTAATATAATAGTATTGTTTTTCTTCTAACACATCCCCAACTACAGCTGCTGCTCTATTGACTACGCGTGACGGAGAGAGAGAGAGAGAGAGAGAGAGTTGAAGAAGGAGACCTTCCCTTGGTCAGATCTCCGGTGGCCGAACAAGACCCCGGACGATCTCCTTTCTCCAAACTCCGGTCGCTGGGTTTGTTCCCCATCTCTCTTTGGTTGCCTTACGTATTCGTAATTCACGTGAGGAAACGTCTGTATTTCTCCTTCCTTGATTTCTTGCTCCGTCTCTCTGTCCCTCTGCCTCTCTCTCGCTCGCTCGCTCGCTCGCTCGCCAAATTTCTCGGTTTCGAGGACTGGTAATTATCCGCCCTTCCACAATGTATCGGCTTCCTGGAGATTCACGGGGGATCCGACGCACAGCATTTGCTAAAATATTTTGGACTGATATTTCCTTGTTTCTTCTTATTTTGAACAGGTAAAATTGTCGGCTTACATTGCCATTGATCCATTCGATTCTTGTTTGATCGGGGCTGTGCAGTTTGAGTTGGTACGGTGCGGTTAATTATCACCCAGTGGTCTTTAAAAGTTCTCCAAGATTCAGCGGCCGGGCTCAGGGGGCGACCTGCCCCTGGGGGCGGAGTTCGTTCCTTACCCGGTGGCGCGGCGAGTAAACTCGTCGCTCGCCGTCGCGATGGACGATGATCTGGAGGATCGCCCGAAGACATTTCCTAGCATGCGGAGTAAACCATATACCCCGCTGGTATGTTTCTTTCATCTACATGTGTTGCTTGGTTTGAGCGTGATTCTGCTCGTAGTACCTTTGATCATAGCTGAAATTTTGGGCGGGCTAACCTTCCAAGCGTGGATCTTTTTTTTGGAACGATCATAAAGAAACATACCAACGGGGTATACGATCAAAAGTTCATGAGCTCTTTATCTTTTGAGTTGTTCTACCGGATCGTTTCATGAGCTCTTTATATCAAGGACACTATTTGGGAATGCCCGTGCCCCACTGAATAATAATGTAAATTAAATATAAATACGAGTTATTAGATTAATCTTTTCCCTAACACGGCATGTACAGAAGAACTAGCACATTTTTCAAACTCAATTTAATGGTGCAAAGGATTGCAAGACAAATAATACTATCTTTCATGGCATATGAATTAATCATTGTCTGATTGATATGCGGTTAACATAATGAAGAATGCAAGGGATTTGTGCCAAGTTTTCTTGTGGTCATAACGCCCTTTAAATCATTCCATTTCCCACATACAGACTTTAAATTCCCATTAAACCAGTGGGTTGTCTTGGCTGTAAAACCACCGGTTTTAGCTCATGTATTGTGCTTGGGTGTGGGTGCAACTTTATTTAGAATAATTGATAGCCAGGCTCATTTACATTCAGTGTCTTCTTTGAATGTCTTTCCTGAGAATGACCTTTGGCTTTCTAAAGTTCTCCAAGGTTAGTCCACAATTCTTTTTAAGTAGTCTCTTCATCTTTTGTGTGATATCCTTTTGTTGCCTGATTGCTTTATGAAGATTTCTTGCATAGTCAACTTTGGTTAGCATTTTTGACAACTAGCATTACTTGTGCTCGATGAGCAATGATTAACCTATTGCTTTATGCAGGTTTTTCAGGTTCTCATGAGAATAAATGTCCGTGTATTATCTGTCCTCTTGTTTTTGGGTTTGGGAGTGATGTTTTACATTGGAGCACGTACATCACCTATAATTGTCTTCGTCTTCACAATCTGTCTCCTCAGCTTTCTCTTTTCAATATATCTCACAAGGTGGGTTCTTGCAAAGGACGAAGGACCTCCCGAGATGGTTCAGGTATCTTTTTATTTCTGGCCTTTTGATGGTATCTATTTTCCACTACTTTCTTGTTTTTTCACTTAGACCATATGTTTTGGTTGGGATATCCAGTCGTTGTTTACTTGTCTTTGGATGAACTGTGACTTTAATTGCTGAAATATCGTTTCAGGACTCTGATGTCCTGGAACTGCTCTTCACAGCAAGTTACGATTCACCCTTTCAGATGACCCCAATTCGATGTGAACACATACAGATCATCCTCTGGAGCTCATGGGCACTTTCATTTCGTAGATTTCCATTTTTGGGTTGATGCCGATGGATGAGTTGATGAACTTAAAGCCAATCACAATAGTATTCAGTGTTTGATCACGAAATTACATTGATGCAGGGCTATGCAACAAGCAATTGGTGCCGATCTTAGGTCTTGAGTTTGGCTAAATCATGAGAAGGTAGTATTACACAAAATAAGATTAGTTGGTCTTCCTGAATGATCTGAGAAGGTCTTTAGTATATCAACAAAAACTCATGATAATACGATGACACTTAGCACTTGCACAAGATTAAATCATTGAGATCTCTGCGTTATAGATGAAAAACATATCACGAACTATTGCAAGAGAAACTTAAATTTTTCAATCAATGATACCATAGCGTATAAGTATGAATTTATTCAGAGAAAACCAAGAATAACCCTGGTCCTAGAGACATTTCCAACTTAATTCCATTGGAGCCGAAGGTTTTCCTGAAAGTCCTACTCCAAATAGGACTCTTACAGCCTCTTTCAAATGTTTTCCCGGTCAAACACGCAGATCAAACTGTGTTATTCTCTTCAAAAAAAATTGATAACTATTTGGGAATTTTCAGAACAAATCTACGGAATGCTTTTGTTTGGGAGAATTTGGTGGCTAACCATTCAGTGAACTGTGGGGAGAAAAATGTTGTGGTTTCCAGTTGTTGGGAGAGAAAACTGTTTTCTGCCCGAGTTTGGGGGTAGGGTCTTTTGAAGCCCTTTGGGTTGTAGAAGCATAAATGGTGAGATTTTCTTCAGATGTCTCTATAGAGGATATACATTCGTGTGTTATCCCAGCTCACCCTTTTCATATGGTCTACTTTTTCTTATCTGTTATTATAAAAATAATGAATTGTGGCACCATTCATTCTAGAAAGTGGAATGAATTTTAAAAAATAAATAAATATGAAATAAATTTTGTTACCACAAGCATCTGAAAATGGAAGGCTGAATATTCCAAATGTAAATCAAAGATGCACTTAAAAATTATTTGTCAGGCAGTTCTCTGTGAAAAATGTTTAATACCTATTTGGATGAAATTCAATTTTGATGTTGTTTCTGGCCACAAGTCACCAACTCGACATGGACTGGATAAAAGATGGAGGGTGTTCTTGTTGGTTACAAATATGTTAATATCATAAATGCAGTTACCTATGTGACCAGCTATGTCAATGATTTTGTTCAGGTCAAGTAGCTCACAGGAATAATTCTTAGAAACTCCTGTCCGGATAATCCACTAAACAATGTATCATGATGACTTCTTGTTTCTCATCCATCCCTTTCACAAATTGAGGTTTTTCCTTTTTGAATTATATCTCCTGTGAACTGAATTATTTTTATTGAGTTATTTCTCCTGCGACCTGAAATCATCTTTAACATGCAGATCTCAGATGCTATACGGGATGGAGCAGAGGGTTTCTTTAGGACCCAGTATGGTACTATTTCCAAGATGGCTGTTGTGCTGGCACTGTTGATACTAATTATATATTTATTCCGTCATTTGACTCCTCAACAGGAATCTTCTGGGGTTGGAAGGTTTGGAAGCTTTCTACCTTAAGACTTATGGCCTTGCTAGCTCTCCTTCTAAATGGTGTTCACTTATACTGCAATACTGTTTCAGGACAACATCTGCATGCATTACTGTCGCCGCTTTTCTTCTAGGGGCTGTCTGTTCTGGTGTTGCTGGGTATGTTGGGATGTGGGTATCAGTTCGAGCAAATGTTCGGGTTTCCAGTGCTGCCAGACGTTCTGCCAGGGAGGCCTTGCAGGTCGTATTCAAATAATTATTATTTTTGCTGTTCAAACGTCTGTATGTGCTTAATAATCTTACGAAATAACTCATGCCAGATTGCTGTACGAGCTGGTGGGTTTTCCGCAATGATTGTGGTTGGCATGGCTGTGATTGGTGTGGCAATCCTTTATGCGACATTTTATGTCTGGCTAGGAGTAGGCTTACCTGGGTCTATGAAAGTCACTGACTGTAAGTTCATTCTCTATCATTTTATGAGCGATGATGCTCTTCCATTTATTATTGCAACTGATATCTCGTATTCTATGTGGCGAATGCTGAAATAACACATCTAGAAGCTATAGGAGTTCTGAAATTCCATACTGCTTGGTAACTTGTCTGAAGCTCAGTGTTTCAGGCAAAACCACAAGCATTCATCTGAAGAGCTGAACTTGTGCAGTTTGCTTAGGATGTTGGAACCATATTCTGAGTGACTTCAGCCCAGATGCAAGTTTTAGGATTATCTAAGAGGCCTTTAGAAAGTTCTAAGGATATCACTTTGGCTCTGGACATCAATTTCCTGATGTTTTGCTTTTTTTTGGCGAAATGGCATAAAGTTAATATCCTGCACTTGGTTCTTCTCAATCAGTGAGATTGGCCTCTCACTTTACTGAGACAAAAGTTAGATGCCTGCAGCTGGATTTATCTGAGCTGTTGTTTGTTCTTTTTACTGTTAATCGTAATCTTACAATTTCTTGTTGACCTGTGATTATGAAGGAACATGATTACTTTTTCAAGAGTAGACAATCATGATTGTCGAATTAATCTCCATATGTCAACATTTCGTTCTGCTTTCAAGAGTAGACAACTTTTTTGCTGCTTGGTGGGTCCATGTTGGTAACTGTTGCTTTGACTCTCTATACTCTGTGCAGTACCTCTACTTCTTGTGGGTTATGGTTTCGGGGCTTCCTTTGTTGCCCTCTTTGCTCAATTGGGTGGTGGAATATACACAAAAGCAGCCGATGTCGGAGCTGATCTTGTTGGAAAAGTAGAGCAAGGAATTCCTGAGGATGACCCTCGAAATCCTGCTGTCATTGCAGATTTGGTATCTCCAATTCTTTTTTACCAAAATGGTCTTTAAATTTCTTGATTTGGGTTGACTTATTTGGATATATCTTGAAGCCAACCCCAACTTTTTTCTATGTTTTGTATCATATTGTCGAAATTTATGAGAGGTTTAAAATGTTCATGGAATGTAAAAGGCCTCAAAAACTACGCATGAATATTACCCACTCATCATGGTGCTACCATTTCAAACCACTGCGCACTACTTATCTCAAAAAAGTTGTGGTTAAGATCTATAGGCCTTGCTGTATGTAATCTAGCATATTTTAGGGAATATGATTGGTTTTTTTCGCGTCAATAGTTGACAAAGTTAGCACCACTAAAGGGCTTTATAACCTGCGCCAATTCAGCCAACTACTCAAATAGTTTGAAGCTCGTGGCCAGGGATCACTATACTTTCTACCTGGTGTATTGCCATTAGTCAGTTAAACTTGAAGTCGCTCATATTGATGATGGGTAAGTGAACATTTTATATGTACATGGATAATAATATTGAGGAATGATATTCTTGACTTGGAATTGATTCACTCACCTGGTTGTTGATCCCGGTGGATCCATAGAGGAGGATATGGTTTTTTTTACTAAATACTTGGAAGCCATACACTTTTGTTACATTCTCTAGTATTTCAAAATTTTAACCTTTTGGCGCTGTTGTGCACCATAAGAATTTTCATGAGCCCATGATAAAGGAGTTAACTATTCGGAAGAAAGTGAAAATGCAAAATTGCTACAGTGAGTTTCTTAATCCAAGTATTGCAAAAATCAGAAAGGTTCAGATTTATCATTGTTGTCTGCCTCCTTCCTTCCTTTAGTTCTGAACAGTGCTAGAATCAGACTTGCTCTCCTTTCCTCTTTCATTTTAGATTGGAAAGAGCTGATGTCTATCAGAATAAGTTGATTTAAATATGGGTCGACTAATTTAAAAACTAGAAAGTAGAGCCTTTTCTTTTTTCACAAAACTGCATAGTAGATGATCTGAGGATGAATTGATTCCAACATCAAAGATGAAGGTAAGTTCATGGCTGCAGCCTTTCATTTTCTTCTCGTTGTAGAACCTTGAGCAACATCTTGTGTCTTGACTGGGTTGTCACACTGGCATGTATTTTCCTAATAGGCGAAAAATTCTTCTTGAATGACATTTTTTTTATATATCTTTGTTTCATTTTATGATAACTTGGTTGTGCTTGAACTGTGAAATGTGCTAGGTTGGAGACAATGTGGGAGACTGTGCTGCCCGAGGTGCTGATCTTTTTGAAAGTATTTCAGCTGAGATAATCAGTGCAATGATACTTGGAGGTACAATGGCAGAGCGCTGCAAATTAGAAGGCAAGTAGTAGAAAATTAGAATTCAATAACTTCCACTGACTACCCCCCCCTCTAATGCTAGTCCATCTCAAAATTTAATTATTTCTCAAATCATAAAATTGTGCCCACCCACATTGTTGTCAGTTTAACCATTGTTGGGCAACTCAATCCAATTTGAACCCACTCTGATGATCCAATCCTCGAAACATTATTTTCAAGTGTTCAACTATTGTTTTCTGTATTCCAATTCTTGACACACGTCCAGATCACCCTGTTCAGAAGTAAAGAGAATTTTTTCATCTCAGTCAGTGTTGTCTGGAACGCTGGACACCTTTATATATGCATACATAATCTGCTATGTGTATATCTGCCCAATTTCAAATTCCAAGGCATGGAAATTATTTACTTATTGCTACTGCTATTGTCTTTGAGTGATGGTTTTTTTCTCACGTATCGATGTAAATATTCTTTTCAACTACTTTCATCGTGTCAATATAATCTTTACAAGTCCAACGTTCTACACGATACAATATATCTGGTCTAGTTTTTGTTTTATAATTTTTTTCCTTTCAATCTAGTTGGTATGCCTTGCACACACAGTACTCCATGAACCACTTTGATTTTGACCAATCATTCCTAATCCGCTTACTCGATATTTATCTGGACAGTTCAGACCGGCAATTGATCATAACTGAACGGGGTGCTGTAAATGTTCATTGGCCCTTTTAGTTTCAGAGCCCCTGGTGCATATTTTCGTAATCCCAGCTTATGCTCTAATCTTACTATATCTGTGCATGTTAACCCGAAATTATATGCTATAGCAGATGTACAAAATTATATGCGTGGTACGGAGATACAGATTCGATGGGCCTCGATATATGTCATACACGGATGGAAAATTGTTTGGTTTCGATTAACTTCCCTCGTTTCAGTCATAATTTCTTCATCCTTAATGATTATGATCATATCCTCTTAGTTCTCTAATCTTGTATGATGTCACCAACAACATTGTAGTTCAATCCACTACCCACCAACCTCGATCTAGACTGCTCCAACGCAATTCTACTTGGTTTCTAAAATTTAGCCACAGAAACCTTGGTGGCGATGTTTATTTTTCCGCTAAACCTGAAGATACGCACATCATAACCTTGAGATGCCAATCTCTAGTGACCTGATGTGGTGCCAATAGTTGGACAGATATTTGGACATAGTCGTCTTAGTATATCCTTAATGGTTAACAAGTTTTCAATGATGTAGCTAAAAGTTTCATCTTTGCAAGCTTATCTGTTCTGATTTTTTTAAACATTTCCTTTTCACTACTTATTTTATCAATTGCTGATGTACACTTTGATATTATTGCAGATCCCTCTGGGTTTATCCTGTTCCCACTGGTCGTCCATTCTTTTGATTTGGTTGTATCATCAATAGGACTGCTTTCTATCAGGGGTACACGTGAACCTGGACTCAAGGCTTCTTCTGAAGATCCAATGGCAATACTACAGAAAGGCTATTCTGTGACAATTTTCTTTGCTGTCATAACTTTTGGTGCGGTGAGTCTTGAGCATGTTCATACGACCTAATTGTTTTCGTTTAAAAAGTATTCTGTCTTATATGGTTTTGAATCTGTTTCTGAGACCTAGACAATGTTTCCTTAGTAGAAGAAAATATTTTTGATTTAAAAATAAAATAAAATTGGCCAAACTTTTTGGGTTATTCAGATGCTTTCCTTCTATTTCGACTTGTTCAGCTAAAATTTGTCTCATAAAGATGGAGCAGGGTTTATTTGTCTAGCTTTACGAAATTACACGGGTGCTACTTTATTTTCTCATTTCACTTTTCGTCTCTTAATGTCTTATCACAGTCAACTCGCTGGCTCCTTTACACTGAGAAAGCTCCCTCAGCATGGTTGAATTTCGCACTCTGTGGTCTGGTTGGAATAATAACAGCCTACAGTTTTGTTTGGATCACAAAGTACTACACAGATTACAAGCACGAGCCTGTTCGCAATTTAGCCATGTCCAGCTCTACTGGCCATGGAACCAATATAATTGCAGGAGTAAGCTTGGGCTTGGAATCAACAGGTCTCCCTGTTCTTGTGATAAGCGTCGCCATTGTCTCAGCGTTCTGGTTGGGGCAGACTTCAGGCTTGGTGGATGAATCTGGGAACGCCACCGGTGGTCTCTTCGGTACAGCCGTAGCTACAATGGGAATGCTCAGTACCGCGGCATATGTTCTCACAATGGACATGTTCGGACCCATTGCTGACAATGCTGGTGGAATTGTGGAGATGAGCCAACAGGTGAGATAAGAGTCACACTTTCTGATGTCTGAACCCATCTAAGGAACATAAAATCATGATATCCCCCATCTATGGAATTGTGCTGAAATGTGACAGACTGTGGAAACTAAGTAGCCTGGTAGGGTTATTCAGGCCAATGGTATCTAAATTGGCACCATCTTTATCTTGATTATTATGATCTTGTGCAGCCTGAAAGCGTCCGGGAGATCACTGATCTACTAGACGCCGTCGGAAACACCACAAAAGCTACCACAAAGGGCTTCGCCATTGGGTCTGCAGCCCTCGCCTCCTTCCTCCTCTTCAGTGCCTACATGGACGAGGTCTCCTCCTTTGCTCGTATCCCATTCAACCAGGTACCCTCTGATCGCAAAAAGCTCTCTTCTTTTCTCCTTCTTCTTCAAGGTCATAACCGATCCACGACCTCAATGAATGCCCAGGTTGACATTGCCATTCCTGAGGTCTTCGTCGGTGGGCTTCTGGGCTCCATGCTCATATACGTCTTCAGCGCCTGGGCATGTGCTGCTGTTGGGAGGACCGCCCAGGAGGTTGTCACCGAAGTCCGGAGGCAGTTCATCGAGAGGCCCGGCATCATGGTGCGTACGATCTCCTGGCTCATTTCAGTAGATCAGCTGGTTCAGGGATCAAGCCTGATCATTCCATTCATTGCTGCAGGATTATAAGGAGAAGCCAGATTATGCCCGGTGTGTCGCCATCGTTGCCTCCGCATCCTTGCGGGAGATGATAAAGCCCGGCGCCCTCGCCATTGTTTCCCCTATAATGATCGGTGAGCTCACATGCACATACATACATACATATATATATATATATACATATAATTTAATTTATTTGGTAAGTTTCCAAGTATGATGATTAGTAATATGAAACCCATCCGAGTGAAAAATATTATTGCTTGATTTTATGATGTATCTGAAATATGTATATGAGGAGCATTTGATTTTCTTTAAAAAAAATTATTTTATTTCTTTCATTAATTGGGACTGCAGGGTTCGTGTTCCGGGTGTTCGGGCACCTAACTGGGCAGCCGCTTCTGGGCCCCAAGGTTGTGGCGTCCATGCTCATGTTCGCCACCGTCTCTGGTATCCTCATGGCCCTCTTCCTCAACACCGCCGGCGGCGCCTGGGACAACGCCAAGAAATTCATAGAAACCGGCGCTCTCGGTGGCAAGGGCAGCGACAGCCACAAGGCCGCCATCACCGGAGACACGTAAGCAATCCACCTACTCTCTTTCTCTCTCTAAATGTTTGTATGTGTGCATGTATAGGTGTATAGATCTAGAGAGAGATTAATTATGGTGGGTATGGGTATGGATTGATTTCTCGCAGTGTTGGGGATCCTTTCAAGGACACGGCGGGACCGTCGCTTCATGTTCTGATCAAGATGCTGGCGACAATAACCCTGGTAATGGCGCCCGTCTTCCTCTGAGAGCCTCGTCCGCCGCTCCTGTTCCGCTTCTCTCTCCCTCTCTAACAGAACCCAGAGAGAGGGCCGGCAACGATTCTTCCCATGCTCCGAGGTTCGCCCGGTTACTCTTCCCCCTCCCCTCCTTTAAAGGAATGATTTTGACTTTGATCAGAACGGAGAGAGCCTCTCTCTCTCTCTCTCTCTCTCTCTCTCTCTCTCTCTCTCTCTCTCTCTCTCTAAGACCAGAGGTTTCAGATGTGCACATTTTTGCGTCCTTCTTCGGGAAATTGAGACGAAACAGTGTTCCTTATTGATTCTATGTTGGTATTGGATGCCCAAGACCGGAGCAGTTGGATGCTCTGCAGCTGCCATGTGGCTGGGCCTCTGGGCCGTCCCGAGCTTGTGTTTCGAGATTGAAGTCCGCGGGTATGGGAATTGGGCTGGCAGAGTTGGGCTGAGTTGGGCCAAGCTTAAAGTTTTTTTTCAGACGATTTAGAGGCCCAACTGCATATATAAATTGGGCCGTGCCTAGATTCTGGGCCATTCGAGTTGGTCGACAACCTTTCCGGATGATGACTTGGTTTCCCCTCTGCAATAATATAATAAACCTTGTAACTTATATTTTTGCGCTAATGCTCCTTTGTCGTTTTCTCTCTCTCCTTGTGCTGGAAGAGTTGAAACGAGAGACGAAAAAGTATGAGTTTTATGTAATTTCAGTGATGGTTCTTTTGAAAAGAAACGAATCTGCCCGCCCAATTGGATCTCTCTCTCTCTCTCTCTCTCTCTGACTTGATTCCCCCTCAGCAATGGGGTATGTATAATAAAACCTTATAAGTTATATTTTTGCGACAATGCTCCTTTGACGTCTTTTCTGTCTCCTAGAGTTAAAACGAGATACGAAAAAGTATGGGGAGTTTTTATGCAATTTCAGTGATGGTTCTTTTGAGAGCCAAAGAATCTGCCGCCCAATTGGAGATCTCTCTCTCTCTCTCTCTCTCTCTCTCTCTCTCTCTCTCTCTCTCTCTCTCTCTCTGTGACTTGTTTTCCCCTCAGCAAATGGAGAATATGAATAATAAACCTTGTAAGTTATATTTTTGTGCTAATGATCCTTTGTCATCTTCTCTATCTCCTCATGATTGAAGAGTTGAAACGAGATACGAAAAAGTATGGGGAGTTTTTATGCAATTTCAGTGTCTTTTGAGAAGGAAAAGAATCTGTTGCTCAATTGCATCTCTCTCTCTCTCTCTGACTTGATATCCTCTTAGCAAGTGGGTATATATGTCATAGACCTTGTAAGTTATATTTTTGCGCCAATGCTCCATTGTCGGCTTCTCTGTCTCCTAGTGGAAGAGTTGAAACGAGAGACAAAAAGGTATGGGGATTTTTATGCAATTTCAGTGATGGCTCTTTTGAGAAGGATCGCATCTGCCGCCCAATCGGATATCTGCCTCCTTCCTCTCTCTCTCTCTCTCTCTCTCTCTCTCTCTCAAGCTCGCTCGCTAGCTAGCTCGTCGGAACCGATATGGAGTGGGCGGAATTTCCGGGCTTGGAGGAACCCATTGATGAGGAAGAGATCGAAATTGTTGTCAGAGGCGCATCACCCGTAGCCTCTGCTTCTGCTTCCAAGAGGCGGGGGAGAGACACCGAGAGATCTGTTCCCATCCTGAACGGAAGCGATGATGACAGGAAACAGGGGATGATCCGCCGCTCACAAGGCCGTCGGTTGCCGAAGTGGGGAGCGGCTGCGGATAGAGGAACATCTGCTTCATCTTCCCGAACCGTTACTGAGGCGGATAAAAGAACCACGACGGAGGCTCGAACTGGCGGCAGCAGTGGGAATGGAACGTGGAGGGCATTGTCACCTCCTTCATCCCGTCAGGGTTTGTCCTCTCTGTCTCCGATTTGATTGACTCGTGAATGAATTTAGACCCTTTTATGCACTTATTTTATGTTGGTGAAGTCGTTTGTTCTATATTTTTTAAAATGTATATGACAGTTGATGTTCGGACCTGTCTAGTAGTTTTCTTTTGGAAATTGAGGGGTAATATTAGTCTGAACGCGTACGGAAATAGGCTTTGAATCTTGAATCAATCCACATTGACAGTAGATTATTTTGACAGTAAATTGAGGGGTGACATTTTCTAGTAGATGATTTTGACAGGATGCAATCCGTTTTCCGATCCCTCACATATTTTTCTTTTGTCTTTCAACTTCCTCATTTTTGCTCCACTATTTTTCGCCTATGAACTTGGCTCGTGCCACCTGTGCGACCGGGGGCTGGATATCGATGGATTGTGGTTTCTTCTTCCTCGGTAAGCAGGCAGTTTCTTGTTATTTTCCTACATCTCTACACAGATTTATATCCAACAGATGAGGCTCCAAAAGAATCAAAGTAATGCGACTTCCCAATGATCTTTGAGTGTCTCGAGTGAGACGTTATTTTTTTTTATTATTTCTCTTTTTTTTTAACGTGTTGGAAAAGTTTCAGTTGTGGTTCCTTTCTGGGTATTGTCCCATTTTTTGCTTACATCTGACTCGTCTTTGTCTATACATTCTTGGCGCAGACCACGTAAATGCCTTTTGTGTACATTCTAGGGTCTTTCATTTTGTATACTCGTCCCCTTTTGTCTATCACAATATTATTTATTACAAATTTATTCTGAAAAAAAAATGGTCGTCTCAATTAGATTCATACGCCTCGATCCTTAAGTACGCATGAACTTTCCTGGAACGTTTTTGGCCTCTATGCTATGATATAAATTGAAGAGTTGGCTCTATTTTTGTTTAGAAATGAGATATGCTTTTAATCATGGAACAATGACTTATTTATTTAATAAATCATATATGCTATTCACGTATTATTATATTTTCCTAATGCAGTAGATTCCAAGGTGAAGTACCCTCTCATGTCTTTTGGAGGGCGCATTGTCTATGGAAGAACATATTCGGAAGTAGAGAAAGCTACCGTGGAGCTTATGGAAATCCTTAAATCCAAGAAACAGAATATGGACAAAATTTCATTGGGATTTGATATCGAATGGAGACCGAATTTTAGAAAAGGTATGTACCTCTCGTTAGTACCGAATTTTCCAGTTAGAATTTATGTTTGACCATGGCCATACCCATAAGAAACTATACTCCTATTTTTTTATTTTTAAGTTAAATTTTGTGGTGCACCTCAAGAAATTATGTATTGTGGCAGCATATGATAGGCTGTGTAGTCTGTGCATGTGTAACAATTGTACACAATGATATTTTGTAGAAGTCCAATGGAACTTGTCATTTGCTAAAACAGAGATATTAGTAGAAGATTCTCTGGAACATACGCTCTAGTATTTGACACAATCAGCAGAACTCTTTCTGTTTAATCGAGGGTCGGTTGGTATCTCGCAGAGATTTGAAAGAACTCTAATCGCATACTGCTATTATATGTTATATTTCCTGCTTCTATTATTTGTCGCTGTGAGCAATCCTTAACAATTATTGTCTGTTAAGCTTTCCTTAAGAATTCTGGAATGTGCAGGAGAAACACCAAAGAAAGCTGCAGTGATGCAGATATGTGTGGATACCGACCATTGCTTTGTGATGCACATCTTTCATTCTGGAATTCCTTCGACTTTAGGATCACTTATGGCTGATAGGTCTTACGTCAAGGTTTTTTTCTGTATCCTTCTGGTATTTCAAGGTCTGCTGTTTGTCTCAGTTTTTTTTGAGCTGGAAGATTCTCTCTACTGTTTTTTTTTTATGGAGCCAAGGAAAAAGAGCTGATTCTTTTTATTATTATTATTATTATTATTTTTTGGTGGAGGGAGGGGGTAAGATTAGTTTCTAGAATGACCTACTCCATCCTGCTGTGGGATATGGCTATTGCTTGTGGGTTTCTCCTGCACGACCTATGGGGATCGCATGTTCTTTGTCATTCTTATAGATCACTTGGTAATACTCTCTTTTGAAAAATAACAAATTTGTGTCAATTAGTGACGCGTGCTTTTACTGTATGAAGGTAGGAGTCTCTATAGCCAGTGATGCAGCGAAGATTTCGAGGGACTACAATGTTAATATGACATCTTTGGATGATCTCTCAGATTTGGCTAATCTCAAGCTGGGCGGTTCTCGAAAGCAATGGGGTCTTTCTTCTTTAACTGAAACACTTATTTGCAAGCAGGTAACCTTGTTGCCTCTTTCCTTTTCCAAATTCGGCTCATCCTAATATCCTTGGTATTGGTGTAGAAATTCTTATTCTAGAACTATCAATCGTATGCACAGAAGGAAAATGTTGTGCTTTTGTTGTCGGAAAGATATATTCTCACGTACTTTTTTTTAGCATAAATAGCTTAATTAAGCATAGAAAAGGCTTGTTCGGTATAGAAATTATGAAGCCTGTTGGAATACTATTCTTATTAACAAATGAGCAAATCATTAGGATTTAAAAGGTGTTTCATGTCCAACATAATGATAATACAATAACTTCCAATAAGTGAACACAAGCCTCTAAATTAACCAAAGGTGGTGAACAAAGCTGTAAATGGCCGCCTTATCTTGTCTACCAAGACTGCATGTGAGGTGGGAAAAAAGGTTAATTCCAGAATTGCCGTCTTTAGGGTTCCGATGGTTATGATTGCTTAATGTTGTCTAGTTTGCAAGGAAATATTATGGAAGAAAGTCCAAAGCTTACATCCGGGGACCTATAGAATGATGGAGAAGATCAGAATGAACAACAGATTCAAAGAAAAGCATAAATATTTTCTGCTTTTCATAGAAAGTGTAGACGATTAATCCTGATTCTGGCTGTCTAATATCAAAATTGGCTATAACCCAAATCTTTGTTTCAGTTGGCAAAGCCCAAGAGGATCAGAATGGGAAACTGGGAAGCTAAGGTGCTCTCAAGGGAGCAGCTCCACTACGCTGCTACAGATGCTTTTGCTTCCTGGTATTTGTATGAGGTAAGATCTCAATGAACAACTTGTTCGATCACCACAGACTACTGCACATCTACATTTTTCTTGGTTCCCTTTTTTGCCTCATGTGTTCCATTACATGGGTACTTTTTAGGTCTTAAGGAATTTTCCTGAGGCAGTTGGGGGTGATGAAAATGGGCAGTCTCCGGAGGTAGCCCATATAAGGAATAGGGATGCAGTATCAGCCGCCTCCCAAATGCATATTCGCTGAACAAGTAATATGTAATGTTGGGGAAATCTGGATCATCTGAAGTCCCTTTGTAATTGGGCAAACAATTCTGGAGGGGTTGTATGTTTTTAATGGTTTGATTTTATTTGGGTAAATTTTGGGATCACAATGTTCCCATTTATGTACTCACCCATAATTTTACAGGCTACATGGAAGGTAATTATCATTTCTCTCATTGATTTTTATGAGTCAAACTGTCCCTCAGTCCTTTCCCACGTGATCTAATTTTAAAATTAGGCACAAGATCTGATCTCATTCCTAATCACATCACATATTTGGTATCTTTCCCATTATGGACTTGTATGGGGTTCAAAGAGACCTGTGACATTTCGTATTCCCAGCTAGCTTTCCTTCTTTGTTCACATGAACATGATAACCAAGAGGGAGGACTAAAAGAGGTTCACCATCTTTCATTACTAGTGGTCCCCCTCTTAAAACATACTATGAGAGCCCCTCCTAGTTGTTACACCCCACAGGTGACTGTTGTCCTCCTTGGGTTGCTGATGAATGTTGTCTGGAGTGTCCGGCTGTCCATTGCAACCACCTCATATGTTGCACCATTTGAAGGGAAGTGAAGTACTACTACAACTGAAAGTTGGTCAATTAAACCTCGAATGGGAAAGTTAATCAACTAAAAGTCAGTTAATTGAAAGTTAATCAACTGCCTGTTAAAAGGGAAGTGATGTACAATTCCAACTAAACCTCAAATTACCATGTCTTTCACTCGGTACCAAGAAATCTTTTCTTGAGGTTCCTCTCATTAGAGTAAAACATTCATATAACAGTTGAGGTTGTGGTGATTGTCCTCATCGATTATTTAATGTTTGAGTATCTTGAAAACTCTCTTGGAGAATATGGTGGTAGTTGTGGGTAGGTGTTGTTTAGGCAGGTTATGTTGTGAATTAACTATGTCATCCTTGTATCTCTTGAGGAGTTATATGTGAAAGACCGAGTGAATAAATAGGCATGATGGAAGTTTCAGCTTGTAAGTCACCACTTCTATTCCTTCTAGTGTGATGAAGGGGCCCTCATATCTTGGGAGAAGTCTCTTTTTCTTCATGATATATTGTGTACCCATAGATTTTTAGGTGCATTTATAGTAATACTCGATTGCCCACTTAGAATTCAACTTCTCAATGGTGTCAATTGGTCTCCTTTTTCTTTGGTCGATGACCATTTTTGAGTTATTTTTTGCCTCCTCTAACATCTTCATATCTTTACATGTCAATCTTGACATTGCATGACAGTAGTTAGGGACACCAAATAGTCATAGAGACATTGTTGACACCTCATTGCTAGCTTGAATGAAGAGTAGTATGTGGTGCTACCACATTATAAGTTGTATGATAATTGTACTATGTATAGTAGTTCCATCCAATTTTTATGAAAATGGCTTATATAATATCTTTTAAACTCACCTTGTGAAGTAGGTGTCACAGTTGTAAATGATGATCCGAGGTAAGCATCAATTTTTGATGACATGATTGAAGATCAATTAAGCCACATCTTCCATCATGAAGCAGCAGTTTGTTGGCACAGAAATCTTATATTTAGATAGGTTGTCAATGATCACCTAGATAGAATTTTTCAGTTCATTCTTAGGAAGATAAGTGATAAAATCTAAAGTTATAATGTGCGACGATACCTCTTATATCAGTAGTGGTTGTAGGAGACATGCTTGTCTTCAATATTTCATTGTCTTCTCAACAAATGAGGCATGACTCCATATAAAATTTCACATCCTTTTCTATCCTTGGTCATAAGTAACCTCGATTGAAAAGTATAAATATCTATTGTTGTCTGAAATTTTGTGACCATAGTGCATCATGCACTTTTGTGATTAATTTTTATCAAAAATTCCCAATGATCTAAATATGTCCGATGTCTTCTTACATATATATATAATGTCATCATCTACCTAGTCACATCACGTACATTAATATCCTTTATGCACCCCATTTGAATTTGTTAAAGGAATTATATTGTGATACCAATTCTCATAACACATTCAAGATTGTGATTGTCTCACCTACTCAAAATGTATGTGATAATATTTTATACTTCTAGTGTGTTGTATTATGAAATCATAATTTTTCAAGAGATACCATATAATTGTGTCATTATTATTTTGGCATGTATACTGAAATAGTTGACTGCCACATTATCTGTGGAAATCCTGAAATATTTTTTTAACAAATAATGTTCCAATATATAGAGAGAGATTGTATGATGATAGTCATCTTCTGTTTGTGTATTGAATAATTATGTTAAACATCATTAGGTTTCATGCTCTCTAAGGGGACTGTAAATTTTAATTGAGGACACCACCAACAACATCACTGGTGATGTATGTGTACCCAATGAATGGCTTGATGAAGTTTGGGAATCAAAAAATTAATTTAGTCTCAATACCTCCCTTTAACATCAAGAATGTTCCAATGCATATATGCCATTGAAGTTGACCATTGAGTGATTACTTTCACTTCAGAGTTGTCCATCCACATTCTTCATTTGCCAATTATATGTCTCATAATTTTTATCTCAATTGTTCAATCCATCTCTATTGTTCATCCTTGTATAAAAGGTTAATGAGTAAAGTAGCTACCCTCAAAACACATTTAATAAATTCATTGTAATAATTAGCAAGGCCTAAAAATGGCATTTTTTATTTCATCAAGGTCTACCATTAAGTGATTACTTTCACTTTATAGTTGTCTATCCAACATTATTTATTTTTTAATTATGTCCCATAAAGTTTATCCCAATTGTTATAAATAGGTACTTTCTTGGGTTCAAAGATAGGTCATGTTGATGGAGTAAGTTTAACATGATGCAAAGGTGCTTCAAATATTCTTATATGTTGGCTGTATATCAAGATGTCATCCAAGTAGATGACTAGAAAGACATCTAAGTACAACTAATATATATTTATATATATATATATATTTCTTGAGCCTTTGTCACTTGGGCAAAACTTTTTAAGAGACCACTCATCTCAATACTTCACACACCTTAGTACTTATGCTTGATAATTGTCTTAGGTCAAACTTCTCAAGAGGTCACCCATCTTAGTGCTTCACACACCTAAGCACTTGGTAGAGGTGGTGCCTTATAGTGCATGATAATAACAAGGGTACTCAAGGCCTTCCCACAAAGTCACCTAGTTTGGGACTATTATCACCCGAGCACACTTACTTAGTGAGTTTTTTTCTTAGCATTACGGTAAGACAACTACTTAGGGTGATTAGATTGAAATATTACATTTATTGAAGTGCAGAAGTTAGTTAGGGCATTGGTTACTCCAAAGGAAACCATAGTGAATTTGTACAACCACTATCTTGTTACACATGTTATCTTTAGTCCGTCACCTTCTCTGATTTAGACTTAATGATATCTAACTCTTTAAGTCAAATTTTGAGAAGACTCTAATCACTCTCAATAGATCAAAAAAGTCATCTGCATTTAGGACATAATACTCCATGCATAACTTCTATTTCGTCCTTCTTTTTCTAGAAAAGATAAGGGCATCAAATGACAATTTAGATGATTGTAGACATCCTACTTCAATTAGTACTTACTTAAACTTATACATAGGCTATTTCAAGATCTTATACATCCATTATCTGTACTTTAGCACGTGCCCAAGGTTGGAGTTCAAAAAGGAAGAAGTAGAGCTGATTTTCTCTCCCATTTCTCAAATATCTAGCATGAGGATCTTGAAGCTTTCAACATAGTTGCCGATGGACCCAATGTGCTTGAGCACTAGCATCTCATCTATGGTGATGTCTACTTGACTGGCTAGCTTGAAGTGGCACATGAATTTCATCTCGATATATCTTCCCAAGTTCTAGATATATCTTCATGTTCCCTATGAGGAATATACTAGCAGCTATCAATCATTCTCCGTCTTTCGCTTCGTGGTGTTCTATGTATTCTTGAAGGTCTTAGATGAGGTTGTCAACCTCGAATGCATTGCAGGACAATAATAAGTAGTTTGGGGTCAAGTATATGGGGGGGACTTTCTTCTTTCATTCATTAGGAGGTCTCCTCCTTAGTTGGTGGAGTTCATTTACAAGGCTTCAAGTATACTCTCTAATGATGTATGTATGCTCTGGCTATTAATCTCTCTCTACATTTTGTTCAGCTTGGTGATCATTAGTCAAAAGAGTGTTCTTGAGTTGATTCCTCAACAGTTCTAATGTCTCTGTTTATTATTGTTGAGATTGTTCTAATATCCAAGCATTCGTCTCTTCTAGGCGATGTTCCAACTCCTCACACTCAGGATATGGCTTCCATTTTTCCAATATAGAGTCCTTTTAAACCCTTATAACTCTGATAGTATTAAGCTGTAAGTTCTAAGAAATCTTCTATTCCCAACTACCCTTTTCTTTTGCTCACATGGACAAGGTAACCAAAAGGGAAGACTAAAAGAGAATCATCATCTTCTATTGCTAGTCTGGCTCCTCTATTTATGATTCGAGGTCCCTCCTAGTTATTACACCTCATGGGTGGGTGACTATTGCCTTTGCCAGGTAGCCATTAGATGCCGTCTCACCATCCCTTAAGGTCGCCAACACACCTAAATCCTCATTCTCGCCATGGCACAAGAGCTGCTCAATACTTGCCCCTTTTCACAAACCGTGCTTTTCTGTCCACACTCCATGTCTGCATATGATTCTGTGATTCCCTTGTGTCAACCTGGACATGGGTGAGAGATAGGAAATGCAGAAGATGACATAAGTCTCCCCCCCCCCCCCCCTCTCCCCAATTCATCCTGTTCAATTCACAACCTTGACCTGTGACGGTATGCTTTTTATTCAGTCAGGGAATTCCTATCAAACCCAAATGCCAAAGTGACCAAAAGAAGAAGCGGGCATACCCCTTAAAAACTACGTGACAAAACTACTGCAAGTGACATTACTCACAAAGACTAGCAATATTTTGAACCTGAAGGGATAAGAATGCTACTCCGGGTTCAACGACGGGGGGGAAAGAATCACATAGAAAATAGTCAATTCAACGACGACTTCTCTGAGTGCATCAGAACAGCAGAAGAGCGGTGCATGTAAATATTAACAAAATAAAAGGAAAAGAAGTAGAGGAACTTCAGTCTACCATGAAAATAATATGAAGTAAGAAAAAAAATAAAATAATAACAATAACAAGACATGAATGAGGAATTCTGTATAGATTGCGTTCATATAATTGCTTTGTTTTAAACAATGCCGATGTCTTTACAACGGGGACAAGGAGGGGATGGTGTAGAAATGGCTCCCCAAACGAAATAAAACGGTACAATTGATCGGCTTTGCTGCTATCTTTTACTACAAAGAATGCTGCCCACTTCTAAAAATACCAACTTCACCCAACGGGAGGGAGGGTAAATCCCAACCCGACTATTGCCTAGAATATTTTACACAAGACGAAGAATAATTTTACAAACACCGCGGAGGGAAATCAAATGGACGGATTTACAGCTCTTGAGGTGGATAAAAATGAGAATTGGGTAGAAGGCATGAATTGTACCAGCGCAGAATAACCAGGGAGAATGGTACTCTCTTTGAGGTCCGAGCCTCACTCCTGTAAAAATTGGAAGGCTGGATTACTGAGAAGCTCCTCTGCTGGTTTAACCTCTACAAAGTCCTTATCTTGTATCGAGCCGGATATATCATCGACCGAAAATGGAATGCTGCATAGAAAATACCGCATTTGGGTATGTTATCATATACTCATTTCTACGAGATCACACAAATTTAGTACCCTTCTTTTTTCTTTTTTTCTTTTTTTCTTTTTTTTTCTTTTTTTTTTACCTGGAATTGTCGTCCAACAGGAAAGCATTACTAGCAGGATTACTGGAGTCCTCTGTCATTAGTATCCTCATGCTGGAAAGAACCTGCTCAGTAAGGGAGAGAAAGCAAAATGAAAAGGGACTGGTGAGGCTCTTCTCATTACAAACAATAAAAACTTAAAACATTACCCTCTATGTATAGAAAGAGCTATTGCTAAAGGGAGAAAGCAAACTTGGAATGAGATTGTATGCGGATGAAATAAATCGTTCCTAGGTAGAGCTAATATATTTGGAAAAACTATTTTCAGAAGAGGACCCTACTGGTAATCTTTACTTACATTTGAAGATACACTTTGCGTGTTATATTTGTCATCCCAGTACTGCGTGCAAATTCTATAGAGCTGCTGGACGCTCAGAACCTGCAGGTGCCAACAATTAGTGCAATGGGAGACCACACCTTGGCCATATAATCAAAACATGAGGAGTGATAGAGATAGACAGATAGTTGGATGAAAGGGATAGATAGCTATCAGAGAGAGGGAGGGAGGGAGGGAGAGGGAGAGTATGACGATGATGGTCGCCAAAGAATAGTCTTTCCAATTACCGGGCAAAGATCGTTGACAATGTCGTCGAAGGAAATACGATACTTCTGGAAGATTACCTGACCATGAAAGAAAAACTAGCATGAAGCAAGCAAAAAAAAAAAAACTCTCATGAAAAACCTTTGCAAGAATCCAAATGACATTTTCAGCCAAGAAAAGCTGTAAGCATGCATAACAATATGCAGTCTATTCAAACACAAGCAACAAGCAAGAAGATAAGCCTAGAACAAAAACTGAAATACTAAAATTACAACAGAACTTAGATGGCATTGAAACGAGTAAAGTTTGAAGATATCATCTTCCAGAACTTAGATGCCTTACAGAGGCGACAAGGAACTAATGGAATGTCTGAGTGTCACAGAATTTTTACATACCAAGAATCCTACAGCTTGCCTGATGTGCTTAAGCTCATCCCAAGCAGATCCCGCATACTGAAATATGCAAAAAAACTCAAATAAAAAATCAACCACGAACATTCTATAAGACGCAATAAAATGCAAAAGGTTATCACCTCTGGTTTTGCTTTGGCACACCATAGCTCCAGTTCTGCAATACCAGCTTTCACATATTCACCATTGCTGAAGGAACAACATTCACGACGTAGTAGAAGACTGAAGCAGAGAAAAATATAATATAAACAGTTAAGAATTTTCCATACATGCATGACAGCGGAAAAAACCAAAAAAAAGATAAAATCTGACCTGTTGAAAAGTTGGACATTGATAAACGAGAAAATCTGGGTAAATATTTTCTGCATAAGAATTGAAGGCACCTGGAGAACAGGCCGGGTTAACAAGATACAGTAGAATATAATTCAATAGCCCATGCTTCAGGTTTCATAAAAATACTCACAAAGTTCTCCTGCAAGGTCTTGAGAAGAGCGTCAAGGCTATCAATAATGCTCTGCCAATGACCACTTGAACTGTGACTACCAAATGAGCGACCGGAGCTTCTCAGTGTACTACCTCGACTTGTTCGTGGTGCCTGAGAATTCAAATCAAAGAGCACTTGAAGGTAAATATTTCTAGGTATATTTTGGGTGGTTAGGTGAATAACAGAATAAAAAATCCAATATTCTATGGATTTTTCAATACCCCTGGAAATTAGATACCACTTTTCTGTGGGTTACCTGGATGCATAGCGATAGTAGAGAAGTCAAATCTCTCTTATGATTATCACGAAGAATTCCATATATCTTCTCCACATAAGCAGTCAGCTGCTGCTTGAAAAGCAATGCGGGATACTTGGCCTCAACGTGGCGGACAACATCTGCTCCGTCAACTTCAAGATATGCACTAGATGAGCGGAATCCCTGATATGAAGTGCTATGTTATTTTCAAGTGATAAAGGGGAGGTACTATCAACAACGTTCAGATGCAAATTACTTTGATTCTATGGGAAGTCGGGAGAGTACAATACCTGTATAATACCTTTCAGAAAAAAGCTGAAGACATTTCTCACGACAATACTCATGGTTGGTGTCTCATGAAAAATCAAAGGAAATAAAGAGAGGCCCTTACCTGAGTCATCCGTCCAAATAATGATGTTGGTTGGGGAGGTTTCTTTCGTGGAACAGCACCGCCAGTACCAGCAGCCTTAAGACTTCGTTGCAATAAGAACAGCAAGGTGGAAGTGTTTGAAAGCCAGTATGCTAAACGCTCGTTGTTCTCTTCATTCTGCACCGCATAAAAAGATTATCACTGAAAGCAATGCATTTGCGAAATATCACCAAGGATACAACAGCAGAATGCACGGAGTCATATATACTTGCCAGAATATAAATAACCTTCAAAAAATTATTTCTCAGACTTCACAAATTTCTTCCAATTTAAAGAAGAAATGTCAACGAGATAAGTACTACAATTAAATAAAGTCCAAGAGACAGGAGAATAACCGCAATTCAAAATAAAGATGTTTCAGAATTTTGACAAAACAACTAGAGACTCGTGCTGCCCTTAATTCTGACAACCTTGCCAAGTCAGCAAGAAAATGAGAGAAAATTTTCCCAAGGATTTTTGCGCTATGAAAATTTAGAATTCCAGGTTCGGACCACAAAGAAAATCGAGATGACTGAAAAAAAGTTAATAAGATCGTTACATTTCCTTTTTTAAAAAAGCTTTACCGTATCTTTCGTGACAAAGAATTAAAAACACTCGGAATCTCCCAACTTAAGAACGTAAAAGGGATTAGATCTCAAAGGAGATAAGCAACTAATGCAAGTTGACTAACGCTTACAAGGGACTTTGGTCAGTTGAAAAGTTAAAGCCCTCATATTAACACAAACCCATCCAGATTGCTAGAATTCACTTAAACAATAGTTAAAACATGTAGGTTTCCGTTAAAGTGTCTACTTCATGGGAATAGTTTCCGGTGATCTCACAAGGAATTCTTCTAGTTAACAGGAATACAAATATCACAAACATTTTCTCGATAGTTAGGAAAACAAATTTGTAAGGGAATCAGTTTCTGCAAGGGAATCAATTAACCGATGTAGAACCAGTATCATAAGATCATCAGACAACATATGCCCTGAACACTCGTTTATCAGAATCTGTACATTAACAGTCGTGCATGAGGTTCCCGGTCCTTCAAAATGAACACAGATGAAGCCATTTAATACTATGGAAAACTTGGGTTAAGCTCGCGTGCAAGATCTACTTCTCTAGTTTTAGACCCTGAGTATCCACGAGTTTCCTGAAGTATGGACCAGCAATTGAAATGAGATAACCGTAAAAAAAATGCTATTCACCATCATCTTGCCACAGTTCTTTCAAACACCATGTCTCTTTATTTCAAGGTGATGTTCTCTTCCTACCATAAAATCCACACAAATTTTATATTTTCAAATAACCTCAAACCTTCTGAAAGTAAGACAACCCCATCATCAAAAGGAAAAGAGGATAGGCAAGCTGAAGTTATGAAAACTAACGAACAAGTAATATATTATCCTCCACGCATTATATGCACAGAAAGCAACCAGGATCACGGTATTTGAGATTCAGGTATAGAAAAGCAAACTCTGGTCCACCTCCTAAAAAAAACTGGTGAAAAAATCAGGATGAAAATTGGTGAATTTCTGGTCTGACAATCTCTCTTAGCCAACTACCAATACATGAGTAGATATGAAGAATATGAAAGAGTTCCCCATGGAAGGCAAACAAAGGACAAATAGTAGCCGACCAGCCACTCGCCATCCTATCAAGCAGTAACGCCACCCCCCCCTTCGGGTTTCCCAAATGAGGTAGGATGTTTAACGAATACTGTTTCACACAAAAGCTTGAACTGAAATTTCATTTCATTTGCACCTTTCTAGATAGTGGTATACACTTCAAATGTGTTTTTCCTTTTTCAAAATCAGGCTTTCCCTTCGATTGGAAAATTAATATAATGAAACCATTAACCCTTGTGTCCTATGGTTCAGAACCACAGTGTATACCTCACAAAAGGTCGCATTAAAACCAGTCCAGGGCATGGGATCCCTTCCCATGCAATGTGTTTATCATAACAAAAAAATTATAACAAGTAAAAATTTAGATAATGCCCGCACAGCAGACGCAAAGACCAGAGCACGTCCAGATCAGTTGTCACAATTCAAGTACTAGTGATAACTGCTTTCTGTGTTGGAAAATACGAACCTGAGAAAATAAATGTGGTAGTCAAAATGAGAACCAGACAATTACCTCAATTGCAGAACCAATGGTCTGAATAAGATGGTCAAAAACACTAGTTTTTTCAGCCTCAAATGACTTCCAGTGAAGAAGACACTTATAGATGGTAAATGCAGCCACTGGTTTCCCCTGGCTGAATCCAACATTTTGAACAATGCAATTTATTAGAGCATCGACACTCTCCTGCATAGAAACAATATCACATAAATAATCTCAGCATACGATTATGAAAGAAAACTACAGTGATCAAAATAAGTTCATGTAGATTGAAACAATGAGCGTACATGCTGCCTCTCGATATAAGACCTTCTGAACCTATGGTCAGAACTTCCATAATCCTTAACAGCTGCAGGTGCACTTTGGGGTTCCTGAATGGATCCAAGGTTGAGATTGTAATAGAAATAATAAAACGAAATTTAGGTTCTAGTGTAGCAATGTTTAACAAATAGTAGAGTCAATGGCGCTGTCATCTTAAATATGCTGGACTGGTTAAAATTTTGAAGTATCAACTGCAAACTACAACTGACTATATGAACTAGAAATTTAGATAGTATGGAAGAAATATGACATTAAAGAGAGCGATCACCACAGCAACATCACATGATTACCTTAATACACCCTTCTCTCCAAGACAACTTGACAGTAAAAACACATACTTTTGGCGTCAATAAAAGCAAAATCCTCTCGTGTAACTATTTTCATGTAAAGGGACTAGGGAAATGACAAGGAGAAAGCCCATTTCATCCTTCTACAGGAGATCCTCTGACAAGTTTTAATGTCCATAAAAGTTTTCTTACTGCTATTGATGTGAAAAACGTGATGGATAACATAGTGCACACTTCACAAGTCACACTGCCTCACTCACCAAAAAGGACATTAGATATGAAGAAAACGAAACGCTTGCATTATCTGTAGTACAAGTGATATCGCATTGGGTAGCCCTTTCATTATTTCAAAATATTGCAATGAAACATTCTGGGTTTTCGCACGGTGCTATTTTCCATATCCTTAGTTTTATACCTATGAGGGATAGTTTTCATTTGCTAAATGCTTGTAGCCACTCCCTTATTTCACTTTCCTCAAAGAATACACAGTTTAAAAAGAAACTTCAATATTTGTTTCTAGACATCAAAAAAAGTCTAGAACACTTGATCTACACCTTGCTAGGGTTTTCATAATTACCTTAAGCTCCTCACTACCATGGTGACCGTTCTCCAAAAGCTGCAGTTAACCAAAACAAAATTAGCATTCACCCCAACCAAAGTCGTAGAGAAATCATATAAATGCTTTAATTACCATTTTCGGAGGTGATTTTGGAATCTCTAAATGCTCTGACATTCGTTTGACAGGAGAATTGAGCAAAGACTTTTGGCGGAGAATCTGATCCTCAGATTCCATATTAGACAGTTTTTCTTGAAGTCTGCCATAAATTTTCTTTAGTTTTAAGAAAAGAAAAAAGAGGTAATGGCATAGATCATGTTTATTAAAGCAGATGCATAATCTGGGAACAATTTTCCTGTCTGCTAAGGTAAATGCCCCAATACCTTTGCATATCTACACTAAGAAGAAGTATCTTATTTTCAGCTTCCATGGCCTTCTTCAACCTTTCCTCACTTTCTCTACTAGTTTCTTCATATTTCTTTTCTGTCTCCTCAATCTTCCTTTCCAAGGAACCAACTAAAGCCTATGATAAAAAAAGCCGGCAAAGAAGTTAGTGATAAGATAGATATCGTTTTTCCTTTATGATTTAAGGAAGGTATGTCCAGTAGAGTGCATCAGGATACATCATTATATTTATCAACGTACCTTCAGCTTCTCATTTTCAGAAGCAAGCTTATCTATAAGTGCAGTATCAATAACTGGGACTTCCTTGATATGAGAAGCTTCCTCAGAAATCTTCTTTGCAGCTTCTCTCTCCTTGATAACCATCGCTCTTGATTCTTTTAATTGAATCTGTGCCTCCTGCAGAGCAGATTGCAGTTTTGCATTTTCTTGTGTTTTGGCTTCCTCCATGTCGGCCTAGTACAAACGTAGTGCATTAGTGATTGACACGGGATACAGAAAAATAACAACATGAACTTCTAGCTCATTAAATAAGAGAAAGGGGACAAAAATCAAATTAACTCATTAAACAAAGCCACGCACAACGTACTTAACTCTTGTGCAAAGAAATAAATCTAGAGTTAATGGCACTGTCAAGGGTCATCACATTGCCCAACATAATTTTTAAGTTTTAAAAAAAAAAATCTCATCTTCAAAATGTTTCATCAAATTACGGGTAAACAGATTGTCATTAGAATATTTCAAAAATCTCATATCCAAATATCTAATTAATGAGCCAGTAACACCCAAAAATACATACGTCAAAAACTCATAATTATCACATGTAAAATCACATCCTTGCCAATGTACTAAGATACCTTCTCAGAAATCATTTAGATGTGCTGCTGCTCGTCACCAAACTAACTTGATCGAGAAAAATAGGTAGCCACAGTCGCCAATTACTTAAGTACGCGCATCTTCCAAAAGATGCTAATGATACGTAGTCAGATTTTTGCAAATTGTGTTGACTCAGTGTCAAAGAAAAACACAAAAAGTTTATTCAAAACTGTCTAAAAGTTTTAAATAATATGTTTTAAACACTATCTTCTTTTTGTTGGAGGTGGATAGATTTGACAACCGGCTTCTGAAGATGAATATAAATATATTTTTCCACAAGGATGTAAAGAAAAAAAATCATTTTCTTATCACCTAGTTTAACCAATCACCTTCCCCTCCCACCCAATCATGCCATTGTCTGATTCTCCCATCCCCCCAATCAGAAAGGAAATGCACCCCCTTTCAGGCCACATGGCTGACAGTTACTGTCAATGGTATCCAGAGACAGAAGTAGATGTCTCTCTTTTCTCGTTCACTATGTTCTTGTTCTTTAAAAAGGATAACATCTCGCATTAAATCTAGAAAAAATAATTCCAGCCTTGCTGTTTCAACTCGTCTAACTTGAGGCAGAGTCAGAGCTGACACTGTTTTCAGGATTTCTGCTTTTGATTCCCAAGTCCAAGCCTACCGACTAGGATTTCAAGATTCAACTAAAAAATGGCAAGAAAATACATAAATTTAGCCTAAACCACCTTAGAATTTGTCATTCCATAATCAAAATGTGGAATCAAAAGCCAATGACTACGACATCAAGTTAAGTTTACAGAGAAATACATTTTACTGAACAAGACATCTGAAGCATTCCATAATCAAAGAAGAAAAACATAAGATTACCCTCATGCGCTTCTCCAATTGCAGTCGCCAGGTCAGCTCCTCAACTTGTTTCTCCAACTTATTTTTGGCAGCTTGAAGAGCACCAGTCTCTCTTGCCGCCTGGAGATGAAAATAATAAAGGCAATGAAATACTACATGTAGTTTGACAATATTCAATTCAATGAAAAAACGAAAATTCCTCCAATGTAGGAAGTTAGTGAGGAAGATAAAACTTGGCAGAGAAATGTAAGCTTACCATTTTAAGGTTTCGTAGTTCTCTTCTAGCAACTCTTCCTCTCCAGGCACATTGGGTGACGATTGCTGCCATCTTGATCCTCGAGAAATGTAATCGGGCCAAATATTGGCGACATTGACTCTGTTAAGAGAAAATATACATTTAAAAAAATAAAATGAGCTCTCGATTGAGGATATATCATGAGGTCAGGAGTGAAAAAAATATTATAAATACAAAGTTTGCATTACTGAACTATAGACAACAATATAGCACAATTTTAGGTAGAGCCCCTTCATCTGAATGAGCTTTTATAAAAATGCTGGGTTTTCAAAACTATGGAATTTTGAACGACCAACCAACCCACTAAACATTAAAATGAAAACAAGAATCATTATATTAAGGATGTCTAACTTGTAGGAACAGTGAAGAGTACAAAACAAGCAGTGGTATGGGAGATAAAGCTGATCTACGAAAATAATGAATCCTCACTAATCAAATAGACCTGAATCAGTATTGCAGCTCTAGTTTGTCTTCTGAAATGAAGTTCCTTCCGAGCAACCATTGCACGCATGCCAGTTTGAATAATGATAGATGAAGAAACCAATTGGTTGTAAGCTTTCCTTGCGATGCACATGCGCAAGAATGTCTGGATCCTCAGGCTAGCAGCTTGCCTACGTACACTTTCATAAAACCGACGCGCAAGTTCTCCTGCAATAAGCAAGAGGGTTTATGTTTACTGACACAACAGCCGACCAGCATGACAGAGAAACAAGAAATAGACTACAACATGAAGGGAGTGTATTTGACTCAATTTATCACCTCTGCAAAGAGCCTGAATAAAGATGGCTGATTTCTGAACTGAAATGAAACGTCGACGAGCCAAATAAGCACGGACTTTCCTTTGAATTATGCTAGCAGATCGCCCTAAAACTTCAGTTCTCTGAGCATCAAGTTCAGCCATCTGCCCAGCCCGAAGAAACACTTTTGTTTTTCCTATCTGTTAGTTTGAATCGAAATATTCAGACATTCTGCAGATGTATATTTTGATAATTCACTTTGTATGTATAAAATCCAAATGTGTGACATTCAGTGAACTTAATCTTGATGTGCATCATGTATTTAATAGAACGAACACTATAGATGGTACAATATTAGTGATCCAGCACACAAGGTATTAAATTTCTAGCATGCATGTAAGATATGCAAACATTTATATTTTTCAACCGCAAGAAAATTTATAAAATAGTATGGGTACATCTGTATGATGCATTAAACTACTAATTTCATCGAAATTTTAGAACTGGCACTTTGAACCATAAGATAACAGATATTAGACAATGTTTCCAAAACAACACCGATATGGGTACAAAGGAAAATTAATACAAATTTGACAATTATTTTCACAGAAAAACGAACTATTAAACTAAATTCACTTAATCCGAGATATCCTACAAAAAAAAGACGTTGTATATCTCGGACAGGTCTACTTTGTTCTTACACATTAAAGTAAATAGAAATTAAGCTCCAATATTAACCCTTTGACACTGTTATTCATTCCTCAACTCACAAGCATATAAGAACATATCACCTTCAAAAGTTAATCTTGTGACGGTGTTATTCATCCATCAGCTCACAAGGATACAAGAATATATCACCATCAAAAGCAAATCTCGTGACACATTAATTAATCCATAAAATTAAGCAGCAAAGCAATTTATCAAAAGATTATAACATCCAAACTCTTAATTTCAACCTAACTCAAAATAAATCTCTGTAACCCGAGAAAAAGAGGGTTTTCATTTCAATTGATTGGCACATGAAAAAAAAACAACTAACCAAATTACCTGATACCCTTCGAGATTCACCTTCTCTAGAACTACCTTGGAGGCAGTTACCTCGTCATAGCTGCCATGAAAGAACAGCCGAAATGTTAAAACATTGAAAATTAGACACTTCTGAGTAAATGGAGATTAAGATATTATGCAGATCACATTTAAAGGAAACATGAACGAACTAGATTAGAAACCACCTGCTATACAGAACCTCTGGTGCCAGAAGACCAAAACGATCAATAAATTCATCAAATGTTCGCCTTGTTGGATATCCAGCACAACTAATCCGAATTGCTTCCATTACTCCCTGCAAAGCAACACTTAAATCACTAGCTGAGGATCCAAGAAGAAAACAGAAATCGAAAACACCAAAGGAGACGGAAGGAACCTACCCCACAGCGAAGCTGTTGAAGAACATTCTTGTTTTCGAAAATTGCTGGCTTAAGAACATTATTAGGCTTCACACAACGGATGTAATGTGGTTCTGTGACACTCAGGGTCTCCATCAAAGCTTGAAGTTGTTGCTGTACATTCATCAGAAAAGATGTAACAGTATGCCACATGCCAGATTTCCAACACATCAATCTGAATGTTTAAGAAAAATTAGCACACCTTAAATCTTGAGCCTATCGACGAAAATTTTGAAGATTTGGATGAATCATCTGACAGAGGTGGGAACAATGCCGCAACAAAATCACAGCGAGACGCACCCAAAAGTGCCTGATGTTCAGCAATAACATAATCCTTGTTTTTATCTAAGAAATACTGTGTTTGGTAAGTGACCTGACCAGACAAATAGCAGTTATTAGGGAGAGGATGCAAATCAAAATAGCAGCATATAATGGACCAGTACTTTACTACTTTTGAACAAATGGTACTTACATCTCCAGCATAATGACAAATTGTGAAGTCAGAGGGAGACAATTTTGGTTTGCTGAAACGTGGGTGGTTTTTAAAAGCTTGGTATAATTTTTGGGCAAAAGTTTCGTGAGTTGTCCTCGGCAGCATACTACAGAAAAAGAGAAATTATGATAAAAAGATCATCCAATTCCGTTAAATAATAAGCATATGTAAATCTGATACATACCAAGCTTCATCGAGTAGAGAAATTATCCCGCCAGGTTTCTGAAAGTTGAATAGTGGAAGATCAAAAAAGAGAAAACCTAAAGCAGTGAGTTTGTTTTAAATCAAAAACCAATTTGTCCACAAGGTTCTACATTCAAAAATGGAAAAGAACACATGCAAGAAAATGACTAATCCATTGTAGGGCCAAGGTAAAGTCCAGACAGCCAGGTCACAAAAGATTTGACAGTTAACATCAGATCACAAAAACTACTTCCCGCGGAAGACAAAGCAACTGTAACAAAGGCATTAGATGAAATAATAATAACTCAAGATAAATAATCTAGTTTTATAAAAATAGTCTCTACAGAGGGGGCATATTCTCAATTTCAAGATGAACTATTCATCATAACAGAAAAGATGTCGTAGTCTGGACTGCCTAATTTATAATCCGTAACAAAGAATATACAGTTTTGATATATTCATGTTGTCAACGGGTTTCGTTTTCTTAAAAGGGAACACTACCAAATTCCTGAGAATATAAGGTCTTTTCTAAGCAACATAATAGTTCAGTTGCACCTAAGTGTAACACTAAGATTTTACTGAAGGTTTTTGGTGCAGTTCAGAATCTAGATCAAACGTAAGAAAATCTTTTTTAGATAAACTTTACATAATTAAGAAAATTCCGATGGCTAGTGAACACGAAATCTCATTTAGGTAAGAGAAAAAGATGAAAGGATCTTAGAAGAACAAGACCTTGTGAACACTCATCAAAAGCAAAAGAAAGCATTCATTCTTTGCCATTTTCCCGGCATTTTCTACGCTCATACTGAACAATCACTAAAAGCAGGCTTGAAATGGAGTTGGGTGGAAACAATGAATGAAAAAACAAGACGGAATAAACTATTCTACTATCCCTCCAAAGTACTGAAAGGATACTTGTCATTTTCTCAGCATTTTCTCCATTGATACACTAAAATCGAGTTTGCCATTCGATCTAATAATGAAAAGAGCTTTTATGACATATTCTCCAAAGGAAGGCATAGCAAATTGAAACCACAAACCTTTTCTATGAGGTCGAGAACGTCTTGATTGTCAATGAAATCGATATAACTCCAGTCAATTTCTTCCTTTGTATACTCCTCTTGCTCCATTTTAAAGACATGCTGTTACAAGAGAAAAAAAATGAGCCATTTCTTACTAGATAATATGAAATATAACGACATAATTTATGAAGTGTACCTGATTAAAATGTTGCTGCAGTTTCTCATTTGTCAAGTTGATACAGAATTGTTCAAAACTGAAAGATGAGTCATCAATCAAAATTCATTCACCAGAAATTGCAAAAAAAGTTGCACAATAACAACAAAAATATAGTATATCTTCAGGAATGATGAAATATAATCAAACAAAACATAAGAGATGCATACGTCAACACCAAATAGACTGCACTATCATTCTCATTACCCAGGTTCCATCAGGTGGTTCAGCCCAGGGATATGAGGACACAAAAGAGATTTCTTTGACATTCGTGGCCACGCTAACATCCATGCCACTGGAAGCAAATATCTAAATCTAGATGTTTTGCATTCCTACCACATTAAGGTGATATTTTTTGGAAAGCAAAACATTCAATATTGTCTAATATTCAACCAATTAAGGCGCACAGGAAAATATTCATAATTGTCTAACATTTGACCAACAAAGAACCCTCCTAGCTGAAAGCTACACTTGAAGTGCTAGAACCAGTATAAAGCAAAACCTTTATCACATAAACTTCACATGGGTTGAAAGCCAAAATTATAATTTGATATTTTGGAGATTTCATGTAAACCTCACCTCCATTGTCTAAACCAAGCCTTCATGAAAAATAAGCATTGATGACACTATATGTTGTATCGTTCATTTGTAGTGCTATGCCATCACAATAACTCAGAAGAATTGAAACAGCATTCTTTACAACAATGTTTCCTCATAAGTGTAAATTTACAAAACGTTGCTTCCAAGTTTCTCTCTCCGCTAGAAAGCATAAGAACCCAGAAAAATAATGAAATTTTTGCAAGAATTTTTTGCATTATGCAATTTAGAAAGATTGTTACATCAACTTGACATCTTTTAAATGATGCTTACTTTTTTTGCAGAGGTTGATAAGCATCTGCTAAAAGATAACTACAAAAAGCATACCGGTTAAGCACCTGTTTGTCTTGAAACTTTCAAACCCATAGATATCGAGAACCCCAATCAAAAACTTTGATTCGTGATCTTGTCCAATGGAATTATTGATCTTATTAACGAGCCTGCAATAATGATGCGAGGAGTTGAAGACCAATTACCTTCACAGAAAGTTCTTAAAATAACAAAAAAAGTGCAGGATCGTAGCAAAAGGCCAAGAAAAATACTGACCAATCGAATAACCGTGAATAAACAATTTTTGCCAAGGCATCTCTACTGAGGGTAGCTGACTCCGGATCAAGATTTTTGGTTATAGTTTCATCACGAGTAACAATAACGCGTTTGCATAAAGAATCCTCAAGTGCTTTTGCATCACACCTACCCAAATTGCACACAACAATCCAGTCAATATTCTTGATACCTTTTATGTCACAACTCTATAGTTGATAAATGGCGATTCTCACATTAACAGTTCTGCAGCAGTTTTCAGGTGGAACAAAGACTTCTCATCTTTTGGCACAGATGAATCAATATCTTTTCCTTTCGAAAATTCGATATTACCCAAGTGAAGAACAGCAGCCACAACACGAAAAATAGCATCCTGAAGTGGAGACATTATTTTAAAAAGAAATAAGGAACTCAGGAAGAGAGCTAGGGTCATAAAAATGAAAAACATTTGCCTCGTAGAACATATGAAAACAGGGATAATGGTTAAAGCTAGTACTTGTTCATCAGAATCGATTCCAACTATTTCCATAGCCCTCCTAGTTTCGAGGTATTCCTTGGAATCATCAACCCCATCCAGATCAAAGCAGTTGGACTGGTTAAGGTAATGAAAAGATCTAGGATTCCCCAGCTTGTATCTAGCAACATCCTGATAGCATCAACACCATTAGAAACTCCCATATTAATAACACTAAAGTTACAGGTGAGAAAAAATCAATAATAAGGCAAAGGAGAGCCTGATTAATAAGGCAATATTTTGGAGTTTGTACAGTTTACTGAGGAAAGTAGAAACATCATGATGCACAAAGATATAGCCCTCTTGTACAATATCCCTCGGAAGAGCCTCTGACCAAACTAAACATGAATATAAACAACACTGGAAATCCCTTGAATGGTTGCAAAGTGACCAACACAAAATAACAATACATGAAAAGATCAAAGGAAACCTTCAAGGTGAAGGATCCACAAGCGACTGTACCTTAGTGAGTCCCGGTTGTTGGGAACTCAGTAAAACACCCATCGACTCTACCGTATTAGAATGGCACACCGAGTAGCATAAACACAGAGCCATTACACCTCTATCCCAAAGATGCAGAATCATAAATACAGAACCAAAGATGGAAAAGACACATGAAAGAAGACAAATATGCACCTCTTATCAATCGGGATCTGTCCATAAAGACAAATATGGTCAGTTGAGAACCCTCGCTCAGAACTGCCTGCCCCCCCCCCCCCCCCCCCCCACACCAGACTTTATGATGAAACTGTCCAAGGTGAAATGAAATAAAATCTTTATTTGGATTGCCTATGCAAAAAACGGCACGATCCTAAAGTTCCCACCTCAGAAGCACACAATCCATGATAGAAAAACTTGAGATGCGTGACCCACTGTCAATCATTTGATCGGTCTCAATTTATTATGACATGCGTGACCGTACCAAAAATTCTGATATTGGAGCAACATACCAAATACTTAGTTTTCTATGGTATTTATAGATGTGCATGACTGTTACAATCTGCATTCCACCCAAGTCGTTATACTGGTAAATGAAACACTATAATAAAGCTTGATCAAATAGGCAATGGTAAAAAGATTTTTTTTCGCCTTTCAATAAGCAAGATTGAAGTAAAAGGTTACCATAAAGTTCTCTGAAAAGCGAGAAAATGGAAGGATCAAAGGATGATTTCCACAATGAGGAATGTAATATATACCTCAGGTGGTGCGGCACATAGCATGTAAAAGCAGTGGTAGTTTCTCTCAGGATCAGATACTTGACAAACACGAGACCTCTCAAGAAGATATGTCCTGACAGCTGCTCCAGAAATCTTCCAATTCTGATCAAACTGGATCTCGACAAACTTACCAAAACGACTGTGTAGATATGTTATCCATCATTAGTACTTACGAACAAAAAAGAAAAAAACTTGGCTAATAAGCTATGGCATAAAATTTGGACGCTATAACGGCGAAGTCCTCACCTTGAATTGTTATTTCTCACAGTCTTTGCATTGCCAAACGCTTCAAGAACCGGATTGGACTGTTTAAAATAACTTATTAGAATCGCAACAATATGCAATTATAAAACCTATAAAATTTAGGACACAGGTCTGGAACTTCTGACATCATTGAATGATTTTCGACTATTCATGAGATACCATCAAATCTTTTGTCCATGACTTATGATATGAAAGAAGAGGAAGAAAAAACCTGACCTCCAGTACTTGTTGCTCCACAGTACGGCCTTCTCCTCCAGATCTCCCCCCCATGTAAGCAAGATAGCGCATAAGCAATTTGGTGCTTTCTGTTTTACCTGCTCCGCTTTCACCACTAACTAGTATGGATTGACTTCTTTGCTCATTTATCATTAATCTACGAACACATCAGCTAAATATTTTACTACAAACACATAAAAATGTTGTTTTACAACTTCATTGTGACATCAAGGACAAAATTTACCTATAGGCAGCATCAGCAACAGCAAAAGGGTGAGGACTTAGCTCTCCAAAAGCTGCCCCTCTATACTGTTGCATCATGTAGCTATCATATAGATGAGGAAGTCTTCGAAAAGGGTTCACGGCAATCAATATTCCTCCAGTATACGTCTGGTTAGAAAATAAGACATTATTAATGTATGCATACCGCAAAGGCAGTTCATACACTGCCCCAACATTTTAGTTGAGCAGGAAGTACAAGTTCAGAAATGAAAAGTATATTATCACATAAAAATAATTCGGCATATGACTAACACGTCCCACAAAAGAAAGCACTTGTAAGTCTTACATAAATTTCATTCATCTCGTATCTAGATTTCAAGTTCTGCAACACCCCTGGTTCATGTAAATATGCCAATTTTGTCATATCATCCACCCCACACGGTGAAGCTTCAGAATCTTTGGGATAGACCTTAGAAGTGTGAGCCGTGACCTAGAAAAAAGACATTAATCAACATTAATTTTAACCTGAAATAAAATGGCAGAGGCCACTAAATCAATAAAACTGATCAAACAAAATAAATCAGAGCAATCAATTAAAGGTAAGTTTCATATACCCAGAGAACTAAGACTATTAAATTATGCGAGGAACAGTTTGAAAATCTATGCAATGACAAATGAAATCCATGACAAGAGGAAAATGTCATTGCTTAATGGACAAAAGCCTAACTTCTGACAATAAACTTAATGAAAGATGCATCAAGGTAAGGGTAGCCAGATCAAGAGTCCTCACTGTCTTTCCAGATGTGCAGCTAATTTTAACTTCATCACCTGCAACCACCAATACTTCTCCATCTATCCAGGCTTCATCTGAGTCCTCCACCCAGACATGTGATCCAACAGTTATAGTGACAGGGGTTGCCTGTTGGACAATGAATTCCAGCATAGTAATCAGAGAGATAGCATGACATAGGAAAATACTGTAGAATTGAAATCGAAGAGCATAAAACACCACAATGCAAGTTTTTCAGGACAAAACGATTTTTCAGTCATCTTCAAGATCATACAGTAGTTCAAGCAGTTAATGCACTCAAAGCGAGGATAGGTTTTCTGAGATCTCGTAAATTATAGACATCCATACGCTGGACTCCACCTGAACCTTTCATTCGAATGGCGTGAAGGCTTTTGTGACCTTGCACTATTAAAGTAACTGGAAACAGAGCAACCATGTAAGAGAAAATTGAAACCATTAAGTCATTGTCAAGGAAACAAGACGAAACTCCCTTTCAAGTCTCTAACTATAAAAGTAAATGCCTTGAGCTTGAGAAGTCTACGAATAAGATACACCGAGAAACAAAATAACTAGTCAACGTTTCACAGGCATGTTTACCGGAAAAGGATAGATAAAGTTTGGCATTCATTTCACGATTTGATAATATCAAATTAAGGTTTAAGACTACGGTCTGACATGCTGAGGACCATAAATCATCAAATTAGCACAGAAGACATGCTGCCGAACAATACATGAAAAAACCATCATAAGCACTTCAAGCATAACAGAAATTTGAGACGTAGCATACCATATCGGAAGCTCGATCGGGTCACCCCCACGAGAAGTTTCTCGATCCGCTTCCCTTCCAGAATAACAGCGACGGCAACCCGCCTAGATCCCGCCTTTAGTCCGCATTCACTTTCCCCCAATTTCCTTCCTTCGGCTTTTCCTTTTCCTAGTCCCCTCCCCGCTGCGTTCTTCCGAATCCCTTTGCCCGTCCACCTCTCAACTAACACCGAGATCTTCCTTCCCCCAAGAAAGGCCAAGATTACACCTGAACGCTCTTCCGTCCTTCCCCTCCCGCCTGCCTGCGCGTCCTCGGCAATCCTATCCTTATTCCCAGCGCTGCAAGAGTCGACAAGAGAGCTAGGGGAAGGGAGCTTGAAGGAACAGAGAGCTGGGGGAAGAACTCTTCAACGGCCGTACACCCCCTCCCCCGCCTCCCCCGTCTCCCCCAGCCAAAAACCCCTTTCGCCTCGTCCAGCTGCTGCTACGGCTGCCACCATCTGCCCTTCCCCCTCCTCCAAATGTCACCCCTCCCCCCCTTCTACCCTGGCCCCCCACCTCTCTCTCTCTCTCTTCCCCCTCCCCCTTGCTTGCCCCTGTTAGCATTCCACCTTTACGACGCCTCGCTAGAGCGCGATTAATTCAGATCTTTTCAATAAAATCGCCCGTTTAATTGGTCTCCTACCCCTACCTTACTAACTAAAGGCCCCCATATGTTCCCAGAATTACGTTGCGTGCCCACAGCACCGTTTGCTAGAACAACTAAACGCCTGTGGAGATCCTCCCCCAGACTGCTGCAGATGCGTTAATTTACATTAACTCTCGATATTTTTTATATTTTTCATGTGCCCCTGCTTCCTCTTTGGCTGCGGCAGCGGCAGCGGCGGCGGCGGCGGCGGCGGCGGGCCTCATCTCGAATGTGCGGCTGCCCGGGCACGTGCGGATTCCAACTACTTTACATAATTTAAATTTTATTCCCTACGATTTATAAAATTAATGACCTCTCCCTAGGGAGACTAAATCTTTACGAATTAATCGGTACTCCAACTTTTCTCATGATAATGTTAATATTTGGGGTATAAATAAAATTTTCATAGAATGTTTTATTGCGGTCGTTATGCCCTCCCACGTTGCTCCGGCGCTGTCACCAGGAGGCGGTCGTCGGCCACGCGGATCGCCCAGCTGGGAATGGACGGCTTTCGGTGATTCGTGGTCCATCTTTATTGCTTTCCAGCGAATCGACGGTCCGCAGTGGGTACGGGCGGTGACGGCCATTAACGGCCGTTCTGTGACTTTGGTAGAACAATGCCAGCGTAAAAAGGTATTTAATTGTATAACTGCCCTCTTTGCTTAGCCTTCCGAAAACTCTGGCACTCTCTTTGACATGAGATTTGACCTGAACAGACAAGGTATAAATGTTATAATTAAACTTTACGAGGAGTTTTACGACCGGCGCAGCTGTCGGGTCAGACGGACGTACGACCGATGGTTCAGACAGGAAGGCGACCTTTTCCGCAGTCCGTTGACGCGACGGAGGCCACTGACTTTCAGAAACTTGGGAAATCTAATCAGTAGATCAGAAAAAGGGCTCTCAGATCAGACCGTCAAAATCGAGGGGCTAGGCGTTGAGAATTTCTCATCAGACGGTCAATGTCCGTTCAGGTGACGTGGCCCAATCTCTAGGGGGCAATAGGGCGGGGTCCACACGCCTAACCAGCACGTGATTTTTAGTTTTTGGTCCCCAAAAATAACTAACTCATAATGAATATGACCCTGACTTTTTTTTAATAATGACACCATTGACTTCAGTAAGGTTGTTAATTTGATTATTATATGATTATTAACTTAGGCCCAAGTGAACATGCTAAATGAGGGACATAGAATTAAAGGTTTTAAAGTCGCACATTTTAAATAAGAGTGAATTAAGGGCTCGAAGAAAAGTAAAAATCCTAAAGCCAGAAATTAGAATCGTGGCATTTATAAATAAGATGGACGGAGAATTTTTGTTTTTTCATCATTCGAGGATGAAATATTCAATCAAAATCGAATATTTTAGTATTTGGTGGAAGATATTTTAATGTTCTCCGGAGGCAGCTTTCATCGGAGGGATGCCCTCCTTGAGGAGTTTTCGTACGGGGGCCTCTTCCCTCCGCTCTCTGCTGCTCTGCTCTGGTTCTCTCTCGCTCTCTCTCTCTCTCTCTCTCTCGCTGTGTCCATCGTTTTCTTCCTCGTCCCCGACTCTCAGGGAGTTCTGTGATCGCGCCACCCCACCGTCTTCTTTTCCTCCCTTTGCATTTAATCTATTCACACGCCATTACGCGGGGGAGGGACGCGTGAAGGCTAACAATTCTACCGCCGCCATCACCATCAGCATCTCCGTCTTTCTTACAAATGTCCGCGTAAGTAGTCCAAGCTTACTCCCAGATTCTTCGCTGTCGACGATTTGGTCCAGGAGTAATTTGTCCTCTCTCACTCCTCGATCGCCAATAATAGGTAGGCCTCTCTTCTTCAAGGTCGCTCCCCGTCCTCTCTGTATGACCATTTTCACCCAACGCCATCCAAGACAACCGACAACAGGGATGCGCCATACTGTCTTCCTCTGTAAATTATCTGTCAACGAGTTTTGACGTTGTAAATAAATTGAGGCAACCCATATTTTCCGTTCGTGGTCCGTGTCGTTCTGCCCTGTTTTATTTCTTCTGCCCGTGTAGGTGGGGAAGTCCCCTTTCCATCGCCTTCTATCCCGCGGGAGGGGTTTGGTCTTTCTGTACGTTCTTTTCAGACAACAAATAATCTATGGTTGTTCGGGCGCTTTCTTCTTCGACTCAGTCGTATCCTTTTGCGCTTTCAGAACATGTAACGGTTTTCCCAAGTGGACCAAGATCGGCGGAAGTTTTCCGGCGTTGGGTGCTTGTCAGACTTGGATTCTGATGAAGCGCGGAGTCTCTTGTAACTTTTGAAGGGCTCTGGATGGAGGAAACAGCGGAAGAGTTGCTTAGTGACCGGGTGGTATTGCCACCAGCTACAAAGCCTTCGGAGCCAGAGACGGATTATGACGAGGCCATGGCTAGAGTAGGCGGAGAAGCAACGTCGTCACTGAAAAGTGATTACCACAATTTATCCCCCTCCCGCCCTTCTACTGTCACCAGTTTTAGGTTAATTGCCCAGCTTCGCAGTAACAGCATCCAGAGATTTAGAAAGCAGATGCAGCGGGTTTGGAAGAGGACCCCTGGCAGTTCTCGGGAGCAAGAGATGAAAACGAGCGTGAATTTGGAGGCAATGGCAAATCAGAAGAGACAATGGTATCAAATCCATTCCCAATCACAGGTAAACAGAGGTTTTTTACCTTATTTATGCATTCATGTCGGAAAAAGGTCACCAACCAATCGTACTTTGGCGCGTGCCACCTCTTATTTGGCCACACAGTGCATAGAGCTCATTGGTTTTGTCGCCATGGGGATGACGTGTGTTCTGCTTACAGAGTAAAGACGCGGAACAAAACGTTACGGATCAATAGGTGGGGTAAATGGTTCAGTTGGTGATTTATGCTCTGAAACCAGCGTCTGGAAATATAGTAGGACCGAGTTAACAATTTGATATTGGAAAATGCATACTTAGTGCCATCTATAACTCTCAATGTGAATAAATACTTTTTTTATAACCAAGGATGAGATGAGGATTGGAGATGCCCCTGGATTGATAGTTAATTGAATAGACGGTGTCAGTATCACCTGTCTGTAGCGATCATTTTTGGAAAAAATGGGTCACTCTCTATAAATATTTAATGATATTTGTAGTTGGCTTCTGAACTTTCTGTGAAATGAGACAGATTACCACGTGTTAGTTTGTAAGTTGTTCTCATTGAGTCATTTTTCAAATCAGACAGCACCACTTTGCAAGAGTAGTTAGGTTTGATCTCTTTGAAAGTGGATGATGGTACCTACCCCTCCCCAAATGGCAACATCCTACCCCAAGTCTAAACTCATCTACGAATTCTGGATTCCCAGAGTAATAGAATCACAATCTTCTTTATAATGAAGCAATCTCACTAACTCTCGCACTCTGTCAGAAAGAAAAAAAAAACAAAACAGAAAACCCTATCAACTGAAAAACTAGCTGTAAATAAATGATCCTTCTGCTCATTCCAGCAGGTCAAAAGTGTTGCATAGAGGATGTGCAATCCATACACTTCAACCTTTGAGTAAAAAGCTACGGTTCTACCCTCTCTGTGTCTCCATCATAGCAAGAATGTTAAAACTAATCCCTCGTGTAGTCAAGAGTCTCTGGCCTATCTAGTGTGAGAAGGAAGACCCACCCTAGAAGCTAATAATTCTTGTCTTTCTCCTTCTCCCTAGAAAGGCCATTGGAAGGTATCACGAATGACAAGTAGTTGATCAAATAGAAAGATATCCTTATGAAAATTTCACTGAAGAATATGTCAGGGGTTAATAACCTTGAGTGATTCATACATATTATTTCTAGGAAAATGATGATGTAACCCCCATCATCCAACTACAACTCTTAGGGGAAGCTCTCTCCACTGACCACTGAAATATACTTATTTCCTTAAAACTTTTGTTGACTTGTCTCCAGAATTTTAGTAGTAGAGTTGTAAAAAGATTTGTACTCAAGAACACGGTCAGGACTGCAAGCCTGGGGCAACCTACCAAGTTCTAGCACTACTCTTCTTTTAATACAACCCCAAAGAGTTGCAATAAGTCTGGTCTCTTCCAAGTGATCTATAACGTTGGCTTGACCCAATGTGAGTAATGGGCGAACTCGAACCGTCTCCGTTTAAGTACCATGCGAGGTCTTCTACTCTATAAGGGGTGAGGTTTTGTTTTGCTGTGTTTTATTGTGTTGCACTGCTGAAACTCTCCAGGGCACTCTCTGTTTAACTTTGTCGTCTCAAACCAACAAGAACAAGACTAGAACTTTTAACTGTCTTTTACATCGAAACTATCAGTGTATATAATTTTTATACTTTTTGAGCCACCATTGGGTGCTCAGCATTAATGCGTGGGTGGGATAGTTTTTGTTTAAAATTGGTCTGGTTGAGGTTTGCGTGTGGTTGAGCAGTTGACTTCCTTTTTTATTTGACGTGAGTTATAATCCACCACCAGTTGGAGCCACCCAGCCTCAAGTACAGTACAAAGGACGTTAACAGTCCGTATTCTTACCAAGTTATATTTAACTGGAGTTAAGGTCCATATTGAGCAAGAAGATGGTACCAATTCAGCTCATCATTTTTTGGTGTTACAGAGTTCTGTGACACAAGATCTTTTGGATGAAGAATGGTCTTTGGCTACCATAATTCTATTTCACATTTGTGAATTGGTGAATTGAAATTCCTGATGAATTATTTTCAGGTTATTTTTAGAGAACCAAAAAGAATGGCCCAAGACTAACCTAATGGTTCTCCAATGAATGTGATTCTCCAAGACAAAAAAACGGGAAACGATTAGTTCAAAACAAACCCTTATACGTATGCCTCAGTCTTACCTCATTTATTTAATTTCACCAATGTTCGCTGTTTGCAGTTGTATCGCATGTTGTACTTTTGCACGCTTCTTTCAGAATGATATTCAGAATAATTCATTTTCGTGTTTCCTAATTTTTGTCCTACTGTTACTGGCTTTTCATTTTTCAAGTATGTTTACATTATACAGGGGTATAAACGACAAAAGGAACCCATATCATTGTTTGAACACTTCTTTATTGTCGGTCTTCATTCATGTTCAAATCTGGAAGCCATTGAAGATACTTTTGCTAAAAGAAAGACATGGGAGGCAGAGATGGAAAAATCAGAAATCTTTGATCTGAGGAAGCTTCCGTACCATAGGCGTCCACCTCTTCTTGAACCTCAGGTCTGCTTGGTTGATAAACTAGATGATAATTGGTTCGGTTTTCTTTATTATTTCGCGCTCATGCCTCCACGAAAAGTTTTGAAAACTATCTCTTGGTCACGAGTTAAGTAAAAAAACATATTTTAGACTGCATTTTTGTAAGTTGAATAGTTTTATTTTTTTTTCATCGGGATGACAATAAGGGCCCAATTATGCTCAAATATTTGTGCTTCCGTTTTTCCTTCACTGATGTGAAATTTCTCAGGCCGTAAGTTCTTCATACATTGATTGCTTTTTGTCCACAAAAGTATTATTGCTTCTTTTACTTCCAGTATTTTTTTAATTATTTCCATACGTGGCAACAAATTACACATGGTTCACCTAACTGTTCGCCTATTTGGTTTTTGCGATAATTATTTCTATGCAAATTTTCCTATGTCAAGCCCAAAATACTAATACGCGTGGTTTTTCATCATCTTAGGTTCTATTCAAGTACCCCCCTGGAAGGATGTCAACAAGGATGGAGAAAGATTTAGCTGCTTTCTGTTTTCCTGGTGGCGTTGAGGTTAAATATTTGGACCTTTGCCTTAGTCTTTTTTTATACAGTATCTTAAAACAGTGCTTCCTGCAAGTTCCAGTCAACACTTGAGTTTTCTATTGAGTTGTATTTGCTGCCAGAAAAAGCTGAGGCTTCCTCTGCTTCTTTGTGGTGCATCACTTTGACTATTTGTTTGATGATGCGTGCTCATGAACCTTTCTCTCGTAATAATGTAGGCTCGTCTGATGGAAAGGACACCCTCAATGAATGATCTGAATGAAGTCGTATTTGGTCAAGTATGTGAAACTTAATCGTAAATTTTTTTGCTTCCAGTTTAAGATAGTAACTCATTTATGCTGTTGTTATAGTAACATCTAATACGGCTTAGTCATAATTCCAAACCAAGTTGCGGTTTAAGTCTTAGGTCAGCAGGATATTGTTATTTCCTAAGCCATACCATACCATTTAACCGTTATTTTCGAGATTCCTCTAATGGTTGTTGGGATTCCTGGGTTGTAGTTTGTGGTGACTGATGCAAGATCTTGTGAATACTTGATTTATTTTTGAAACTTATCTTCAGCGCTTAAAATGACCTTGGAAGACAATTTATATGAAGAATTTTTCTGACATATTTATGCTTCTATTCTATGTAGGAACATCTAGCCAGAGATGATTCTTCATTCATCTTTTGTTTAAAGGTTTGTCATTTATTATTATTTTTTAAAAATATTATATATATATATATATTATGAGTTTTTTTTAATGATTGCGTAAGTTGGAATTTTGTTTAAAATTTAGCATGAGCTTAATTTGCACAAATGCACTCATGTCTGATCTATTTTGCTGGGGGTGTGCTAACCTCTTGGGTGGGTGCACCTAGTTTTTGGCACATTGGCTCTTCAGTCCACATCTGTATTTTTCTTGGTTCTACTTATGTTTTTGCTGTAGAAATTTAAAAGACCATGTTGTTTTCTTTTGGAAAGGTGGTCTCTGTTTTCAGTGTACTCCCAAAGATCTGTACAACGATTGTAGACTGCACCAAGGTAATGTTGGCTATGCTAGTTGTTAAAAGCACCGAAAATGACAAAACACTGCCCTCCATCTTTGTTGTCATTGTTAGAAGAAAAGACTTCTGTTGAGGTTAATGAATATTTTCTGCTGCCAATTTGTATGGTGTGTATCATTTTGATTGTGTCATGATATCACACACCATATGTATACCATATCTTTTCAAATAATCTCTTGGCCTTCGCTGGATTACATCCTGGCTATTTTTGCGGCATTTGAGTATCTACAAGCCGTTTCAGTACCTGCTAACCATTAGTATTTTAGTCCTGTATTGATAAGCAACTCCGATCTCGGTTCAGATTTTTTTTAAAACCAGAGGTTCCTTTTTTAGAAACTTTGGTTCAATAAAATTTCTTTGAGTGAATTGAAGCTAAAAGATCATTTTAAGCAAAAAGATGTAACATGTTGATGAAATTTCTTTGTTTATACACGTCGTATGATGAAATTGGCAATGCACCAAAGTTTGTCAGTGAACTTTAATTGTTGAGGGGCCAATGGGATACAGCCAGCGGACTTGGCCGCATGGATAAATCTACTCAATATTGTTATATTTTTGAGTTGGAATGATTATGAAAGCAAATTCACCGAGGAATTTGCAGTTATTTAGGGGCTTGTTCATCACTAGACATGTTCGTTTTGATGGTATTCGAAGAGGTCAACGATTCTTTGAAATTACTGCACGTTGGTGTAAAATTGGATGCAAGTATTTTTTGTGGGGTTCCCTTTGGTTGAAATTTTCAGTTGTGCTGGAAACAATGGGTTCACATATTGCATGGTTTGCATAGTTTCAGTGAATTATGATACCTTTAAAAATAAATATTTTTCAACATAATCATACTTATCTTTTTAGATAGTCAGGCGAAGATATTGAGATGCCATGCATACTTTATCCAAATTTCAATTTTATTTCAAGTTCCTCTTTTCGCAAGCAAGCTGCACGGGTGCAGTGCTCTTATATGATATCCAATTTCCCTCTTTCCTGCAATGTGATGTTCAAATTTTTTCAGGCATCAGATAATACAACACTGTATGGTGTTTGCTTACATGTAAAAGAAATAGTACAGAGGGCGCCTGGTATTTTAGGTGCTATCTTGCCTCTTTCCCAGACCAGCAGCAAATCCGGTCGCTTCTTGGTTTCTGCTCCACGTTGTTATTGCTTGCTTACGAGAGTTCCTTTTTTTGAGCTGCATTATGAGATGTTGAACAGGTTCATCCCAGATATCTTAATTTTTTATAATATTTTATCTGTTGGAATTCTGCATTTTTTAACAAATGACATTTGTCTAAGCATTCCTAGCATCGAGATGATTTATTTTTTTTCATACACAGTGTAATATCACAGGAACGGTTGGAGAGGATAACGCAGTTCGTTAGTGACATGTCTCTCACAGATTATGTCCCACGAGGAGTTAATGATCATGACCAAGTCGTTGAGGGTGTGAATACCCAAAGCATGGGATACTCCACCAATTGGATGGATTCTGCAATACCAGTTGCTGCAGTTTTAGGCCTCACTACCCCTTCATCAAGGAAAATATCAGACAAAGATATTTCTTCATTTTCATTCAGGATAAATGAACCTGAATCACCTGAAAGTGGTGTCACTAGTGAAGCTTCGGATTTTGCTTACATGAAAGAGCTAGATAAGGATGGGCCAAGAAGTCCGCTCTATATTGATGATTTTGCATCTGAGAGCTCAGAGTCACGCTGCGATAGTTTTGAGAGAGCAAATGGAATCTTTGAAAATGGTCAAATTTCGCCAACGATTTATTGTTCCAGTCACAAGTTGGAGCGCATTGAAAGCTTGGAGTCTATTTATAGGTGAGAGGGTTATTTTTTACATGAAAAAGTCAGTGTCTTTCCAGGCAACTTGAATCATTTATATCTTAATCCAGAAATTTCTATTTCTTCATTAATTCTTTGCCAGAATCTGTGATACCGCGTTCTTTAATCTAGTGCACTCAACTGTGTTGCTTTGCAATGACAAAAATGCATTGACTTTGGACAGTTCAGTTAGGAGTATGCGATCAGATTGTGAAGATGACGAAGTAATTTCCAAGTGTGAGAATGTTATTAGTGATAAAAAAGTAATGGAATGGGCCAAGGTATATATATATATATGTATATATCTTTTATGGAATTATACACCCGGACATCGATTTAGGGGGTTTATTGTCATGCTAGTTTCTGAATATCTGATGTGTCACAGGAAAACAATAATGAAGCATTGCAAATTGTTTGCCGTTATCATTCTCTTCCTGTTCCTTTGAGGGGGAGTGAGATAATTTTTCATCCTTTGGAACATCTGCAACCATTCAGATACAACCGACCTGGAGTTTCTGCTCTGGGCTTGAGTGGGACGTACTCTGATGTTGAGCTTTCTTATCCATCAGAGGTTGATGAAGTAAGAAATATGATTTGACCGTTTGGTTATAATGGCCACTATTCTTCTGTTATTTTTTTCATTAACAGAGTATCTGATATGCTCACTTATTTCTCAGGTCAATGCAAGATTGGGAGCTGCCGAGGAAGCTCTTGCATTATCCATATGGACGACAGCAACAATTTGCCGTGCTTTATCTCTTGAGAGTGTAAGCTTTCTTTCTTACGGAAGGTTGAACATTTAGGATTGAAGTTTCATTGTTTTTCATGTTCGTATACTCTTTTAGTGACCTGCTATTCCTAGATAACTTTATATATTTTACTATTTTACTTCGAAAAATTAGTAGAAAAATTAAATGGGTTCTTGCATCTTTGGAAGGAACAAATGGACTAGGTAACAGAATGGTTCCACTAATTCTGGCATATCATCTGCATCATTTTTGGCTTCGTTCGAGAGTCACAATTCATATCTTTATGAGCACTGATAAAGCTAGCATTGTTAGTTCCTCCAACAGAGGATCACTTGAAAAATTAAGTGAAACTGAATAAATTGGAAAATTCAATGTGCTTGCAAAGAGGTTATTCTTGCTAAAGAGCACCTGATATTGTAGTGCAGTCTCCAGACATTTGGGAGCTGACCCAGAGAAATTTGAATGAACAAGACAGTGCTGTAAGTGGTAACAGACAGCGTGTCCTATTATTATAGGACACGTGTGAACATATATATGTTTTCAGGTTTTCAGATTTTTTGCCTCCAAAGCAGATCTACATTAGCTTCAGTAGCATATGTTAATTAAAATTGATTAAGCATTAGATCTATAATTAAAAAATTATGGCCTTTGCATTAGATCTATGCACAAAAAATTATGGCCTTTGGATCAACTTGACTTTCCTACTAATAAATAAGTAATGATTCTTTCTACGTTGTTCATTGAAAGTTGGACTAAAGACTTGATAAAGTGCCTAGATATATTCTTTGGTGGATACTGAAATAAAGGTGTTACCGGTGGTTATAAATCATCAGACAAATGGTTTGCATAAATAATAAATAATCAGCGTTTTAAATTCATACGTTTTTTTTTCTCATGTTGTGGGTAGCTTCACTGATCATAACCCAAAGGAAATACCTGGGGTTATGTTGTTTACTACGGACATGACTAAGGACAAATTGAAATATAAGCTATTTTGTTGGTTCGTTTCCTAGTTTGTCGATTTCCTACTAGTTAGGTAGTTTCCTTGTTTTGCAGCCATTGTTTTCACCTTTACTTCATAGACTTGGGCTGCATCTCTGGCTTTAGAATACGTCTGTTGGATTGCATCCCAGATATCCTTGGTTGTAGCCAAGAACATTTGGCTCTAGTCTCAGGAGTCATAGAATTCTATAACCATGACATAATCATAGAATCTTCTCCGTCCCATGCCGCAGACCGAGGATCCCCTGGTTTTTGCCCTGTACCTGTGAGATGGCTGATCTTTCCTTTCCCTTTCAGCACAGTGAGAACAAATCGGGACCACTTAATGATTGTGTTGAAAGCGTACACACCCTTTGGATTGTGTTGTAGCAGTCAACTCTAAAATTTTCGACATCCAAAGAACTGGCAGCTACTTGCAGTGAAAGGATTGTTGGTGTCGTTAGGAAAACGGACTTGCTTTGAGCAATCAAGGCCAAAAGGATATACAATGAAGGTCGATGACCAAAAAAAAGGGTATCAGCGATCAAGGCTAAAAGAATTGGCAATGAAGGTCGATGATCAAAAGGTATTATCAGCAATCACGCACAGCCCTAGAATACTTACATGCAATGCAAAAGAGGAGAAGGTGAAAAGGCACGAACCAGATGTTCATGTTGCAGTACGCATCCCCTACCTTTGATTACTCCGTGAACCAGGCAACCCTCGACTAAACCCTAGGCTACTACAGAAGGAAGGAAGCAAACCTAGATTCTCTGGAAACCAGCGGCTACAGCCTGGCTCTGATATCATGTCGTGAACAGTGGTGCAAACTCTAGGAGGATATGCAGAGGAAAAAACTCAACTCGTATTCACATCATAGATGACTGATATAAACAAGTACGGGGAATACAAAACAAGGAAACTACCTAACAACTAGGAAACGAACCCACAAACTAGGAAACGGTCTAACTAAGGACTGAACTCTTAATGTCACGTTCTTTCCTGCACTAAATAAGTCTTAGAATCTATGAGAAGTGTGGAGAGTTTAAGTTTTATATCTGTGTCTATTTTCTATTTTTATTTTACTTTGTCATCAAAGAGGAAGGTCATCAAAAAAAAATTGAGGCACTAAGGAAGAAAAATGAAATTGAATTTGTTGAATGTTGACATGAGCGGAAGTGGATCCAGGCCACTATATCCAATTAAATGTTTTTTTGTAGATGATGATGCTGTTATGACAAGAGGACAGATTTATTCACCAGAAACAGGAAATTATTATTCATATTTATGTTTATACAACATGTTATCCCTACTTATATGCCTATCATGAAAAAACAAGAAAAGTTATTGATTTCTCCATTGTTAGAAGGCACGATGGTATCACATAGAGTTAGAATTAGATGTTCCTACAGAAAGATGAACCGATGACCAATATTTCCGAGGTAGATCTAGGACGACTGGATGAATGACGTATAAAAACCCATCACGACGGATATATATGGGATGTAGTTGTAAGCCTACATTTTCTCATTTTCTATAATATTCGTCAGATGTCATTCCTAATGGTTGATGTGGCATCCCATTTCTATAAGCAACACTACTGAGTACTTAATTGAATCTGCAAGAAGACAGACAGTACTGACAAATGATGGAAATATAAATGTATCAAATACAAGATGAAAAAGAAACTCAAAAAGAACTTTTGAAGACTCCTACTCAGACACTTTCAATGATGTATAAAAATGAAGTGTGCTAAAGTCTACCGTATTGCAGATTGATTGACATTCGTATGATGAGTGATTCCTGTGGACTGAGTTTGAAGTTTTTTTGTGTATGCAGATTTTGGCTCTATTTGCTGGTGCTTTACTGGAAAAACAAATAGTAGTCATGTGCCCAAATTTGGTGAGTTTCCACTTTTGCAAAAATTTAGAGTCGCGCAATCAATTCATTGTCAGGAGATTTAATCGCCTGTTGGCTGTTTGGTTTATCCTATTTAATTATTACTAATGCAGGGCATTCTATCTGCTACCATTCTGTCACTTGTGCCAATGATTCGACCATTTGAATGGCAGAGCTTACTACTCCCAGTAAGTATAAAATACTGACATCCATGCCCAATACAATTTTTTATCAGGCAGTCTTTCTTGCTGTTATGATCCTGTTACTACATAAAATAAAAATTTGTTCCATTCGATTCAAAGCATTTTAAAAATTTCAGAGTTCCTTATTTATTGCAGAACACGATTTTTATGATGGCCTTATTCGGTGCCGATTCTTATTGGACGAACTAATAGTTCCAGTAAAATTGATATTTTCCTGTTCACTGCTTTATAATTTTGTTTATTGAGGGACGAGAGAGAACTCACCTGGAACCTTGTCCGGTACAAATCAGTTTATAACATTTTTTCAGTAATTAAGTTGTATATCCTGTTCCAATTAGATAAATACCATCGTTTCATTTACCTTCACCATAATTATCAGCTGATAATTCGCATATACGACTAAAGGCTTCAATCATTTTTTGTTAAGCGTCCCATAGATTTTAATGTTGCTTATTCCACTGTTTGTGGTGATGATGAGATGGACACTAAGACATTCATTTTCAGATTATTTTTGTGAAGCATCATGTAGATTTAAATGATGCTCGCTCTCTATTATTTGTGGTTATTGAGAGATACATGCAAAGGCATTCACATTCAGACCTTCCAAGATGGCAAGTCTTAGCCATATTCTGGTACTTGTGTATTTCCTGGGGGGATGCCTTCGTTGCCAACTGATAAGTTGTAAACCTACTCGATGCTGTAGGATCGTTCAGTGGCTATCATCGGGGGTATTCTGTATCTTTTATATACGTATAAATGAAATGTGATTGTTAACACCATGTAAACAGGTTGACATTTCTTAGGTTAGGTTGTGTTTACTGTGGTTGAACCCAGCAACACCATGTATCCAACCTTTGTGCAAAATTTGGTGAAACAAGCTATGATGCTCAGGAATGAACAGTTCACTGCTTGGTCATAGATCTCCCGTATATTTTTAGCTACTGTTTAGTGTTAATGATATTTTCATGACTAATTAAATGTCTGCCTAATTTAAAACATTTCAATCTGATGACTCATTTCCTCATCTAAGCCTGGGTCAACGTTCTTTACAATACTTTCTTTTTAATCTTGTTATTGCCATCCCATACACTGACGATATGATAACTAGACTTCAAACTGCTCTTTGGTGCCTTGTCCTTCTTTTCAGGTTCTACCTAGAAAGATGTTTGATTTTCTTGATGCCCCTGTTCCATACATTGTAAGTCTGAAATTTCTTTCTGCCCATGTTTCTTCTGTTCATCCCCCCCGAGTTCTTTTTGCCAATGTTTTGATCATGAAAAATCCCTTAATTTTTCTGTGAATTTTTTTTTACAAGTGGGTGTTATGTTCTTACTGATCATTGAACACTGATTCCGTCTTGTAGGTTGGCATACAACATAAACCAGCAGATCTGAAGATCAAAACTTCCAACCTTGTGAGGGTTGACGTTTGCAAGGATCAGGTTGGAGCATGGCTTGACAGTCCTTTTTGACTAAAAACCATTGTTGATATGCGCTGATATTTTTGGATAATGATTTCTTATCCATAACACTCTTTTGTTTCTAAGTGTACCTGATTATAAGGCATCCAACATTTTTCCCTATGTAATAGATGTTATGAAAAATATTTATTTATGCAGAGTATTACTCTAGCTTAACATTTAATTTTAATGATTCAGGTGAAAATGTGTTATTTGCCCCCACTTCCTCGACACAGGGAACTTGTCTCAGAACTGAGTCCAATCCACACTAGACTTTCTTGTGAAGATTTCCTAGCTAAACGACATCCTGTGTATAGATGCAGTGAAGTTCAGGTATCGTTGTGTTTCCCAGCATGTAGAATATGCTTTCTCTGTTCTAAAATAGTTCATCATACCTGCTGTAAATAGACGTAATTCAGATCTCAATAATAAGTTATATTCAGTAGGCATGTAAAGGTATTCAATGCTCACCTGCTGTTCTTGAACAGCGGTTGGATTTGAGACTAGTCAACCTTTGGATCATTGTTGCAAAAGTTAGGGCATTAATTGGACGTTGGATATATCAAACAAAGGATCTTCGTCATCTGTCAAGGGTTTATGTGGCATTTTGAGTATGTCAGTCCTCCAAAGGGTGCTCTCTAGTACCCGGGAAAATGTCAAAGACTACTTTACTTTATTAGTTGCCAGTTTCGGCCCATGGAACAGGGGAAAAAACCTTCAGATGGCCAAACATCCACACAGGTGGAATTCTTCATGCTCTATAGTTACTGATCCAAAATGCACAGGGTTTATTAATGCTTTATCCTGCGGAAGATTATCTCAGTAGGTATCCTGCGGGAAAAATGCACAGGAAGTAAAAACAGAAAATTTCAGCTCAAGTTCAGAAATATAAAAGATATAATCGACGTGGCATTATTGTATGCATTCAAATGTTCAAGAGTTACGGGAACGGGAGGTGCCCATCAATCTGGCCAGCCGAATTTTATCAAGAATTTGCTCAACTTTCTCTTGAAAAAAATTTGAGATTTTTTTTAATCATTGACACTCATGTTAGCTGTTGAGACGTTTTATTAATGTCTTCTTCTTCTTCTTTCTGTATCTTTCGTATTATAGTTTTTCTTTTCATTTTACGTTGTTATCAGTCCTTTATTTTGTTAATATATTAGTTGTTGATTTCCACCATTAATAAAAATTCTCAAAAGGCTCCTCTTGATTTCGAAAATGTTCTTGATGAAGAGGCAGACGAAGTTCTGATATTTTGGCACAGTTTTCATTCTTCTGTTTTATGGTCCAGGCTGAGGCAGCTCACCAATTTTTAAGCATATTGAGGAACTATCTGGAATCATTATGCTCAAATTTGCGCTCACACACTATTACAGATGTGCAATCAAGCAATGATAGGGTCAGTAAATGAGCAAATCTAGAAACCTTTCTGACAGATGAATTGGCTTTCATGTTTATGCCATTATCTCACACATTAAGATATAATTCTTGTTTTGTTCAGGTCTCACTCCTGCTTAAAGAAAGCTTTATCGATTCATTTCCCAATAGGGACCGTCCATTTATCAAGGTACTTGGGAGATTTCTCTCGAATTTGTGTTTTTTAATAGAAAACCTTTGTCCAGAACCTATTTTAGCATCTTGCGTTGCAGAGAATTTGTAGTTTCCTTCTTTTTCATGAAAAGTTTCGCGAAAGATGCATTGTGTACCACATGTCATTTATTGGAAGGGCGGAGCAATGGTAGAATCCCCAGATAGCTGCCTCCATGGACATTCATTCACAGGGGTGTTTGTAGGAAAGATTTAATATTAGGTAATCATCTTCTGATGTGCACAGTTCAAATATGATATTGCAGATAATAATCATAGGAAAAAATTGTCATCAACCCGGTAGACTAGTGAGAAAGGAATAGGATCCGTCTCCCATTTATGTAGAAACAAAAGCGCTTTGGGAAACTTCCGGGTCACAAATCTCCAAGGTTGAATTCCAAGAACTGATGCATTTGATTTAATCTTGTTGGCTATGGATCTGAAAAAAGATTCCGTTGTATGCTTGCACTTAAGATTCCAACATGATGTCCAGCAGTCAGAAATCTGTGATGTTTCCTATTTTAGTTCGAAGAAAAAGGGATATTTAAGTTTGCCCCAATGATTCATATGATACAATAACCCGCTGTGTACTACATACTTTGGAAAGCTCCATGGACGAACTCCCATTTGAACATGTGGTACACAATTGAAACCTTGGCCCATCTTAAGTCTCACAGCATGCACAAGGATTCTACCATTGCTCCGCCGCTCTCCTGGTGCATGCTGCAGAGAAATTGGCTTTCTGCTGTCTGACCTGGAGTAGAACATTAAAGACAACAGACAGATGATGCTTCTAATGCTTATATTTTCTCCAGTGATCGTCCTAATATCCCATACGACAAAGAAACAGCCTCTTGTGGCTTTTTTTGACTGAGCTCTGCTGTTTTCTGACATGGGAAACCTTCCCACTCGATTGAAACCTTGGCCCATCTTAAGTCTCACAGCATGCACCAGGAGAGCGGCGGTGATTCTAGAAGCATTTCATTGGACCCACCCATCTTATGGCCTCTCATATTTCATATTTCATATTTCATTGGCTATTTATGACATTCAAATCCTTTCTATTAAGTCAATTTATTTATTTTATCGTATTAGCATGAATCGCAGTTATAGAAGCTGATCAGACATCCAATAAACCTTAAGAAAACATGTATCTGGGGGAGCAATAATCTTAGGAGCATCCCATGAAGCTATCTAGACTTACTCTTCAATAAGTCCCCACTCAGCCCTCTATGTGGATATATGACTATGCTTTGTCATAATGGCCGTAGAATTAAATTTATTAGTTTTTTACTGACATAATCATCTCCACCAGCTCTTTGTAGACACTCAGATGTTCTCTGTTCTCTCGGATTCCCGTCTCTTGATGTACGAGAACGAAAGTCTTTGACCACCTCGAAGCCTCCGCCCCCCGCATCATGCAGCTGGGTGAATCACTCCGAGTCTTCTCCTCGGTAGGCCTTTTCATCCCTGTATTTTCTGTGGAATGCTTCTCATTCTATCCACTGTAAATCGAAGTTTTCAGTAAATAAAAGAGCAGGGATGTGATAGGGGCCTTTCACTTCTTGAAGAATTTTGTAGTGGTATTAAAGCCACCGTGTTCTAGTAAAATAAAAATTATGATTTAAAGAAATAAAATAAAAATTAAGCCACCGTGTTCTAGTAGTATATTGATATTTTATGTAATCTATAGTACCCGTAGAATTGTTTAAATGTCGCGCGATTATCTCTTAGACTTCAGAGAGGAATGTTATGATTTTGATGAAATTTCTACCGAAGGTCAAATCGGTTTCTTGGCATGTGTTTGCTTCTCTCTATCTATCTTCAGAGAGTATATGAGCATCATCTTAGCAAAATTGTTTATGTAATCGTAATGATCACACTAAAATGAAGATTTTTCAAACAAAACAAAAAAATTAAGCCACCATATTCGAGTAGTATATTGATATTTTATGTAATTTATAATATCTGTAAAATTGTTTGATGCCGCCTGATTGTCTCTTAAACTTTAGAGAGAAATGTTATGATCTTGATGGAATTTCTACATGCGGCAAAATCGTTCTCCTGACATGTATTTTTACCTCTATCTTCAGAGAGCATACGAGCATCTCAGTAAAGTTCTAGTGATGACAACCCTTCTTTGCTTGCCTTATGAGCATCTGTTCTAGTCACGAATATTGGGTATAAAAATCACACCTTCAAGTAATCAGTGGTTGGTACTTGAATCCCCAAGAGGGGTTCAAGGATTCGTATATTTTATGAGCGAATCTTGATTCTTGGCCATCTTTTTTAATGGTTCGTAACTTTGGAAAAAATCGGTCATCCCTTGTATTATTGGCTACTGTGGCATGGATTAATCGCCTCAGAGATCGAGTAGGTAAGCTCTGTTGACTTCTTGAGGAAAGGATTCACGGTTTGCCCTGGTATTTTTGTGTAGACCGAGAAAGACAAAGACCCGGATCCAGCCTAGTGCCAGAGAGAGAGAGAGAGAGAGAGAGAGAGAGAGAGAGAGAGAATTACTTCATGCCCATTCTGTACATCATTATTCCTTAGCTATAAACTCTTGGCAATGCTGTCCCAGAAATATGAGTGTGATTCAAAGTTTGTCCAGGCGTTTTCTCCAACTGTGTAGACCGAGAAAGAGAGAGAGAGAGAGAGAGAGAGAGAGAGAGAGAGTTACTTCATGCCCATTCTGTACATCATCATTCATTAGCTATTAACTCTTGGCAATGCTGTCCCAGCAATATGAGTGTGGTTCGTCCGGCTAGAAGCCAATGGGATTTGAAGAACCTGGCGATCTCAAGATTTAAGTCGCCACAGATGCGTTCTTTTCGATCTGTAGTTGACGTGCTCGGTCGCGTTCGATCTTCCGTTGGCGCCACTCCTCAATGGCTGAAAGTCAACAAGAAGCATCAAGTAATCATCATGAATCAAAACGGGCAGCCATGAAACTTGGCTCCACTGATTCACGAACACAGAATCTGCTGAAGCAGATCGAGTGATTCTAGTAAGAAACCATTCAAGGAATCACTGTGTTCAGCTCAGAATCAATGGATCACGAGTTGGGTGCAGACATTTTAGCTCATAACCAATGTACTGGATCACACGTCTAGTCTTCTCGTATTTGATGTGGGATTATATGATCATGACAAGGGTTTCTTTTTTCTCTGTGGAAAGAAAAAAAAAAACGGAGAAAGAGATGGTACCTTTCTGGCCGTTGGCGTCATTCATGGTCCGTAGATCATGCAGTCTCTTGGAGAGATCAGCCGCGGCAGTTTTCTTTGGAACATTCTGCTGCAAAGTTTCTGGTTCAGCATCCGCCTCTTGTTCGATTTCCCTCAACTAAAACCAATTAAATGAGAATCGATTAGATAGTATTCCGATCCAAGTAAATATATCAGAGTTGATGATTTTCAAACTGTGGCCATATTGCAACTTACTCTCTTAATCAGCTCCACGGGCTCCATTGCACGGCGCATCTCCTCGGATTCCGAAATATATCTCAATAATTCTGTTTTTTGTGGACAATATGATCCAAACAATGGTCAATGTTCCAGCTATTTCACCACTGGTTAAGTAATTTCTAAAATAGCTAAGAGCAACACATTAGAATGAAAGCAGTTGAGCTCAGTGATAGAAATAGAAGGAAAACAGGTTTGTATAATAGATCAAATACGATTTTATCTTCTTAACCACGATTACCCAAATATATCTCAATATGATCCAAACAATAGTCATTGTTCCAGCTATTTGACCACTGGTGAAGTGATTTCTAAAATAGCTGAGAGCAACACATTAGAATGAAAGGGAGTTGACCTCAGTGAGAGAAATAGAAGGAAATATTTATATAATAGATAAAATACGATTTTATTTTCGCACCCATGGTTTGGTGACCAAAAGTCATTATATGTGGATGCAAGAAAGGGTCCAAGGAACAAGACCCCTATCATCCAGGGTTGCTAAAAATGAGCATATTCGATGGACGTGATATCTAATTTAATCAAAAAGCTACCAAAGTTCAATGCCATCAGCCTCCACGCTGCAGATGCTGAGATAATTGTTTCGAAACCAACAGCTGATTCTGTGCTGGTGCACACAGCCTCAGAAGAGTCTAGTGAAGTGCATTATTTCTGTCCATCCCACAAGATTTGCCACCAAATCTCCTTCCCTGTCCTCGTTCAGATCTGCTGCACAAACTGCAACAGGTCGCTTGTTCTTAGTAAGGTGCATTCCAACACATCCCCAAGTATTTCGAAGTCGGGGACATCCCACCAGTGTAGGGCCCCGGGTCAACGTGATCCTCCACCTCGAGGAATCAGGCGTATTCAGAGGAAGAAGAAAGAATCATGAAATCCAACCATCGGCAAACGCGCGCAATGAAAATTTCGCAGAGATAGACCTTACCAGGATCGAGCTGACCCGGCTGGGTTGCCGGCGCGGCGAAGAACCCCCGCAGGAGAAGAAGCGCGAGGAAGATGTTGAAGGAACACACGACGAGGGTAGCATCCCTGTACGAGAGCTTCATCCTCCACGCCTGAAAAACGATCCCTTCATCTCCTCTGCTGCTCCCTGGGAAAGAGCGCAGAATGAAAAGCCCGCTCCACCGACCGATCGATCCCTTGGGAGCGTTTGGTTTGCCGGAAAAGAAGCACCCGAATACTGCACACTAACGGATCTGAAAATGGTTCGGATATAAACCGATACATCCGTTCTCCCTCGTCCCATAAAACTGGGCCCCTCCAACGTTCTCTGCAAATTCTGCAGCAGCAGATGCACCGAAACGCTCGTCGATTCTCCGCCACCGCCGCCGCTGCTCAGCTCTCCGTCCTCCTCAACTGCGTGCGGATTTCGATAGAGGAGCGGTCGGCTGGTCTCCTGTGCAGGTCTCACGCTGCTGCTTTCCCTCTCGGGCTCCACCGCCACCCGTACCTCGCGTCCCGCCTGATCTCCGCCTACTCCCTCCTCGGCTCCGTCTCCCTCTCTCGCTTCGTCTTTGAATGGAGCCTGCAAGAAGGAAACCCTCTCCTATGGAACTCCATGCTCGCCGCCTACTCCCGCGACGGCCACTTCCGGGAGGCCATGTCCCTCTTCAGCGGGATGCTCCCCCGAGCGCCACCAGACAACTACAGCCTCGCCATTCTCGCCAAGGTCTCCGGCGAGCTCGCCGATCTGGCCTCCGGTGGGACGATACATTCTCTGGTAGTAAGGCTAGGGTTTGCCTCTGATGTCGTCCTGCTGAATTCTCTCATGGGGATGTACTTAAGATGCGGGGAGTCGAAGGATGCTCGCAAGCTTTTCGACGAAATGCCCAGGAGGAGCGTGTCTTCTTGGAACGGGCTGATGTCGGGGTCTGGAGAAGCAGTCTGGGATCTTCTGTTGCAGATGCAGCGAGAGGGGTTGAGGCCGGATGAGTTCACGATCTCCACTGTTCTTCCCTTCTGCACTGCGGATTCCACTGGTAGATGGCTTCCTCGTGGGAGAGAGATCCACGGATTCGTCCTGAGAAATGGTCTGGGACTGGGATCAGAGCTTGATTGTTACATCGGCAGCTGCCTGATTGATATGTATTCGAAAAGAGGGAGTGCGAAGCTGGGGAGATTCATCTTCGATCGGATCGCCTGGAAGAATGTGGTCGCCTGGACCGCCATGATCTCGGGTTACGTGCAGAGTGGAGAGCTGGAGGAAGGCCTGATCCTCTTCCGTATGATGCAGCATAAAGCCGGAGTAGCTCCCAACAAGGTCACTCTCTTGGGGATCCTCCCAGCCATTGGCTCTCTCGCAAGCTTGATCTCGGGAAAGCAGATCCACGGCTTCGCAATCAAAGAAGATTTGATCCGGGAAGCCTCCTTGAACAACGCTCTGATCGACATGTACTCCAAGTGCGGCAGCCTGGATTCCTCCAAGCGGCTCTTCGATCAAGATGGCTGGCAGAAAGATGCGATCTCCTGGAGCTGCATCATCTCGAGCTATGGCCTCCACGGGAGAGGCGAAGAAGCGACGTCCATATTCCGCAGGATGATCGAGCTCGGAATGGATCTGGATCACATCACCTGCATGGGGATTCTCTCCGCTTGCGGGAGGTCCGGCTTGGTCGCCCAAGGCCTCGAGATCTACACCTCTCTGATCGACGAGCACAGAATTCTTCCCACGGCGGAGATCTCCTCCTGCGTAGTCGACATGCTCTGCCGTGCCGGAGACCTCCAACGAGCGTTGAAGTTCATCGACTCGACGCCATCGGCGGCCACTCCGAGCGCTTGGGGAACGCTACTCGGATTCTCTGTGGCTCAGGGGAGCACGCAGATGCGAGACCTGGCCTGCGATCGTCTTCTCCATCTGGAACCTGATAATCCGTCCAACTTGGTGGCGCTCTCCAATCTTCACGCCTCCTCGGGGAGGTGGGACGCGGCGGCGGAGGTGAGGGCGAGGATGAGAGAGAGGGGGCTGAGCAAGCTCCCTGGGTGCAGCTGGATCACCATTAATGGCGTCCTCCATTCCTTCTTCGCCGCAGATTACAGCAGCCTCCATGACTCGGAGACGATGATCTTCCCAGTTCTGGAGAGTCTCCATTCCCACGGTACGTAGGCGGGAGTAATCGGGATTTATCCTCCACGTGTCTGTTTCAAGTGCCTCCACGCGACAAAAAGTGCGTGTTTAAATTGGTCTTGAGGGAACATGGAAGATTTTGAGCCTCATATGGGCCAGTTCATCAGTACGGGAGCCAGCCGTTAACGGCGAAAAAACTGCGCCGTTAAGAGAGAGAGAGAGAGAGAGAGACTCTAGTCGATTTTGAGGACGGCCTCCACGTGGTAACGACAATTAAATGGCCCTCTCGGAAACAAGCATATTTTGTGCCTAATGACGGCCGGTATATCAAGGGCCCAGTTCGTCAGTAGGGAGCCGCCAGCCGTTAACAACGAAATAACTGCGCCGTTAAAGAAAGATTCTGTCTCTTTCCTCTCTCTCCTCTCTCTCTTCTCTGGGTCGGAGAAAGTGCGATTTTGTGGGCCCAATTGGGTGGAAGAAGAAGCCTCCGGCAAGTGATCCGGAGGAGAAGCTACTTCCTCCGTCGCAGGGGCTTCGTTACCGGCGGGTGGTCTGGTCTGGTCAGAAAGAGTTTCTCTTTCAGGTTGGAGAGCTCTCTGTTCCCTGCTCCCTGTTCCCTGGTTTCTCCCCACTATTCCTCTCCCCTGCCACCTGCTCTGTCGATTGACGTCCTGAGAAGCATGAGGCTTGAGGAGCACCTGTTTGCGGAAATGCCCCCAGCCGTGGATCGTGATATCCCCCCACCGACTCCCCCTCCCGAACGAATATTTCAGCTGCCTTCTCTGTGAGGGAGGCTCGATTTTGTGGTTATAGTTTTCCAGTTCTCGGAAAAGTGTTTCTTACGAGACATGTCTAGTACGGTGGCAGATTTTTAATTGACTTGCGTTGGTCCGATGGATTAGAAAATCATCACTTGTGTAGTTTTCCGATGTGTGCTTTTTTATTTCTAGCCAGAGCTTGATCCTTAGCTGTTGATGGAGGAGAGTAATGCATTTTATGTTGTGCGGAAGGGAGATATTGTTGGTGTGTACAAGAACTTCAGTGACTGCCAGGACCAGCTCAGTACTTCGGTAACTCTTCTGGCTTTTTTATGCCTTATTGGTGTTTAGTGAGAAGTTTCATAGCCAAGAGCATTGCTCCATTAATCAACGATCGTAAATGGCATTGTAAGTTGCAGTTAGGATGGTCTGATTTTCGAATGGCTGATATCTATGGAAGAAAAGTTCTTCTGTTCGCTTATTGATCCTGAAATTTGCCAGTTTGCCGATCTTCCCACGTTTGCTCGTTGATTGACATTTCCTTTTTTCTGCCATTAGTTTTCTATTATTTTTTCTACATCACGTTCTACTCCTAATTTCTGTGTTTCTCGAAGAGTCATTTTCATCCTGGAGAAAATGTTGAAGTTGGCTAAGGTTTATTTTGTGTAAGACAGATCCCAGTGATGTCACCAAACGTCCATGTAGAGAAATGTTGCAACCGAGCTATACAATTTATTTCTTTTCAAACTGTCATAGACATTGACAGTTGATGGCATTTTTTTATTTACGTTGCTTCTAGGTTGTTTTTGAATTTCTTTGTCATTATATTTGCTTCTTCTGGTGCATCAATGTTGCAATGAAATTATTTATGGACAAGGAAATCACTATTTTTTTAGCCTTGAAGCTGAGCAAAATTCTCATTTGATTTCAACGTTATTTTCCTGTTTCGTTCCTATATTTCCTATGATACATTTTATATTATTTTACTTCATTTTATTTAAGCGTATATTGGATAAAGTCTTTTTTGATATTGGAGGTCTGTTGTTTGCTGAACTATTAAAGATGATCTTATTGTCACTATTGTCACGAAGAAAGTTTCAGAAATTGTTCTGTCAATCTTCTAACTCACAGTAAACCATATTTTATAGGTATCTGATCCTGCTGTAAGCATCTATAAGGGTTATTCTTTGCACAAAGAGACAGAGGAATATCTTGCTAATCATGGGTTTAAAAATGCTGCCTACTCCATTAATTCCGTAGATCTCAAGGAAGATCTCTTTGGTACTCTCGTCCCATGCCCTGTCAAGGTAAATTTACGAGCTTGTTAACGTTTCTATTATCACTTTTATTGGATCACAGGAGCTTCTTAATACTTGTCACTCAAATTAATCACGTTTTTTCATTTCCAGCAACCAGATGAAGAAAGGCCTTTTGCACAAAAAAGCTCAAAGGAAAAGGTAGAATTATTGTTTCTCTATATTCGTATCAATCTCTGAAAACTTATACAGTTTACTCACGTTAGTTGATGACTGGCATGTACTGTAACTAGTTCAATGCTGGGACAGTTGGATACCACTTGAAGTGATTCATGCAAGTTTTGTGTGGGATGAGCTTCGAAAGAGGGCTTTGGTAGCCTGGGATCTGCTAAAGGAGTATTATTAGTTCCCAGATGGTTTGGGCTAATGGGAGCTGATATGATCATGCTTCCAGACGCCTCCCCATTTTCCCTTTTTCTTTGGCTCAAAGCAAGACATCAGATCTTTCCTGTGTGCACGTGAACGTTAGGGGAATAAAAAATATATTAATTAAAAAAAACTTCTTGTACATGTTGTTGACTTCTTGACTTCTTGACTTCTTGACTTCTTGACTTCTTGACTTCTTGACTTCTTGACTTCTTTTTAATTAATTAATAATTAATAATTTCTGAGGTTGTTGTTTATTATTGACTTCTTGGCAGGATAAAATCAGACTACAGGTGACAGACACTTCAAAAAAACGTGTTAGGTTGATTGAGCCCATCAAGGAGCAGTCCCTATGTTCCAGCAGCGTAAGTCGTCTAACTCCTGCTGATCTACACATAGGAAGCTAGGGATGATTTATCAATCGTCGAATCCAGTAATCTAGTTCTTAGATTCTTTTCTGGTAGTGTAAGATTGATTCATGAATTGATACATATAATATGCATTTGTAAGAAAACTCTGGGATCCTTTGATCTAGTGAAGGAAGAAAACTCCCTTCTCAAAGTGTTACAATTTTTGAAGAAAAGTAGCTGATTTGAACAAAAGCACAATTGTCTGCTTGGTTTAGGTTACTATGTAATTTTGATAAAACTGAAAACCTCCTATGATTCACTGAGGAACCGCTCTGACATGTCCATCCTAATCTCTGTAAATCCCTTACGGTTTCACCTCAAAAAGTTACGACGTAGTATATCATTTTCATTTTTCATCTTCTTGAACTTTTGTGTCTTCGGTATTACAACCCTCTGAAAAGAGCGTAAATGTGATTATCTTCTACATAAAGAGGTGGATCAGAACTTATTATGAAATGGGCCATTGATTTGTTTACATCTAAATGGCGGGGATGAAGGGGCAATTTAATTCTGCATTTGCTTCTGGATATCAGATAGCTAACTTCAGATCTGTTGAGTGTCTTATTTGGCGCTTTCTGGGGTTACTATGTCTGACTATTCCCTGTGGGAGTACTCCATTACCTCGAGGCTTTATATTACTTGGCCCAAATTTCAATAAGGATTATATCTATTTTTGTTCAGATCTGACAAAATGGTCGGTATCTCTTTGAAGAAGCGGTTATCGTAAATCCCAACTATGGTAGCTTTGCTTCCTTGATCGTACTCCTTTTTTTCTTAAAATTTAATCCATATCCAAAACAGACTTCATAGTGATGCTGCGTTATCAAATGATTCCTTACACGGTTCAAAGAGAAAGAATGGAGGAATTTACTAACAACAATGTATTGAATCCAATCATGGGCGATCAAGTAAGCTTTTTTCTGAGAATCAAGACAATTGTTAACTCTGACCTAATTAATTCAGCCAACATTTAAATAAGGCTTATCCGACTTCCAGACATAGTAGTATAGTTTGGTGTTGTCAATTAAGTCCTGAGTATCTTAAAAAATGTCCCAGTATTATTGTACTGAAACATCTTGGATCCTAGGGTAAGACTTTGTTTGAACTTGAGGCATAGGGATCAACTCAGAAACAAAGTCTCTCTGGGTGTATGAATCAGTTATCAGTGTCCACAGAAAGAAGAGGGACAGTTACTGAGAGGATTGCATTGACATCGATCTTCAATTGTTAAGTAAACTTTTTATTTAATGTTGGGACAGACACAATTACCTAGTGATTTTATGATAAGCCATGTGATCCTGAGGGTAATACTTGCGTCTTCCTCAAGTTAGACGTGTAAAGGATAGTTATTTAACCCTGATAAAAGCTTCTGACTGACTAGATGCAACCTGCATTTATTCACAGACAATTATTTCTTCACTCAAGATTGGCTCTCTATGCCAGGTGTTCAGGGTGTATTTATGTTTGGCATATGCCTGCCCTGACCGGGATCTTTGGAGATGATTCTGTACCAATTCGGTGACGGAACTTTAGGACATCATTGGGGGAGTAATCTGGTGCAGCAGCTAACCGTGTTAACTTTCAAAGCGTTTATACAAGCCCGTAGTGAGGGACGTGATCTTGTGGGCCTGTTCGCTTTTACTCGTTTTTACAGTTTACAGACTTTTGTATTGCCTCTCCTTCCTGCTGTATTTATGTTAATCCACTTCTGAATGATACTTTAGCAAGATCTTTTAGGTCCTTTATAAATTACAAAAATTATGGATACTTGTAACTGATGATACATCATATATTACTTCAGAAAGGAACAATAGTATCTCATTGCTTCAAATATGGTTATGAATCAGGCGTAGAACCAATGGGGGATGCTTGGTTGCAATTCCGAAACTTGCTATCATATGTTGCTCTTGTTTTTGTTGTTTTTGATATTGAAGCAGTCTTTGTTTATCCGTGGCCAATGAGTTTGATGTATTAGGTGTATCCGTATATATAGAAGGTTTAGTTTTTGTGCTCATCGCAATTGCTGGTTCAGTTTATGCATAGCAAAAAAGTGCAATGGAATGGTCTCAGCTCCTGAATATTCAGACAAGAAAAAAAAAAAATCCATTGACACAGTTATGAATTTGATTGAGTTCCCATCTTAGGCCTAAGGCTGAGTCATTATGGCATTCCTCTCTGCCGCTGGCACTTGAGGAACCATGGGGCACTCCATGTAGAGCAAGCAAGTCTTAGGGATAGGACGCCCGTGCAAGGACCTCACTTAAATATTTTTCATTTGTATGATTCCATATTTTAGGAATCATATGAATTTCCAGTGAAACCCGACAAAAGGAACATTACTGATTTGTATAAATTACTGAACGGAAAATGTTCCGATTAAATCCATTGAATAACTAATCTTCCTGTTATCAAAGAAAAAGTAACTAAATAATCTTTGTTGGATGAATCAGATGATCCTGGGATTTCGTGAACAAAGAAAGTCATCAATTTGATGATAATTAGTGACCAATCATTTCTGATTCTAATGGATTTTAATGGCAGTTAGAAAACATAATCTTCATTATATATGGGTTCAGGTCTCTTGCATCATCGAGTTTGATGGAGCTTCAAAAGGAAATCCCGGAAAAGCCGGTGCTGGAGCAATCCTCCGTTCGGAAGACGGAACTGTGGTGTGTATTTTCTCCAGATCCTTTTCTTCCTGATTTAATTTCTGTCCGTCGGATGTTGTACAAGCAAGCAGATTGGCTTCCACGCTTCGTGATGTGTGTAGGTTGCTAGATTACGTGAAGGCTTGGGTGTTGTGACAAATAACGTGGCAGAGTATCGAGCTATAATCTTAGGAATGAAATACGCTCTTCAGAAGGGATTCAAGCGCGTTCGCGTAGTAGGAGACTCCCAACTTGTCTGCAACCAGGTTAGCAGTTGATGAAGGTTTATTAATTTCGAAGGCTGTTGTGATCCTAGACGAATGATTTATTTAGTTTTTTTTTTCGACAAGGAATGATATTTTTTAGTGTAATCTATATACTTATTTTTTATGTTTTTTATGTTTTTTCTCTTCTTTCTTTTTTATTTGGTGCTGGGTGTGCAACAGTTCTTGAGGCAAATCATCCACGGAAGGAATTCGAACTGTTACAATTTTGAAAGCACTACTATGATTGTTCTTGCAGTGTAGCATTTTTTAGTTTCGAGTCCAGTCTCTACCCTTTGGAACGACTTTCATTTTTTTTAATAAATTTATTTAATTTATAAATTAAAAATCAGAGACATGCAATTCCCAAAAGATTAAAATCAGTCGAGACATCATTCCTTAGAGAATGGCAGCTTAATTCTGGATAGCATAAGATCAGGATCAGAATGTCAGTAAGTTATTTAATTAAAATGTAAAGAGAAAATGAATGGGAGAAAAAAAAACAGCATACTCCTTTACCCTGTCTACCGAGGTAATGACCTCCCTTTGTCATGTTGCTGCATGTCTCGACTGCAAGTCAGAGAGCGTTGATGTCAAGTTGATAGCTAGTTTGTCCGATTTCTTTAGATGTACTGCAGCTGACCAAAAATTATTGTTTCAAATCGAAATAGGTCCAAGATCGATGGCAAACAAAGCACCCAAATCTCATGAACTTGTGCAAGGAAGCTAAGGAACTCAAGAGCAAGTTTGATAGCTGTGAGATCTGCCATGTGGAAAGGGTAAGTTCATGATCACCCCCATTCAGTGCGACACAGCTTAAACCCTAACAGCTTTAACTCCTGAACCCTAATACGTCCTTGGGATTATTCTATGCCCCAGTAAAATGTTTGGATTAGAAAATGGAACATGTGAGAAAATTATGATCTCGTTGTCTTCTCTGTGCAAACCTTCAAGATCCACCTTTAACACTGAAGTAATACTTCTTTTCGGACATTATAATGCATTTGTACAGAAAAAAAATCCCTCCTCTGGTCATTTCCTCATTAGCAATACATTAACACGCCTTGATTTCCTTTTGAATGCATAGAACTTGTTCTATCCTGATGTGAACAGCTGTGCTCCAGTGATCTGTGAGTTCTTAAGGGGTCAATATTCTTGGCATGACTCCCTTGCTCCTCCTGTTATATATTGTAGGAACTCAATTCTGATGCTGACAAGGAAGCAAACTTCGCCGTTCATCTCGCCAGTATGTCGCGCCACTCCCAGTGATCCCCCTTCTAGTCAATCATTTTCTCTGGGTCAACTGATGCCTGCCAGGATGATGACCAGAAAATTTTAATCTCAGGTGGTGAAGTTTATGACTCGGGTGCTGCAGCATACTAGCATCACCTTGCTGGTCCTTTCCCCTTTTTTCGTCTTCTGGCTTCATCCGTTGACTTGAGCAGCAGGGCGTTGACTTTCAGTCTGGCCCAGAATTCAACAATCTCCAATGATGTCTCATCATCATCTGGGTTCCTCATTTTGTCAAAGAGATGGCGGGCATCGTCACCATGGCTGTGAAATCCAATAAAATAGAGGTATTATTGGTCTGTCATGTGAGAAATTCCTGATGAGCTTATGTTTAATGTGATTAAAAAAAAAAAAATAGGTTTGCTCGTGATGAAGCTAACCTTGTGGAGTTGACAATGTTTCCATCCAAGCTAAGATCATATGAACTGTGCTTCGTGGTTTCTTGAGTTTCATGCGTTTGGTGGCGGCGATTTCTGAGCTCAAATGGTCGTCTTTGAATGCTATAAAAGGAAAAAGAAAAAAAGGCTGGCCTCTTGTGAGTTGATTTCTGCTAGTAAATTGTTTCACTGGACGAAATCTAGGGAGTTGGAGTCTGGCCTCTTGTTGACTCTTGTGAGTTGCACAAGAACAATAGTTGACCTCATGATGCGCCACACCCTAGTCTAATGGGTCAACAACGTTGTGGTAGTGCCACCAGAATAATAGTTGAATCTCAGAGTGGTCAAACAATTTGGTCAATAAGGGTTGATACTAGCGTATGTGCATACAAAGAAACAGTTGACCTCATGCTCATTAATACTGAGGTCTAGTAGTCTATATAGCATGGTAAGATTGGTCAACAACAATGCCAAATATGTTGACGGTATAATACGTTTTAGAGGCAGAGTCGTTGACCTCATAATATTTAATATTTTTTAAAAAAATGGGTTTATACAACTTAAAAGTTGCGTGGGAATATACGTCCATTCCCTTTTTCAAGAGATCATTTTAATGATTTAGTTAAAAATATATATATATATATGCAACAAACTCTTGACTTAAAAGAATTGTGAGATTAAAAAAGTCAAATATAAAATTAAACTTGATCGTACCATAAACTAAAAAGCTAATTATCGATTAAAAAAAGTTAGTTGCCAAGCACATATCATACGTAGTTTTATTTCCCTAAAACTACGTGAAAAAAATGTTATTATTTTAATTTTCCCAACTCCCCGCCTCCCATATCATCTTTATTAAAAGGATTGACATCTTCTTTGGGTTGACCTCGGATCATACGTAGTTGACGGTACAATTCGTTTTAGAGAAAGAGTAGTTGACCTCATGATATTTAATAATGTTTGAAAAATGGTTATACGTACAATTTTAAGTTCTGTAGGAATAGATGATACATTTTTGTTTTCTGACCTCCTGAGATAGTGGTTAACCTCACCGTTCCGTGATGGCAGCCAACTTATCCTGAGATATCCACTTCTGCTGCCACAGCAGTGAGAGCAAAGGAACAGCTCGCGTTTTCGTATCCCCACAGAGAGGAGGAAGAGGAAGAGGAAGAAGAGACATGGCCTCGTCGATCTCCGCTCTCCACTCCCCTCTCTCGTGCCGCCTCTGCAGAAGAAGCTCGCCCACTGGATTCTTCTCCCGCTCTCGTCCCGCCTGCGCTCTGCCCTCGTCGCCCCTTCTTTCTTCGAGGACGCCTGCCTCCCTTTTCGGGTCCCATGGGAGGAACCCGCCTGTGGAAAGGAGAGCAATGCGCATCAGGGCCGTCGCAGAGGAGGAGACCCTCGTTTCCGAGAGTGGAGGAGACGAGGTGTTGCCGGAAGCGGCCCCGCAGGCGGACCAGCCCGTCTCCGTCCCCGTCTCACCGTCCGACGTGCTCACCATGTTCTTCAAGGCGAGTGCTCCCAATCAATCCCTTTACGCGCCATCTATCTTTTTTCCCTCCGATTAACCGAGAATTATGTCCCATCAATCGAGTTCCGAAGATGGCCCGAGCATTTCTCTGTTCTAGCTCCTCCTCACCTCTTCTAGATTATTTCACGGATTGAAGTTTTCTTTCCACTCGACGTGAAGGCCGAAGGGACCATGGACGAGGCGGCGATCGCTAATGTGACCAAGGGCCTGGAGGTGGGTTCTGCTACTCACCAATCATTCTACGACATCTTCTCCTGCCATTTCTGAAGAATTATCCAAATTCGCGCAGGGTTTGGAGGGCATCAGCGACCTGAAAGTGCGGGTACTTGAAGGCATCGCCAGCGTCGAGGTACTTCTTGCTTCTTCTAAGGGAATAATTTCTATATTTATCTTTGTATATATGATGCCGATAGCTCAATACGATGGGTTTATTTCGAAGAACATCATCGGTTGACGATGGCTTTATTTTGAAGAACATCATCGGTTGATCCTGTTTCTTCGACAACTTGGGTTCCACAGCTGAGATTTTTCTCAGATAATTGAGTCCCGTCTGCTGATGAGACCTGGAGATTTGCCACAGCCATGAGTCACCGAGCGGATCATGGTTGCCATGCATTAGACTGATAATCACACAGAACGAACGCCGTTGAGAAATGTTATTTGCATGGAATGTGGTTCCTCTTCAGTCAGATCAGGAGCTCCTGTTTTTTATTCAAGAGCATCAGGAAACTACCCGGATAAAAACCACACCTTTGGCCAAGATGCTCTTTGGGGAAATCTTTCTCCATCTCATCTGTGCGGAAAATCAGCAGCATTGACTTCCCACTCTGTTCTAAGATCTCTCACTGGTGATTGTGGCATCAGATCCTACTAGATTTACCACCAACATTTTTCTTGCTAGATCATAAAATCAGAAATCTAGTTTATATTTTAATTTTATGGCGGTAGCATAGCCACTGGCTTTCCTCCATGCTTCTACTTCGCCATGCTTTAAAAAAGGCTTCAAGATTCCATATATTGCATGGAACCTTTCTCCTGCTCCTTGAGCTGAAAGAAAAATTACCATATATGCTGATGTTTCTCCCCCTGATGCAGTTGGCGAAGCAAACCACGGTACAAGCCACCGGAGTGGCATCGAATCTGCTGGAGATCGTTCAGGGATCCGGGTTCAAGTTGCAGACGTTGCATCTGAGTTTTGAGGATGAAGAAGATGCCATCTGATGAGCCCGCTTGGTGGGGGTGATGGTTCATTTACTGTTATTCGTTCTAGGGATGAAGAAGATCGGAGCATTTCTGTTGCACTCCCTGTAAACAAAAGGAATTCTTCTGTGGGTTCCTCCTGGCAGCTCATCTTTTGAACATTGGGGCACAATGGGTCAGTGTTCTTGAAACAAGATTTTAATTCCTTATATATATATATATAAAAAAAAAAATTGCAAAGGGTACAGATAGCAATCATTCCCAAGATGATGTGTGGGGTTTATACACATTTCAATCATAATCAACAAATAATTCACCGAGCAATGTGATATTAATCTACTTGTAGAATACTTGAATAATTCATACAGTGGATAATCTGACTTTGGAACTCACTGGCTGGAGACCACTGAGAGTTGTCTCCCCAAGATCAAAAGGGGGAGGAGTTTTTTTTTTTTCTCCTAATTTTAAGAGTTTTAAAACATCAGAAAAGCTAGGAAAATGCACCCAAGAACAGATGAAGATGAGATCCGAGCAAGCACAGAAATCAAACACCGCAGGCCTTGCAAGCTTCCTTTTCTCTCCCTTCTCTTGGGCTGAATCAGGGGGTCTTGCTGCCTCAAGGAGAGCACTGGTTCAGAAGGAAGAAACTAAATGCCTCACTGGGGACATAAACCCAGTGGGCATTTGCGATGAAACAGCACCTTATGATCGATTCTTCTTGGACTTCTTTTTCGCGGGCTGTTCCCCAGATTCTGCGATATATGCCTCCGGATTGATGTTCTTGCTGTCACTGTGCTTGCTGAATTCCCTTGCCTTTTTCTGCATGAAGAACGTGGGGGCAATTGAGAAGAGTGGCCGAATAATATTTAGCACGGCAGGAATGTAATGTAAAGCTATGGCTGGTGGGCCCTTGTTCATTGACGGAAGAAGAAACGTTAGCAATTCAGAGGGATGATGGATCGGCATGCTTGACTTCAAATAACTCTACACAGCTGAGATCCGAAGTTTTCTCATCGGGTCAACGCTATAAAAGGAGCATATCAGGAGTTCATGCTGAAGATAAAACATAACATACATTATATAAATAAATAAATAAATCATAAGGTAGATATATATATATATATATATGTATGCATATATTTACAGTCTTGAAAGCGTTGTAGACTACCTTCAACGACTTGGCCAATGCAATCAGTTCGTGATTATTATCTTGTGATTTATTAGATTCGGAAGTATCTTTGGGAGCTTCCTGCATGAACAAACCGAAGGAAAATGAGATATGATTCCTATAATACTGAAAAACACGGGCGAAGTTCTGAAAGTGGGACCTTCGGCGGAACAAAGGCAGCGTCCCTCTTCCTCTTGTTCTCAGCTGCCTTTTCTGCTTGCTTCTCCTGCTTCTCTTGCCAGGTCTTTGCTAATTTCTTCTTGTCGCTCAAGAAGTACTCTCCACTTTCTAACTGAAGGTCGATCTGAAATAAAAAAATATAGGAGAATATTCAGGTATTTATAGCCAATGGTGAATGCTCCAAATCATGAAATTCAAAGATTAAATGAAGGGCTCCATTTTACTCCAAATTTTCATCGAAATCAATGAAAATGTGTGTTGAACTCTATAGATAAGTAGAAATTTAGAACTGTGGATAACTAAACACCTGGCTTTTCGTTGTTCATGCTCAACTTCCACTGGAATCATTGGCACAAAGCAAAAGATATGAACAACCAATGATTGTTCTAAAATAAATGGATGCAGCTCAGAAAGATCAACGGTGACATAACAGTTCAATGTCAGATACCATGAGGGCTGATCTTCTTATCAGCAATGTGATGGTCACACTTCAAAACAAGGCAGTAACACGGATAACTACGCATATAAGCACCCCATACATACAATATAAGACCACAGCCTTCCAACGATTTACTAGTCTTCCATATGAAGTCGCACACCTGATCACTGCGGGGTTTGGCTAAAACAACGGGCGAAACTTTGTATCAAAAACATGCACAAAGGGAGAATGGAATAGCAACATACCCCAAATTCTTACTTCTTTTAAAAACAGAAGAAAGCCAGACTATTTTAAATATAGTAGAATTCATAGGAAATACCTTAGGCATGAGATGAAACAAACTTTATACACATTTTTACCTTACTAGGCTGTTGAGGAGGTGGGAAAGGTGTATACGGCTTCTTCTCTTTTGCCTTTGCTTTCTTTTGTTTAACATTTTTCCTGCAAACCCAGCGAGGACAGAAACTGTGAAGAACACTTTTTTTTTTTTTTTTTCATAAAGGCTACAGATAAGAAATTCAACTTTCCATTCACGACAACATAGTAAAGCAGAATTTATGAACGTTTGGGTGTACTTCTTAAAGTTCGGAAGAAATCTTTCCCAGTTCTCATTTGCTAGCGCTGGATTCTTGGCAAGCTCACGCTTCATGAGTAGAGTCTGCCAGAATGCAATAAACTGAGTATAAGAACACCTTAAACAATAAATTCACGATTGCATACAAATAAAGAACATCATGGGATACTTCGCCAGGCAACAGAAATCTAGGTTCATCACCTTTATATGATAAATTGGATGCTGGACATTTTGTATGCAATCTTCCACAATCCTCCGAACCTGTTTCAAACCCTTGAATGACCCCATAGCGGCCACTGTGTTTCCCTATTGTGAAAGTAGCAAAATGTGAGAAGCTAACTAATAATCGTACAAAAAAGAAGTGAAATATTACACTAATAGAACAGAAAAAACCGTATGTATACCTGGATTAAGACATAGCAGCCAGTCAAAATTTCAATAGCCTGTAAAGTGTAAAACTCGATTCATTAAACCACAACCGGTAGAAAAACGACACAAAAATGTGGCAGTAAGTACAAGCAGGTAAAATCTCTCACGATATATAAAAGAGATGCACCTTAAGAGTAGACGAATTAGGGCCTATAAGTCGCTGTCTCCGTTTGACAAATCTCTCCTGCAAGAAACCACATTTTAGAAAGGATAACAACATCTATCCGATTCACTGTTGAGATCTTTTGGGTGAATATAGGTGAAAAAGAGATAAAAGACATGACATCAATTAGAATTGTTTCTACTTTTTGAGAAATTTCAGTATAGTTCATTAAAGAGTACAAGACAGCATATTTTCCACTCTATATAGATTCGACAGATTACGGCCCCAAAAAGATAAGAAAAAAAATAAGACTCACTCAAATAGAACAAAAATCAAAATTTCAGCAGATAGACTTATTGTCAAGGTTCAAGGAGTCTACCAAAGCAAGCTGAAAATAAATAATCTTATTTATTTTTGAAAGCAGATAGTACCCAAAGGATTAAGCAATGGAAACGAATATAAATATACATCTATTAAAGAATGAGCTTCCAAAAACTTGGAGGGCACAGTTGACTGGAAAAAAAACGAGTGCAAAATATTGTTCCTATTATATATCGTTCGAGTGTAAATCCGTCATATTTTACAACTTTATGATCAGATTCAACTAATAATCACATTATTCCGGTTTCTTCTTAACACAATGGCCATCCTATGGTCAGATCTATGCTCATCAAATGTCGGATTTTGAACAAACAGGTGACCAGGCTCACTAAGAAGTCCGAAAGCATTAAAATAGCTTCCATGTTCCCTGGATTTTAGCAGCACAAGACCAGTTCAGAGCATTTTTTCATCTTTCTTGAATTTTCATGGAATATGCCTCAAAATATCCAAAAGAACCTTTGTAAACGTTAAACAGCATCCACTCTGAAAGGTCATGGATGAAGAAACCCACTGGGGGAACTCTCACATTTTTGCCTTTAGAAAATGATCGGGGAAAGGTTAAGGAGCAACCTCAATGGTTCTAACCACTAAAAGAACTTCCATTTATAGTTACCACAGAGTCAGGGAAGAAATCTCTCCCAAACGAAGTATTAGAAAGTTAGTAAACCCCAAATTCAAAATGATGAAAACCCCAGTCGAGCAGTTTCTAAGATAGACAAGAGAAACTCTTTTGGAAATTCAAGCAAAAAATTTAAAAAACTGATGCAAAGGGAAGATTTATTCAAAAACTTCTAAAAAAAGAGTTTATCTTAGAAACTCTTTTCTCAGAAAACGAAAAAGATAGACCTGAGGATGACTAAAAATAAAAAGGGTGAACAAATAGCATAGGCTAGAGAAAAAATTGCAAACACAATGTGTTAGCTCTAACATGAATGCCAAGCACATTATGCCTGACGCCATCACACAATTTATCTTCCTACCTTTATTAGTGAACTGGGGAGAGGAGAGAAAAACTACCTTATTGCGGGTCAGATTACCAATCTTGATCACATCACACTGCATTTCATCATTCAATATCTTCATTGCCTGCAAAATTGAGTTTCCGATCAGTAAAAGTGAAAATGAGTTACGGGGAAGGAAAGAAAGAATAGGTACTTTAGAGCGTAGAAATCTTAGAATAGGTTAAGTAAGAAATACAATAAATACAACTCAATGAACACCATCATAAGGTAATAATCAGTTTGGTTAAAGATAAATGGATGACGCAGAGGCGTGGAAAGATGTTCCTCTCATTTGCATGAGCAATTCTGTGAAGTTAGGTGAGATACAATCGCCAGAGCATCTCAGATGATTTAGATTGGCCGTTGCATAAGTACCATACTTGGTACTTCCCAGAAGTGTTCGTTCACTGTTCCTTTTAGTTCTTTAAGCATGCATTAAAATTTATAGATACGCAAGAGACAGGGAAGGACAGTACAGCGTTTCACATCCTACCAGGTGAGAACCTTCGCTAACCTCTTTGCTCATTCATCTACAGATTTGTTGCTCTGATCTGGCATATATTTCCACAAGGATATTAAAGGAGAAGTGTTTCAAAAATTTAATATTCAAATCTAACTGAGATCCTGTGATCAAAACTCCTTATACCTACTCCAACGAGGACCCTAAATCCTATCATAAGGAAAATTAGATGCAGAAGAAATTATAATCACCAACTCGTGTCCCTTTCAAATAACCATGAAACTCAGTCATAAAGTAAAGAGATATCTCCAAGGATTAGCTTTCTTCCTTCTCGGATAAGAAAGCAGCTCCTATGTGACGACTGTCAAAGTATATTATGGTGAAATTTTGAGTTCTCAAGGAACATTCATCGTATTACCTCTACAAACACGGCTAAGAACAATCAAGTTTAAGGTTCTATCTATCAAGTGAGAACTACACTGCAGCATAATGGCCAGACAGAAACGTGTGAGATACAGAAATAGAAGGTTCGGACAAAAGTGATGAAGCGAGGAGATCTTATGCTTGATGGAGAAAGTTTGAAATGAAGAGACGTCGAATTCATAAAAGGTAGGTTTTGGGGGGAGAGTGATTAGATGAACAAAGAGGTATAGACACATATATGGACCAACGGGAAGTAAATGAGGCGAAGTAACCAATGACCATGGAATCACAAGAGCTTACTAGAGGTGTGAGCATCAAATCCTTCATATCATCATAGACGACATCAAAGAACGACAGTAAGGCTCTAATGATGGAGACATGAAAATCTCAGTCTGATGATGGTATAAAATAAATTATGTTCTCATGTAACATATACCAGAAGGTTTACATGATTCGGAGATGCAAAAAGATGCTTACGTCATGAGATTTTACACCATTCCGCTTATATATTAGATCAAGACCGTTGCTAAAGAGCATGATCATCAATGTAATCACCCTCATAAAGACGAGAATCACTAACTAATTACCAATGTAACTTATCATTTATATTAGAAAAAAAAAAGAATTAGATATTGGTAAGGCAGCCTATACTTTGTATACCAAAAGAAAATAAAATTAACTACCTGAGGTGCAGGAACGCTTCTTGATAAAAGCTTTATGAGATCCCTTGCTTTAACAATAATGTATGGATCACGCGTCTTCCTTGTTGTTGAAACCGTCATTGAACCCTCAACCTGAGGGAAATAAGAACTTTCAGCCCAGAACCACAGACCAGGTAGCCAAAATGCACAAATCACCAAAGATACAAATATGATCAACGAAAAACTGTTAATTTTTTTCTCTGTTGGAGGGTGTTGGTTTACAAATAAAAAAGTACGTTCACTCATATGCAATCTTGGAGATAAAATTAAAAAACAATCTAGACTAAGCAACAACATACCACCTTACACATAAGTAACAACGTTTATAGAGAATGAGTTCATACTGTAAATAAGCCTCGTTCCATTATTGTGGGTTCATCTCTGAATACAATTTCAGTTCGTCTAGCATTACAGGTAAACACGTGAGAGCATCATGCGTATCAAAAATAAAACATTATATAGAATACATCAATCACATGAAATATCTTGTAAGTTTAACATAGAATAAAATGGAAATTTTAAAATATGTATTTCTTAAATTGATGAGCATACAGCCTTTCGTCTTGTAAGAAATTATGAGACACTCTTTCTTTCTTTAGTCAAAGCTGCCATCAGTAAGCACCACAACATGATATGTTTTTCTATTTTTAATGCAAGGACGTTAAAAAAATATTAGAAAAATATACAGAGAATATGCACCATAATGCAACTAGTTTAAAAGACAATTGCAACTTAAAAGGCCAAGGGTAAAACGAGAACACAGGCAGACAGATTATTCCAGCTTTTCTGATATCTCTCAGCAAGTCCAAGATCAGTCTGGAAATAGCCTACCACGATTTTCTAGCGCAGGCCTATCCTAGGGTTTTTCAACGACGGCCCTGCTTCTTGAGAAAAAGTCATGTTACCAAAACTTAACAAACGAATGATCCAATAAAATATAAAGATACATATTATCAATGCAAGGCTTTCGACCACTTACTAGATTAAGTTCACCGGAAATTCCATACTCGCTAAGACCACGTTTTACATTGGGCCAAACTTCCTGCAAGTACTTTTCTGAGACAAGCCAGAGAATCAAGAACGCGCGGTGAGAAAGGGTTCAAAGCAACGACTCTATATCTCATAAAAAAAGGGGAAGAACGATCTCGAGGGCAATAGCATGTTCCAACACTGAGAACACAATTTTCGGTGCATAAAAAGCACTTCACGGGGATTTCACACTATTTATCACTGCACTTCACCGAGCCGACTAGTTGTAGAAGAAATAAAGACCAGGCCACGATGTAATCATCAAATGCCCGCATAAAAGCAATGAAGTATACGGGACATTCGATACTCGTCTCATTTGGAACCAAGAGAATAATCAAGGGGATAACAGAGGGACCGGCATAAGAGGGAGAGACGGAAATGCGTTCGTTCTACTATTTTACCTCGGTATTGCGGGAAGAGAGTGGAGAACGAGCTGACTTCAAGCAAACCGCCCTCGTTCCAGGAGGGGTCGAACTTCTCGATCTTCCAGTGGTCGATGTTGGGGTCATCGTCCCACGGCTTGGGCTTGTCGTGCTTCCCCTTATGCTTACCCTTCCTCTTCTCCTCCACCACTCCCCCACCGCCGCCATCCCCGGACCCCGACGTCTCCATCGCCGCAACCCCTCCTCTCCGACTCGCTCCCCTCCGCCACCGGAGCTTGCGAAGACGTCGGCGAAGAGACGGAGAAATCCGGGCCGTTGGTCCGAGGAATCTCTCTCTACTTGGAAGCCTCTACCGGGCCGAGAGGCTATTTCCCACGGCCCAATTACCTTCCCTTCCATTGTTTCGGCCCATCCGACCGACCCATTTGGGCTTGGAAGAAGAAATAATTCAAATATAATGAGTAAGATATTGAGAACTATAAAGATTATTCCGCATGTGGAATTTCATGAAGAGGACGTACATAAATATAAATAAATAAATAAAATCTATAAATAATCTTGAAAATGAGATTAATAATATAATTAAGGAACACCATTCAAAAACACTAATTCAGGCTTTATGAATTAATGAAAAATATGAAGACTAAAAAATAAAAAATAAAAAAAATAATCGAAGTAAAACATCCGATAAAAGTTTGTAATGGAACTCCTACTGGTTTTTGATATTTTTGGAAGAATAATGCATAATATCACTCATAAGTGGTGTTAATAGTGATAGAAATAAATATAAATAGTGTGGGATTATTTTTTAAAGAGTATCATAAGATTAATTTTTATCATTTATTTTCATGCTCGTACAATCCGTTGACTTAAGAATAAACCTCTTAAATTTTTTGTTATGGATATCATCAACATCTCTGCACATTTAAAACTATCTCGTTTGATAGTTGACGTCTTTGTGGCTTGAGTCAACGTCATGTTCGATCTTGACCTCCATGATTTCCTACTCCCTAGTTCGTAACTTTAGTCAACGTTCTTCTCTCTCTCTCTTCTGGTTTTAGTTTTATTATTTTTATTTATTTTACTTCATGATCGTCTTCATCTCCCTAGAAATTCCCAACTTTAATCGCTTTCAATTAATTGTTATATTCCTTGCTAAATAAATATTATCTCCACACTGAATTCCTCTCGCTTCCTTAGGTCCTTGTATTTCTGGCTTATGCGGCCATGGGGAAACCTCACTGTTGTGGATGCAGAGACTACCAAGAAGCACGCAACGTCAACGTCAAGTTTCTGCGACCACCGACAATAATAACAGTGAGGAGAGAGAGAGAGAGAGAGAGAGAGAGAGAGATTTTCCCCTAATTTATTAGCCAAGGAGAGAGAAAATCAACAAAATATAATTTTTAGAAATTAAAAAAGAGCACCGTCGCTAAAAGACGGCGTCTTTAGTAATTACGAGGATATTATAATTAATAGCGATCGATTATTATCGATCAAACGCCGTCTGAAATGAAATGGACCCATCAGGCAAGCAAAGCAAAATGAAACCCAGAATGGTTGGTTCCAGGACGGGGACAAAACGCTGGGGTCACCTTCCCACCGACGACGGTGTAAGTACCCCCATGATGAGCCTCACACCCGGTACTCTTCTTCTTCCTCTTCCCGATCTTCAGCCGGCGCAGTCTTGTCTTCCTTATCTCCGGGGGCGACCCACCTTGTTTATACATGGATTCGGGGTCCTTCTCCACCTACCCTGCCGCCGCCGCCGGCGAGGTCTGCCACTGGAACAAGCTGAGCGTGGATCTCATCGAACTGATTCTGTCTCTCCTGCCGGTGAGATCGATCGTCCGAGCCGGAGCCGTCTGCAAGTTCTGGCAATTCCTCATCACCCACCCTTCCTTCGCCGCCAGAGTGGCGGCCGCCGCTCGGGCCCCCTGGTTCTTCCTGTACGGCCAGAACAACGTCCACCTCCGCAGGAACCAGGCGTTCGCCTTCGATCCGGCCTCCGGTGAGTGGATCCACCTGCCGCCGATCTACCTCTCCACCGTCTCCAACGATGAGGACGAGCAGCGGCAGCCGGACGAGTACTTCGTCGGTTCTGGCGGCTTCATCTTCGCCACCAGCGGCTCCACTCGGACCAGCTTCTGCTACGCGCCGCTCCTCCGCGGCGCCGGGGCGGCGCCGAACACCTGGCGAGAAACCCCGCCGCTGTGCTTCTCCCGCCGGAACCCTGTAGTCGGCGTGCTCCGCCGCCGGGGCGAGTTCAAGTTCATCGTCGCTGGCGGGGTGCGGTTCGTCGGCGGCCTGGTGGACATCGAGGAGCAGCTGGCCGTGGAGATCTTCGACTCCGCCGGTGGGGGATGGCAGCTCTGCCCGCCGCTCCCGGCTGAGTTCCGCTCGGGGAACTCCTCTCAGGGCCTCTCCTCCGCGCTCCTCGGCGGAAACTCTTTCTTCGTCTTTGGGATCTACTCCGGCCTCCTCGCCCGCTTCGACATGTCTCTGCGAGTGTGGAGCGGAGTGCAGACCCTGCGCCCTCCGGGGGTGATCTTTTCCTTCCTGGTGGCCTGCAGGGACCGGCTGGTGCTGGCTGGGCTGCGCATCTCCGCCGGCGGCGCGCCGTCGTTCGAGCTATGGCGGGTGGAGGCGGACGGCGGCGGATGCAGCGAGATGGGGGCGATGCCGGAGAAGATGCTGCTGGGGATATTCGACGGAGACGAAGAAGAGAGGTTCGCCAGCCTCAGGTGTGTTGGGGCGGACGGCCTGCTGTACGTCTTCAATGAGGCTCACCACAGAGCGTACCCGGCCTGCGTCTGCGAGATCTCCGGCGGCGGTGCCGGCCGCTGCGCCTGGAGAGAGGTTCCGCCGCTGCCAGCCCGGGTGAACCGGTTCCACAAAGTCATCACCTTCTGCTCCGCCGTGCCCCTGGACTCCGTTCTGAACTCCGGCGCCGGAAAACCGCCGTTGGCGGTGGCGGTGGCGGCGGCGGATGGTTATTCCTCGAGGCCAGTGCTGTAGCCGCCCCTCCGTTGATCTCCCTCCAACTCCATAGCCATGACGGCACTCTCAATTCGAGCTTGTAGGGGCCTTCGGCCTCAGAAATTCCTGTATGTTGCAGACGACGCCATTGTCGTACGGATTCCGGTACTCGAGGTCCGATGCTTGTGGCCCTACCAAGAACCAGGAAAACTCAGAAGCGAATCCTGATCGCAGTTCATGAGAGAGAAGCGATGGAGATATGAGCATATCACCTGGTTGGCACCGGGAATCCACGTGGAACTCTGGGTACTTTCTCCAGTTGATCTGAATGAACATGTTCATTAAGATCAGATGGAACTCCATAATCTTTCTGGAAAATCACAGTGCAGACCCATTCTTACTCACCCACTCGTCGGTTCTGATGTTGAAGCAGATGCAGTAGATATGCCACGTCAGGAATATCACCTACCCAAAAAATTACAGGCCAACCCATCAGAGATGTTCCAGAGGGGATTCAGAAAAGGAATAATTTTAAAATAATAATAACAAAAAATCTGAGCTTTCGAGTGGTGAAGAACAGAAGGCGCGTTACCCAAAAAAATAAAAAAAATGCAATTTTTGGAACCCAGTTGAAAGGAAATATCATCTGATGTTGAGGTACCTGCCAAAAGATCTGAAGGAGGGAGAAAAGCAAGGTGCTGACTACCAAGTCCCCGGGGAGATTGCTCTGCGGGAAGAACAGAAAAAACTGAGGAAATACGTCCACCGCTGAAGATGATCCAGCTCGTGGCATAAAAAATCCACTGAGAGAAAAAGAAAGCTTGATGAGAGAACAGTGCTAATGCTGGGACCCAATTATTACAAAAAATGGAATTAATTGTTTTCTGAACTTCCATGAAATGGGCTTCGTGGGATTCAACCAATTGTCTCCATCGTAGGATATCATTGAGAAATAGAAATCCGTGTTTTCATAGGATTTTCTTTCTTTCTTCTTGCTGCGATTTTGTATTCTTTCGAATCGTTTCACGCCCAGAGGTATATCTTTCTTGGAGAGAAAGAGAATCAGCGTTCATTTGACTTCACAGTTAACACAGATTCCAAGCAACAAGAAAATGAGGAGCCGTAGAAACTAAACGGCCAAAAAAAATAAAGATCAAACAAAACCAATAATTATGGTAATCATATTTTTTGGGTGTTTCTACAAGTTGTTGCTGGTGCATCACAATCTGATACAGACAGTACTGATCTGACGTCGTGATATATTGTTAAGGCATGGATGTATTGAGAGGAAGGATACGTACCTTCAGTCTGATCTTGTTCTGGGAATCGGAGATAACTGCAATTGAAAATAAAAATAAAAATACTTTGAATTTTTTTTAAAAGGTCAAAAATATTTTTTGAATCTTAGATCATTATTATTTATGCACATAATAGGGAGGATCATTCGAATTTTCAGGAACGAATCTAGAATGTGTCTCAAAACACATAAAATTCCAAAACTATGTCAATTTTTTTCTAGACATTGTTGAGAATAGCCTAGTATTTACTACCCAACAAGGAAGTATGTGATTTACTTGAGTTAGACGACCTGATAACATGGAGGATCCAGCTTTTAGAGAATGAATCTATCACATCATTAAGCAAGTATAAAAGTTATAAAATAAGATATGATGAACATTGCTAAGAATAGTCCCATATTGAATACCAAATAAACGACCCACTATCTTGAAGAGGTCTCAGAACCAATGGATGCCCTTGGGCTTCACATGCTCCACTTATATTGCCCATGGTTCCCTACCTGTTACTGTAAAGAAACATGTGATTCTAAATATGGTATCCAGTTACTGCGATTTGGTTTGTGAATCTGATATCCCATAAACTCTACTAGACAGTTTACTACTCCCTACCTTCCATCAATGTTCTTGTGACATTCATAACATTGAGAACTGAAATCTCATTGGATCTTGGGAAGGAGTCACAGGTGGCTCAAAAACGAGTCTTTATCACATTGAAAAACAGCACAAACTGAAGGATAAATAAAGAAAGAGTAGATAATTTTTTTTAAAAAAAAACTATGACAAGTCCTTACAATGCATTGAACAAAATGCATAAGATGCCTCTGAGATGATAAACCCAACAAGAAGAGCCATAAATAGCCGATGGTTCTTCTGACCTGAGAAAAGATCAGAATGACACCTATATTATGAACAGAAAATCATGGATAGGGTCGATAAATGCACAGGAGAGACCACCATAGGCTTACCTATGCAGTTCCCAAAAGCAGGACAGTGGTGGTCGAATCCTAATACATTGGCGCTACAGATTCTACAGTATCTTACTCTCGTGAGAGGAAATGAACCCTGCCAAAGAGGATAATCTAAGTCCCACTAAGCCACAAGGTCATGAGATAATAAGTCAAGAACATATGGGAAAATGGGACGATAATGGAAGGAAACTATGAAGAAAAAATCGTTAGGGAGTAAAAAAATGGAAAGAAAAATTGAAGAGAAAGGGAGAAAATAGAAAAGAAGACAGAAAACGAGGAAAAATTAGGGGAGAAAATATGCGGGGAAGAAACATTATGAAAGGGAATAGAAAAATTAGAATACATATATAAACTCCCAAATGTACACGAAAATTATATGAACCCTTTTGATTCTCTATACGACAATAGGAAAATTGATCCCCCGTTATTTTGGCCTTAATTGTTGTGATGCCGAGACTGGGATTTCTCACAAATCAATAGGATTAATTCTTTTTCTTTATATATCTTCGTGAAATATGAGTCCAACTTTCAGTGCACTGCGTATTTTTTTCCTGCATTAAGAGAGCATAAATGATTTATCCAAGTTTCAGCAACCTGCACCTATTCTTTCTGGTCAATGAAAGTTTGGAAAATGCAACCTTTTGAAACAGGTAAAACAGCAATAAAAGGAAAAAAAAAAGACTCTAAAGAAAACCACTTTAGAACAATAAAAAAACGTGCCATAAGTGTCTGCAGAAATTGTCAAATGGCGTTACGAATAGAAACCGCTATGTACTCAGTTTTTAATTGAAAAGATTTAAATAACCAATAGTAGGGAGTTGTCACAGCAAACCTTAGACTGGAGTTTGGATTCAGAATAGGAACATAGAGGAAGCACTTCAGGGTTCGAATAATCATCTGTAACCACTCCGGGATCACTAAAAATAATTCTGCTAAGATGCAAACGTAGAAGAAAAATCAGAATACATACATCACATTTTTAAATTTTATTTCATTTAGTTAAATGCACAACGTTAAAGTTATTTTGTTTCCAGATAAAGCCATTGAACGGACACCACCATTGAGAAAAAACAAGTAAATAAATAAAAAGGGGAATTACGAGAAGAACATTCCTAGAAGTATAGTGTAGTGAAACAACGAGTACTTCGATGAGTAGGCACTCTGGGAATAGCACATGCCTACTAAATATTTCAACTTCTCTGAAAACTGAGAGTGGGAGCAATGTGAAAGGACACTATTGAAATTAATAGATTCAATGATAGGCAGCAATGGTTTCCCCTAGCCAGAGCTGATTCAATTCATGAAATGCCCACAGTTTCGTGCAATATTTTTCTCGTTACATTCGTGAAAAAGAATCAGGTTCCTTAAACTGAAATATTTCTGTATGAATTCTGAGAGTGGGTCTCATCTTTGAATACAACAAGTAATAAGATTACCATGAACACAATTACAAAGCATAACTCTGTTTTAATAAACATAATCCTAAATGTTAATTATCATCCGCAAGCCATCTCAAAAGAAACAGAGAATTAACTGGAAGGTCATCAACGCATTCAACAGTTAGTCATTTTTCTGCAAGGAAATCTCGCGTGTTTATCAATATCTATCATGGATAACAAGATAAGCTGTGCCAAGATATCACACCTGTACAAACCGAACATTAGCAATGGACACTGAACATTCATTGCTGCATCAAGTAAAGATGGAACGGCTGCAGAAGAGGGGGAAAAACCGAATTAGTAATGGTATATCAGAGAAAAGATAATCCGATAAAATTGCCATTTTGAAGAAACTAGTCGTGTTACGCCCCGCAAAAAAAACTAATAAACATTATAATTTTGAAGAGAACAACTTTTTATAAACTCTCTCTGGTTTTACAGGCGATAGAAGGAAAATCAGTTCCTTGATCACACTCTTGAAGACCAAAGAAACCCAATGAGTGTCAATAGAAGGGTTGTATAAGTCTAGCGGTAGCTCATGCTCCAAACGAGGAAGTTTTTTTCTCATTAAAATAAGAAAAATTATCACGACATAACGCTGGGAAAATCATGAAGATGTCAGAAGGGAAAGAGACCTTCTCGAATCACGGAAATGTAAGCTCCCCAAAGAAAGAGTGTATGGAAGAGAACCAAAGCCGGAGCATAGGCGGAGATGCCGAAGAGACCCCGGCAGCATCGGCCTAAACCCAGTGTCGCCATCATGACCACACCTGCCGTGCCCGAGCCAGCCCGCAGAGAGACGGTAGAAAGAGCATACCAGCGGTCATCTTCTCTGAAAGATGAGAGAATACAACGAATACCAGAGAAATGGAGAAAAGAAGAACCTGAGATGGGGAGCATGGCGAGGAGAGGCAAGAAGGAGAGATAACGGGGTACAGCGACCAGAGCCAATTGGGACTGTAGGGCCAAGAAACAGGAGATTAAGAGACGGATCACAAGCTCCCATCGCAACTTCCAGTCGCCATGAACATGCGATCTGAACCCAATCATCCCTCCGGTAGCCAAAGTGGGCGGCGCGGTGGTGGCGCCGTCGACAGAGATCTCCCCCTCTGCCGCAGAAGCTAATATCGACGCGGATGCGTGGTTCCAACTAAAATCGACAAGGATCCAACGAGGTACGGATATATCCGTTAAAAGATCCGTAACTGTTAACATGTCTGTTTAAGAAAAAAAAAAACTACGTGTATATTGTAGAGAGGAACTTCCAGTGTCTCTCCCGCCACCGAGAGCGGAGCCCCCCACCCACCCACCCGTCCTCCGACGCAGATCTCCCGGCGCAGCGGGGCCGGCGGCGCCGCCGGTGGATTCCGGCGGCAGATTGTGTTCTTCTGGGAGCAGCGGCCAGGTTGGGTTTCTTCTCTATTCTCATTGTCTGTGATCTCTCCTGCCTGAATCATGAAGGATTGGCCACGTCCTCCCCGGGAAGATCTTCTGCCTCTGCGGTGGTGGTTATCTTCTGTCAACACCGTCTCATCTTCCCGCCATCCGATTCGTCCCATCGCCCAACTGTCTCGTCACCGGTGGTAGTCTTCTTTTTCTCATTGTAGAATCTCATCTTCTGTTTCAACCGATTCGCATTGCATCTCACTGTCTCTACTCCGGTGGTAGTCGTCTCAGAATTCCGTATCATCTTATCCCTTCCGATTCGCCTCGCATCCCAATTTCTCGTCTCCGTTATCCCTTCCTTACCCCACTATTTTCCCACGTTAAAGTAGGATAGGGCAGATTCACATATCTTTGAGGTCTTTGGATTATCAGATCTAGTCATCTCTGATGTTGTGAAGACGATTTCCCACGAATTTTTCCTTCAAGTGGCTATAACTCTCGGAAAGTTCGTGAATATACTTTTTCTAAGATTACAGTTTTGATAAACGATGCTTCCAATGATTCAGTTGAGTACGATATTAGCGATTGTTTGATTAAATATGGGTAGAGTGTTGGGGGCGCAAAAATAATAAGATTATTTTCCATGGCTGTAAATGCGGCATGTTTTTGAAATTTTGGTGCTTCAAATGATCTCGTCTGCTTCTGTGCACAATTCTGCTATTATCTTTCCATTGGTACCTGAGGATTCCTAAAGACATGTGGGATTCAGGTCTAGAATCAATGTTTTTTTTGGGTTTTTGCTGCATGCTTATTTGCTACCACTCAGTGCTGGCACGTGTAACATTGGTCCTTCTTCAAGGTCTAGTTCTTCTCTCCCCACATTTTCTAATAAAATGCTCTAGCATGTTTGACTTTCGTACCATAAACCACCGTACCAGTGAATCACTCCGTTCTCTTAAATGCCAGTCCAGTGCTGAAATCCCCGGTACTTGAAGAAAAGGAATTCTGCTCCCAACTTCCTATGCTTCTGTCATCATCCCAAGTTTTGTTGTCACTTCCATTTGGTGTATAGTGAGTCTTAATGCGCAAGAGAGTCAATGGCTACCAGCCACTAACAAGGATCTAGCCTCCTTCCTCTCCTGCTCACATCACGGAACTCCATCAGTTATTATCTAATATTCTTGTTGCCCGGTTATTGGGAACCTTGATGCCATGTGACTAGATTCGAGCTTAATGCCAAGGAATAGAAGTTGATATTTGACTAAAGCCCTCTATTTGCGGGATCTGCATTTTCATCCTCCCCTCCACCCACCTTCTCCGCAATAAAATAAAGAAATAAATCCCCAGAAGTCTGCTAGTCCCATTGACATTGACAGATTTACGACCAGGCCGATCTTGATCACACCAGTCGTCTATCCAAAAATAGCTCGAGGAGATAATGAACAAGAGCCATAAGATGAGGCTACTGGGTGCCCCTGCTTGAGGTAGAATGAGGAAGAAGGATATGGCAGCGGTATCAAAAACAAAAGGACAAACTATGGGGAATTTTTTTTTTTACCGCCTAAAACCGACCAGAGCTGCCTACTACCATTCATTGCCTGCGGCTCACCTTCTTTTCTCTCCTGTAGTCGGGTATGCATTTGGTACTACGAAGAGACAGTACGAAAACGTACCTTGTTGTTGCATCCTCTTATATTAAAAAATACGATGCTTTTCAAAATTTAAAAACTTATTTTGACTGATGTGGTCTTTTTCGTTGTAATTTCTTGACTACATCCGAGTGTTGTCTGATCCTGATTCTGTCCATCATAATAACGAAACCTGCTGAAAGTATCCTGAAAAATGATCTATGGAGGTGTTAAGCACATAATTTTTAGAATACTCTAACTACCTTTGAGTAAATTCCAAAGCCTTTATTTTATACAATTGCCCAAAAAACACATTATTTTGTTATTTCCACTAATTTAATTACCGATATCTTGATAGTGAAGAAAGCTAAACTGGACCGAATGTGGATTTAACTTTATTGATTCCTTTTTTTTCTATGCCTACTGTTTGAATGTCATTTTGCAGTTTAGCTGAAGGATTAATTTATGGTAATGTACAAAGAGTCAGATTTGGGCAGTGAATTTTTTTTTGGCGTGCATGTTTGAAGGGGGGATGCTGATAACATAGGTATAGTGGTTCCATTTCCGTTTTACCCTGCTTACCATTGATAGTGTTTCATGCTGATAACAATGATTCGTGAAGTGACAGTCTTCGAAATCCTTGAAATATTTTCCTTGAATGGGCCACTTTTGTTGAAAATGACAGCAGAATATGGAAAGCGTTAGAGACCTTACTCGTTATCATGATTCACAATTCTTCCGAGTTCAAATTGAGGGAAATTCAAGACCATTGAATAGTGAAAATGAAGATTCTCAGATTGATTTCAGATTATAAATAATGACCTAGAACGACATGGAAGAATAAAGAGAGAGAGCTAAAAGTAGTTCAAGAGTCCAGCGTAGGAACTGCAATCGTCTGTGGTCCATTTCAGACAGGGTAGATCCGGCATGGCTACGTTGTTACATCATGAGTCCTGAAAGTGGCTTTTAGCTCAAACGCTCCACCTTAAGAACAAACTGGAACCTATCCTATTTTTTTAAAAAGTCTTCTGTTTGATCAAAAATCTTCTTCCCTGAATCTTCTGTTTGTCAATTTTTTTTATTCATTAGATGCAAAATGAATGATCTACGACGAATTTCTCATTCTACTTCTCACTTTTAGTTCGAATCCTATCAGTACATAAACAGATAGCCTCTCCTCTTCGCCAAGCTGACAGTTCTTTTCTTTGCCTATAATACCTGCAGTGTGTATCATGAAATTGTGCTTTGAATAGTGACCAACGTTCAGTCTGATTTGTATTGAGTGTATCCCTTGGATAGCATTAGGGCAGAACAGTTGCCTGATCGAACCATTTATATTCCCGATTACAACTTTATTTCATGAGTTTTTAAAAAATGACATCTTCTGATATTAACAGACTCAAAGCCTTGGATATGATCTCTCTGCATGAGCTCAACTCTGCAGGGGGACATCAGCCTTCCTTCCATCTTTCTTCCCAAGATCAAGGCAAGAACCCTCGCCTCTTTCTTCCCACTGATTGGTCGCAGCATGCCTAGCCTCTGATTCTTGTAGACGCCTCTCATTCTCATGGTTCAGGCCCAGAGACTCCTCGGCACGCCTTTGACCACGCCAGGAGAGAGAAGTCGTTTGATAGTTTCTTGGGTCAATCAGTGGGTGGATTCAAGATATGCCACAGCCTTTGCTCAGCCAAGAAGCAGACTTTACAAGAAAGAAGAGCACAAGCACATATCCATTTCCTAGAGGAAGAAGTTCTAACAAAAATTCCTACTTCTGAAAAGAATTCCGGGAGGGAGGAAAGGAGGAAGAATGGGGGGCTAGCCCTGCTTGGCCGCCGTCCCCAGCTCCTCGAGGTTCCTCCGTCGCATCTCCATGATCCTGCGGTGGGAGTTGGAATGGAGTTCGCTGGAGAAGGTGGGGCTGCTGGCCGGGCGGTACTCCGGCACGAGGCGGCCGGACTTGTAGCGCACACCGCAGGCGTTGCACAGGGTTTTTGGCCCCTCGGGCCCCGCCCGCCACTGCGGCGTCTCCTCCGTCGCGCAGTGCCAGCACCGCCTCTTCTCGCGCGACGCGTGCGCCGCCTGCTCGGGGGACTTGCCGCGGAGGGCGCGCAGGTCACGCCGCCGGCGCTGGTGGCCCCTGCTCCTCTCCCGCCCCGCGGCCCATTGCAGAGCCAGCGCCGACGGTGGCGGTGGCGGCGGCGCCCCGTCGAGTACGGAGACGGGGCTGGGCCGCTTGGCGCCGGCCGGGGCCGGCGGCGAGGGCCTGTGGGGGACGGAGAGGAAGGTGTCTAGGCTGGGGAAGGCGTCCTTGTTCGATAGCCACTCCAGGTCTTCCTCCACGAATGCCTGCGGCGGCGGAAGAAGAGAAGATAAGCAAGGACCCAGAAACGGGTTCTCGCCATCAAAATAGAAGTAGAAGAACAAGAACAAGAACAAGAAGAAGAGGATGAAGATGGTTTTAATCCTCCTCGGAGGCGGTATCGGTACTTAACGGGGAAGGTCTGGAGAGCCGACCCCGATACCGGACCATCGAGGAGGGAGGGGTGCACTATGGTGGTGCCGGTCCCGGCGGCGGAGGAGGGGCTCCCATGGCTCCGCCGCCGGGGGGGGGCCTCCGCCGGCGGCGGCGGCGGCGGTGGGCTGTCGCCGGAGAAGTCCCGGAGAAGCTCGTCCATGAGGGCGCCGCCCCCCAGAGCCTCGTCCTCCATTTCGCGCCACCCTCTCGCCGCCGCCGCCGCCGCCGCCGCCGCCCTCCGAGGGTTTTACCAGGTCAGCGAGGTAGGGGTGAAATGGGAACGTTTTGTGCTGGAAATTGATGACGAGACGATGATAGGCTGGGTGTTCTGGTACAGACGAGAGGGTTGGAGCCGGGAATACGCCAACTCCGAGGTACCCAAAATGCCCTCTCCATTTTCGCATGTTGAGCCAATGAACTTTATATGCCCGTAAAGAAATTTACATTCCAGCAAGCACTATAGAAGGGCATTATTGGGAGATCAAAATGTGTATCATCTCTGTGAAACCGGCCCGACTCATGCGAGATCCGTTGCCAAGGTAGGTAAGATTCTTAGGACGTCCCCAACCGCACATTTACAAGTCTCTTTAAGCTGATAGGTTTCCATAGCATCATTGAGCCATGCACTTCTTAACCACCATCTTAAGTCAAGCCCATCCCATTTAATCGGAGATCTGATGAAATTTGGTAATAATGATCAAGATAAAGGTGGCAGTCACTGCAAAAAAGGTAGAATTCTTGAACTAAGAACAAATGTAGTGGTAGTAGTATTAGTTATAGTAATAGCGGAGGTAAGAGATGATGAGGCCTTTGTAAGGGTGTTATGTGTGGACAATAATTTAGTCATAGTTTAGGTTAGTTTTAGGCACAAAAATAGTATTATGTAATGTTCGTGATGATGTTGAAAAAGCTCAGTTAGAGGTAAATGAATGATCAGTTTATGATATGATAAATGAGTGAAATGTCTTATAAATAAATGAGTGTAATTGCCATAATTTTTGAGAGATGTTGAATGAAATCATTTCTATCTTAAAAATAATTGAAAAAAGGCTATTTAAAGAAAAAGACAATGAAAAGTGATCAAATTATCAAAATATAAAGAATTTGATTTATTATAGGTTTTACAAAATTAATAAAGTGTGAATTTTATCCAAGGACAAAATGGTCCATATTTCTAACTCATCTAATTAAAATGATATTTATTCGAAATATTGTACAACTACGAGTTTGAAATCAGCACGATAAAACTTGTTTAGAGAAGAATCTAACATAGATATTTAAAAAATTAAAAATGTTTATGGATGCATTTTATATGTATTTCAGACCAATACATGGCCCATAAAAGGTTTTCTCAACTATCCTAACTTAAAGCACTATAAAGTGCAAAACACCAAGCTTTATGCAAATCTAAAAGATCTACAGCTGCTCAAACATTAATGAGCATCATAACGTCCACTCTCTTTTCATGATTAGCTCCTTTATTTTACACTCAATCTTACTTTAAATTATGTGTATTAAAAACATAAAATAACTTGTGGATTTGGTAAATAGATGTTGTGACTGAGTTGTTGTATAATAAATCATGTAAATTTAAAATTTATAAAATTAGAAAATATCAATTTTTAGATATTTATAAGTACTTTTAAAAATATATCAATTATAGTTTAATAAAAGTTTTTACAAATAATGATAATTTTCTAGGTTGATCAAATGGATGTAATATAATATCAGGTCATATTTCATAATCTTTTGCAAAAAAATATTATATATATAAATTTAGATTAATAAATAAAAATAAATTATATTTAAATTTTATGAAAAAGAGAAATAAGGATACGAACGTCAAGATGATGTTAATATCCAATGAACATAAATCAAGTGAAAATAGAGTTTTACTCGATGATTCTTACGTAATTATGATTTAATTTGATCAAATTAAGATCTATAAAAGCTAAAAAAATAATAATGGACTTAATAATAATTTTAAAACTTAACATCATATAAATTATCACTGAATGAAGTAAAAATTAAATTAAAATTAACAAAGTTAGAGTTTCGGCCTTGCGATAGTGATTTTCAGAATTTTGTGTGTTTGGGAGGATCATTGAATGATATATACGGCCTCAAAGACTCTCTTTGAATATGGACAACTTGAGTATTTATTAGATCTTCTTTCAAAGTCTAAAAAATGATGGTGAAAGTTAAACTAGTTAAAAAATAATAAAATAGAGTTCTTGTGTTGTAGTGGTGATGCATCAATAATACATTCGAATCTTAAGTACACAAGAGGATTGCTATGTAATGTCCACAATCTCAAAGGTTCTTCTTAGACAAGGACGACATGTGTAATCTCTAAATCTTTTTGCAAAGTCTAAAGATCAATGAAATATTGACTGTCACCTAGCGGAGTAGAAAAATAATGACTTTATGACTCTTCGACAATTGTCATGATGGAGATGAGCTGGATGGAAGTGAGGCATATCTTAAGAGCTTCATTCTCAAGTTCGCATAATAGGAAGAAGTTCTTCATTGGATCTAGTACGCTCTTAAAATGTGGTGATTCGTCTCCCAATAAATTGTCTTCTTCTTGACTACGACTTGTTTATTGATTAATCATAGATGATTTACTTAATAGATTCACTATTTTTTTATTGTGAGTCATTTAACAATTTTAGTAATGATATTATGTGAATTGTATTAACGAGATTTTTGTCGATGATTGAGTAATTATGGTAACAATCTTTCATTAGTGATATGCAAAAAAATTATGATTTAATTTGATAAAAAGTATGAGTTTTGGCTCTAGTAAGATTTGAACTTCATCAACTGCCTACTAGTATGAGAGAGATTAAAATAAGTATGTAAATATAAATACCTTTATAAAGTGACATCATTAGGTTACATCCTTTTGATAAATAAAAGATATTTAAGGTACACAAATTATTAAAATATTTCAGAGAAGTTGTGACCGCAATTTAGTCCCACATCAGTTATACAACAAATTTTGGGACAAATATATAATACTACTAGATTTGGGAATCAATGAGTCACTTTCTTGCATGTGTATGACCACTCATTATCCTACCCCTAATTAGCCACTACAGATGTGAAAGGAGAGTGATGCACACGTGCCTTCTATTGGTTCATTCTTAGTTGCTTGAGTCATTAATTGTGCTTTTGACATATTTGCATGCCCGATTGACCCATAGGTCCACCTCTTTTTCTATCTTTTTATTTTATTTTATTTTTCTTTATTTATCTTAAAAATATGATTATAATAATTATATAAATTTACAGAAAATCACGTAATTAACTAAAAAATCACATTAACTAATGAAAAACTACTTTTTATCATTTAACATAGATTAAGTCTATTTATCATGAGTTAAGGTTAAAACTATATTATTTATTAATTATTATCTCATGATAATGAAGACTTATCAATAAACTATTTATATCATCAAGGTTGCTACTATAAAATCACTATAAAACCAAGGTGTCTTCATCTCTCTCTTATTCTCATTGAATAAAATTTAATAAAATAAATCAATATTTAAAATAAAGTTACTATTAATATTCAAATAATAGATTCAACCACTCCTCTTCTCTTGATTCATGTAACTAGTTATCTAAGGACTAACATAGATATCTAGGTAAGGATCTTGTCGAGTAATCATTTTTCTTGGGATATGAATAGAGATACTCCAACTTGTTATTTAAAGGGATGACATGTGAAAATATTTTATAAAGTAGAATATAAATACTTTATTTGAATCTAGGACTTCGTCAAGTTTTTTCTGCACAATGATAAGATGGTGGGTGGTGGGCTTCTCCACATAATATGTGATTTTATAAAGAAAAAGTCTAAGATTCTTTGTCAATGTGATCAAGTCATGATCTAAATTAGTCTTATTCTATGATGTCTTCATCAACACAAAGACTTCCAAGGAACTCACATGGCAAGCTACTTTTAAATTAGAAAGATTATAAGTCTCAAAAAGATACCATCACCATCATCAAAACATTGACTCTTTAACCATCAATGTTAAAGGCGTTGACTTTTATCAAATTATTCCCATCCGGTTCATTTGGAAAGCCCATGTGACATATGACATTTATTTCCTAACATATTGACTTATACTAGTCATCCAAGTTTCTCTATCATAGCATGTTATAATTATCACTAAATATGGACCTTGGATTGTACTTTACTGTGAAGGCAAAAATAACAGTCGAAAATTTTGAAGGTTGAAAAATCGTTATTTTTTATTCTCGTTCTCCCTTTGATATTTCAACCATTCCCAATAATTTTCTTATTAGGTTGTAATCAAAGATAGGAGTTTGTTGGTAATTAATAGAGAAAATGACTAAAACCAGATTTATGACAACATCATTTAATGATATATCCATGCCATATGGAACCTTTTAAAGTCAAATTAGAAGCCTTGGAGTGGATAGGATGTTAGATGAGAGAGTGTGAGAAAACCAAAAATCAAAGTCTAGACTCATCAGTAATAATTTAGTTATAAAAACCATCATGATTTTAAAACAATATCTTTAAAAATGTTAGGACTGGGAAAAACCCTCATCTACTGATAATAGAACCAAGTATTTGGTTAGATGCATTAATCTATATTTTATGTATCATGCATGCATCAGGAAACAAACTAGTGAATTAAGCCTCGTTAGTATGGCTTACAATTTGCTTTTGTATAAAAAAAATATGACAATGGCAGATGAGGTACCAAGTGGTGTGTTGTCGTTTACGTCTATTGATATGATATTTTCTTGCCTTGTGGGAGAGTAAGGCCACAATGTAAAAGATTACTGAAGAGAGGGATAAGGGGAGATGCAAAATCTCTCTAACCCGATCCCGTTGTGGGTTAAAAAACTGGTGGCTAGCCAAAATTTTAATTGTCCAGCCGTCCCCAAATATCTTGACCTAACTCGTCTACCTCACATTCTTACCTTGTGATAGACAATAGTCTAACCCATACGAAGGGAATGCTAATACAGGCTTTGTCTAGGTCTTACCTACAAGGCCATCGTCAGATATGCTTATCCGATGTGAATCTTGTGACCAACTTCCACCCCTCCCTCCCTCTCTCTCTCCCTGATAGCAAGTTTAGTTTTGAACGATATATATGGGAAATATTTTAAGAAGTCAGTCGTAAACTAATAAGAAAATACTAATTCCTGACCGAATCGTCCACGTTTATTCTTACAGGAAACGTTGTATACTCGGCGTTCTAGCATACTAATCATGTTGAACACGTGCAATAGACCGGGGACCTCCCGATCCAATCATCAGACTCCGGTTCAAGAGTCAATGGAATAGACAGGCGAATCCCAGGAATTCTGTGCGTGATGGGTCCCTAATCACTGCCCCGTTGGCCTATCTTATACTGTCAGTTAGACTCTGGAAAACATTGACCACATGGGAATGAGAGAAGAACAAGTGCGGAGGCAGCAAGTCGGGACAAGATACTATCGTCAATTGCCATGCTCCATATAAGAATCTCATTTTTTTTTTAATATTTCCGAAAAATATCAACCCAGTTGCTTGGATGATGTAGTTTCCTCACTGAGCAAACGACAACGTGGGAAGCCGTTCACACCTCCACGTGAGCGTTCAGTCAAACAAATAATATTCTCCCGCGTGTTCATATGATATTATCTTACATGAAGTCTCAGGGAAATATGTTCACCAAAGAAAATAATTTATCTGGCGGGAGAACAGTCAAGGAGCAGGTGCGCTGTCGAGAAAGCATCGATATGCCGCTTCGTGTACATAGGAAAGACATCGGCCGTGCGTTTGGCTGGTTACTAGAGAAGAAACTTAAGGTGGGGAGGAGAGTGGGCATATGACGGCGACTTTCAACGTTAGAGCTGTTAGTTCAGGCATGGCCCGGTTCATCACTTTAGGGAATCAATAGAAACCATAGAGTATATACATATTATTTGGCGAAGAATCTGCATGCCCACCAACTTTGCATGGAGCATTCTCTGTGAAAAAGACGAGGGAAACCAGTCTGCGAGGTCACTGGGAGCCCCTTCAGGAGATAACCCTCGAGTCTTGTTCGAGGAGAAGGACCGACAGGGAGCTGTTGGGGAAAGGATCCCTCCAGATTCAGCGAAGACAGAAGAAAAGAAAGAAAACATACAGCCGGCCACCTTGGTGGCGCAGACGTCGAGTTTGATCTCCCCATCGGCAATGCTTGATCACGAGTGAGCGTAGTGGCGTGGGGAGGAGATCAGGTGGGGGATCATCTGGTGATGTAGGAGATGAGGGACTGGAGTTCGTCACAGGAGGCGCCGCCCTCGGAGACGGAGGAGCGGATGGTGGCGCCGACGGCCTGCGCCCGCTTCCTTATCTCCTTCCCTTCTCCGGTGGCCATCACTCTCCGGATAGCCGCCTCGACGGCGGCGGACGGCACCGTCTCCTCCCTCCGCCGCCAGTCCTGCACGGGGACGCCGACCTTGAGCAGCTCCGTGAGCAGGAGGGCGTTCCTCGGCTGGTCCGAATGCATGGGCCACGCCGCCACCGGGACCCCCATACTAAGGCTCTCCATGCAAGAGTTCCATCCGCAGTGGCTGAGGAAGAGCGCCGTGGAGCGGTGGCCGAGGATGTCCAGCTGAGGGGCCCAGTCCCTAACCACCACCCCCACATCCGCCACCCTCTTCTCGAACCCCGCCGGCAGCTGGCAGCGGTCCTCGGTGCCGCCTCCGTCGCCGGCGGCGGCGAAGATATCTCCGCGGTCGGCGTCCCTGAGGACCCAGATGAAGCGCTGCCCACTCCTCTCCAGACCCGCAGCAAGCTCGCGGATCTGCCGGTCGGGCATGGATGACGTGGTCCCGAAGGAGACGTAGACAACGGATTCCGGCGGCTGCGCATCCAGCCACCTCAGCAGGGGCCGGTGGCGACGGGTTGAACGGGCGAGTCCCACCGGGTTGAACGGGCCCAGAGCGAAGTAGTTCTTGCCCCGCAGGGACGGCTCCAGCGTCAGCAGGTCGACGAACTCGCCCTCCAGATCGCGGCAGGTGTTGAAGAGCCGCCCCGCGGGTGGCGGAGTCCGCTGGTACTGCTGCCGGATGAAGTCGACAAATTCGGCGGTGAAGCAGCCGTCGATCGGTAGCAGGGGGAGCGCCGCCAGCGAGCGGCCCCCGCCGGCCTTCCCCCTGGCGGCCCACAGGTAGTGGAGCAGCGCGAAGGCGGAGACACTGTGGAAGACGTAGGCCTCGCCGTTGGGAATCAGGGAGGCCTCCTCGGCGGCGAACGACATTAGGGAGTCGTGGACGACGGCGATACGGCGGGAGGTGGCGGAGAGGGAGCGCAGGAGGGAGCCCAGTGGAGCTTGCAGTTGCAAGGAGGCCTCGAAGGAGGGCTGGAGATGGGAGGGGAACTTGACGGAGGTGTTGGGGTCTGGTTTGGGAGAGGGGAAGGGGGGGATGGGAAGGTCGTGGAAGCGGATGTTGACGAAGGTATCGAGCTCCCAGCTGTTGAGGCGCACCCTGGCTTGGCGGTTGTGGGTGGCGGAGCCGGCGAAGTGCACCGTCACGCCGCCGTGTTCTGCAAGGAGTCTCGATAGGTGGAGCATCTGGTTCAGGTGACCCTGCGCCGGAAAGGGCACCATCACCACCACTACCTCGGCTTTCTTCGCCGCCGAAACGGCCGCTGCGGGTCCTTCTCTCCCTCTGCCCATTGCGCCCTCTGAGTGTGTGTGTGTTGAGGGGGAAACTCTTGCACTGCCCCCGGCGGCCATCCGCTCTATATATACTGCACAGCTTCAACCTCTGTAAATACTCCACCGCCCCCCACCCCGCTGGGATTCACCCTGGTAAGGAAAGTGGCGTGGCGTGGAGAGGACGAGGACTCCCCCTCCCGCCGCCTCACTAGGAGTTAACGCCGAAGATCTCCGGACAAAAGATATAGGCGACAATCAGGAAAATGGTTTGATTACTTCCACTGTCGGAGGAAGATGTCGAAGGATCAATCTGAAGAGGAGCCCTGTTTTGCACCATTGGCTGTCTCCATCAAGCGTCCTCTGGACTGATCTCCATGACCAGCCTCTGAAAGGAGGAGGAGACCAAGTCGACGAAGATAAGCTGGTCCGCATGATCCCCATCTAGTCTACTTCGAAGTAGCCGACTAGGTAAATAGTCTGGAGGCCTAGCCGTCGTTAGACGTGCCGCCATGAAGGAGAGAAGTCTTCAGTTCAAAGAAACGCGCTTGATCTCGCGGGTTTCCCTTGAAGAGGTTATTGCGTTTCTCGGAAGAACTGGAACATCAGAGTCATGACTAGCGTTCATGTTTAATCACAAGCTTCTTCCCGCCTTTGTTCACCGATTACAGATCGAACACTCGGGACGATCGATTACAACGGCTCAGGATCAAGAACTGACTTGTTCAATTCAAATCCAATTGTATTTCAGATATTTTATCTTATAATTATAATGGTTAGTCTTCTGATAATGGTTGGTGATCCGAAGAGTTCAGATGGGTTGAGAAAAAATAGTGGGCTCATCCAAGGAGATCCAGCGGGCACCGACTTTAGATTACCCTGGTCACCGGGATTAGATCGCCGTGCTAGGTGATCTCCACTGCCGAGCACACGTACGGCCGCAATCTGTTCGGTGAAAACAACGAGGAGATCGATTCGGTGGCCGCCGTTGCGTAGCCAATAGGAAATCATGAGAACGCGACGCCGAACCCGGTGACCATCAAATTCAATTGTTCAGTGCCCGATCCACACGACGCGTGTCCAAGAAATGTTGTTCGTTTCCACGTCCACGTTCAAGGATCCGGAACAGATAGATGATAGAGAAAACGACCAGGAGAGAGAGAGAATCAAGCAAGGTCGATGGGCTGGAGGGGGGGCGGTGACGCCATCGGAAAACCTCGACGGGAGAGGAGGAGGCGAAGGGGTCCGCGAGATCTACCGAATCCGGCCGACAACCATTGGGGACCTCGAAAAGGAAGCGAAACATGAGTCGTACAGGTGAGAGGTCGGCATTGCGGCCAACAGTCCCGCCGCAATGCGGCCGCAATCGAAAGGCCGACGGTGATGTCTCACGTCGAAACGCGGAGCTCAAACGCTCAGTTTTTGTCTCAGCCTCAGCTCCTTGTCTGCCCCTTGCCGACGTGAACGGGGCGGCATTCGTTCCATAAGTCTTCACGGTCTCTCTCATCTTCTGCGTCGGCACTGTAGGGCATCATCTGAGCGGGGGGCAGCCGCAAGCCCCGGTGATCCCTTTATGGGGGCGGTGGGGAGGGGTCCACGGCAGGAGCGGCGCCGCCCTGCGGACTAAACAGCTCGTGCGAATGCGAAAGCGGCAATCCCCTCAGTCCCCAAGCTGTTGAACTCTCGCCGCCGCAACGGTCAGCGTCACCTCCCACCGCCTACTTCCCCCCCCTCCGGGGGAGTTCTTCAGCTCCTCAGTCCCCTCAGATCCTGGCCTGTGCCCACTTGAGATCCATCGACACGTTGACCAGAAATAATATAATTCAATTCAAAATTAGGTCAAAAGTAGGATGTCAGACTGACGAGATCCTCTCGTAATCCCAGCTCGATCTGGGCCTTTCCAAGTGTACTGATGAAAAAGGGCCCGACCGGGTCGTCGGCCCTTCAGTGACATAGTCTCCTATCACTCAATGGTAGCGGGTGAAGGTGCCAGTACAGTCCTGGTCTGGCTGGGCATCGGCCCTACCCTAACCTTAAGCCTACCCTACCCTAATTCTATCCTATTGCCTAGTGCGAGAGGGACTCATTAACAACAACACCCCCCCCCTTCGACATAATCTCTCTCTCTCTCTCTCTCTCTCTCTCTCTCTCTCTCTCTCTCTCTCTCTCTCTCTCTCTCTCTCTCTCTCTCTCTCTCTCTCTCTCTCTTATTATGAATGGATGGACGCCCATAATAGTCTCTTTTGTTTAAGAAAAAGCTGATCGGTTCATAAATAAATTAAAATATTTAAACTTGGTTTTGCCAATTTACTAAGCCCAAATTGACCGATGCAATATTACACAGATCAAAGTCAAGATTGCACTCAATGAATGGAATGAACTAGTACAAAAATACGCTTTTACATATATGCATATATATTCACATAAAAAAAAATGCCATATTATTGGATCGAAGCCATATGAATGAATGAAGGGAACATTCATTCAGATAACTTCAGATAAAACAGCAGCGTAGGTGAAAATATTAGTTAACTTCAGATAATGAAGGAAACTAGAAACACTTGAGAGAAAAAATATGAGGTAGGTGTTAAATGATGACAAGATATAAAATTTGGCATTTATTAGGTGTCTAAATCTAAATTAGACATAAGTTGAGTAATCCATTTATGAGATCATATTCTTATGTTTTAATTTTCAACATGATTTTTTATAATATATATCCATGTTTGGAATTTATTAAAATAAATAAATGCTACACATCTCAAGGAGGATATTTGATCTAGATGATGATGGAAATATTCGTATTATTTTGGTATAATTAATTTAATCAACTCATGTTTATGACATAACAAGTAAAATTCTTGTGATTTTATCCATGAACCGGCTTCTCTCACAATTACTTAGTTTGTTCCTCCAATTCATCACTTTCACTTGAATGACCTAGAAATATTTAGCGACAAATTATCTAGAAAAATTAAGCCACTATGAGTAAATTATGTAGATAAACTCTGATATTCCAAATATTTGGAATATTTGGAATATATGTTTTTGGGCATATCTACATAATATGTAGAGTTTATTAGTAGAGTCGGATAATGCCCGAAAATTCACATTTTTAATCAATATAAAAATATTTGGGAGTATAGATTGAAGACCTATCAGGCATGTTACATTACATGGACATTACATGGAGATTGTGAGATAAGACGTAGGCCATATATTTCACATGATGCCGATGGAGCAAGGGTGACAATAATTAGGCCTATACTCATCTACCCACCAACAATGGGCTTCCCAGGGTTGTTAATGGGATCTGTAGCGTTGGTCTAGAAATCTTGACGATAGGGATGCGTATGGACGGCCGGATTGGGCCCTTTGGGCTAGGCTCATGCAATACAGTCGGGCCTGGAGCTCTCTAGATGCATGCAGGGCTTCTCTCTCTCTCTCTCTCTCTCGTGAGATGGGTGTGGGAAGAGAGAGCGAAGGGGAAACGGAGGTGAGCCGCTGGCGAGAGGGGGGGAGAGTGTCTACACCGGCTGGGAAAAGGAGGCAGCAAAGATGAGAGAGAAAAAACGATGGTGCACCGGTCGGAGATAGACGGGGAGATGCAATACTTGAACGAGAGGGAGAGAGAGAGATGGTGCGACGCCCGGAAAGAGACGGAGGAGATGTAGTGAGATAGTGAACGAGAGAGGGAGAGGGGGGGAGGGGGATACAGAAGAGGGATGAGAGAGAGAGAGAGAGAGAGAGAGATGGTGCACCGACTGGACAGAGACGGGCAAGATGTTGTGGAGAGAGAGAAAGAGAGGCGAGTAGAGAAGAGGGGTGAGAGAGGGAGAAAGAGAAGGGCGATAAAGCGGCGGGAGAGACGGGTGAGAAAGATGGCACACCGGCCTGAAGAGACGGGGGATTTGCACTGCGAGAGAGAGAGAGAGAGAGAGAGAGAGAGACGGTGGAGGTGCTGAAGAGAGAGGTGCTGCTATTTCCTCTTCCTCTCTCTCCCGTACTTATATATATAGATATATCTCCCGTCCCCCTCGCCTTGACGCTCCTTCCAGATCTATATCTATAAATTAAAGACAATCGAGCGGTCGGAACCGTTGGATGGAGGTTGGCGATAGGGATATTAATCAAATGAGCTTTGCCGAGCAAGCTGGTCCGCCGGCGGCGCTGTCTGAGCGGCGTAGATGAACTCGTCGAACGCCCTGAGTGAAGAACACCTCACGGCGCCCTTCTCCGCCACCGCCGCCTTCGTCGTCCTCGACAGCTCCGCCGTCCTTCCCCTCATCTCAACTCCTTTCTGACCCCAATCACCAGCCAGACACCCTCTCCACCTCCTCCGCTGCAACCTCCTCCTCCAAACCCCTCGCCAGTTCCACGCACACCCCATTTCCTCCTCCATCATCTTCGAGTTGTCGAATTGCTCGGTGGCCAGTGGCTGCCCAATGACCGGAACCCTGGCTGAGGCTCTCCAGTGATGAGTTCCACCCGGAGTGGCTAAGGAAGGCGCCGGTGTGTTGTGAACGGGAGCCTTGCACGTGCCCCCCCACCCTGTTCGCATAACGGCATAGTGCGGTTATGCGAGAAGTGCTCTAACGTATACACGTCAGAGCACATTGTGAGGTAATGCGAAATTTGGTAATGCGGAATCTCCTGCATAACGCACGGTACTGGCCAGTTTTGGCCAGCTAGTTATTTCTTACGGTTATTCCTTTCCCCCTTTCTTTCTTATTTAAAGAGGGCTGTAAGAGTTTTTCAAAAGCGAGAAAGTTTTCCTTGTTCCTCCTGCTGTTTTTCCTGTGACTCGTGAGGTGATCTCGCCGGCGACGTCTTAACTGCCGTCGTCTCTCCGGCGAGTTTCTGACACGGTGGAGGGGTGAGAGAGGATCTCTAGCTGCAGCGCCCAGCCTCTCACCAGAAGCCCCTTGTTCCTCTCCCTCATCAGCTCCCTGAAGCTCGCCGCAGCCACTCCATGTCGGAGCCCTCGCTCAGATCAAAGCCGATAGCGACTGGATCACACAGATGAAGTGCACGCCGCTCGCCGTCAGCTCCTCCTCCAGCGCCGTCGTCTGCGACGGAGACAACGCGTTCTGCGAGCCGAAGGAGATGGAGAGGACGGAGTCCCAGCCACTCGGCACAAGTCTCAGCTCCTATCCTCGGCTCTCTCGTCCTTTCCATGGCGACGAGCGGCCCCACAGGCCACACGCGGAGGCCGGTGATTTCCCGGAGCAACCTCATCCCCGTGGTCTCCAGATCCTCTGCCGCGTTGCACAGACAGGCGTAGGTCCTTAGAGATAAGGAAATCTGCCATTGGAAGAAGGAGCACGCGTCCTTCCCGTCTGCGGGTCTCATGTTGCCGGACATCTGAGAACGCAGCAGCCGGAAGCCGTCGGGGAACCCTGGGACGTGGAACTCGTCCCCGTCAGTCCCCGGGTGCGGCAAGTGGAACCAAAGGGAGAAGTAGTCGCCGTCCCAGTGCACCGCAGGTGAAGAAGATGGTGTGGAAAATGGTGAGCTCCCTTGACACCTCCACCGTCCTCGCGAAGAACACATCGGCGACGATGCAGAGCGGAGGTTCGCCGTCCCAGTTGCCGGCGTCGCGAAGGAGGCGCTCGAAGTGGGGTCGCAGGGACTCAGAGGCACGGCACAGGCAGAGGATGTGGTGATGGCGCAGGCAGTCGGTGTTCTCGGCGTTGGGCGGCAGCCCGTGGTTGGCGCTGCAGAAGGGGAGCTCCCTGAGGAGGACACCAAACTCCGGCGGGGACTCTTCGACGGAGATTGCGGACGTTCAGAGGAGTGCTGACGAGGGTGACTGCGAAGCGGCCCGGTTGTCGCCGGTAATCATCCAGGCTAGAGATAAGAAGGGTGGCCTTGAGCCAGAAACTGGAACAACATGATGTGCCGCCGGTTTTCCCATTAGCGTCCCGCCGGAGGAACCTTCTGATGGAAAATCGACGTACCTATATTCTTCATCAATGCGGAAAATGACGAAAGTCTTCCGATCTTTCTCCTCTTTTGTTCTGTTCGATCCCCGCAATCAGAACCTCTCTCCTATGAATGGAGTGTCTCCATACGAGTTGTGTTGTTCTGTTGCGTTGAAACCCCAAGGGCAGGCTTTTATGTAATACGCTCCATAGCCATATTACAGTTTTGCCCTGGGTAAACACTAATATCACGAATCATTTATAATCGCATTAATATCCAATTTGATTAGAAAAGTCACCTTCCACTGTGTTGGAGTTTTGACTCCAACACCTTCCACTGTGCTGGTTTCTCAACGACGACTTCCCTCTCAGAACGCCGAATTCTCAGGGCATAAATAGGGGAGATCAGTTTGGTCAGGCGACGGAGCAGTCACCGCTGGCTCAGCCCCGCGGCATTCTGATGGGCGCCGGTAGTCGGGCTGCTGAAAACGAGAGGACCTCCTGTAATTAAATACCTACTTCAGGGTCGTCCTCACCGGACTAATGGGCTGGACAGAAGAGCAGTACAGAAGGAAAAATGAACGGGAAGCTCACTGACATAGGTGATCTCCAATGAAGCAATGGAGATATGTCTCTAACCCTCAATTAACAACTTTTGATTGTCGCTTCATTTGAGGATAATACGAGTTGATTCACCAGAGTGCTAGTCCCTCAAGATTGAACAAATCTTATCAAAATTACTCATGAAGATGTAGTTATAATCAATCAAGATAGACATTAGAAATCTTTGCAAATGGATAATTTCCCTAATGAAGATCTCTGCGATGTCTTGAGTTGTAAATAGATGATGTAGGGTTGAGAAGCAGGCATATTTACCTAGACAATCTATGACCACCAAGATAGAATTCCATCCCACTTGAATTTGGTAAATCATCTATAAAATTCATTGTTAAATCTTCCAAGATCTACTTTGTAATCAGCCATGGGTGGAAAAGCTCAATTAGAGAGAGAGCTTTGGTCTTGTTGGCTTGGTAGACAACACATGTGGCCACATATTTTCACTCATCCATTTATGCCGATGTATCAAGCATTGTGGACTAGTCATATATATGTTTGTATAAGTCCCTGAGTGCCCTCTGATAATTAAATCATGAAATTCTCTCAACAAGTTGGGGATGAGTTTTGAAGCCTTCGAGATCATCGCCCGCCCCTAGTGGAAGAGGTGACTTTACTGAATTACATAGTGTTGTCATTTCTCTAGGTCAAAGAAAAGTTCTTCATTGATCTTTTAGAGCAAAGAATCTACTTGGTTCTCTTAGAAGATTTGATCAAGATCGAGAATTTCAAGCTTGTAAAGTTCTGTGTTTTATAATCATACTTAGTTGGGCACTTCAAATAGGGTGTATATGGCTTTCTTTTCCTTTCCATGCTTAAAGTAGATATCAAAGTCAAAGGATATGATTTTTGAGATTGACTTTTGAACTCAACGACACTTGTCACTATTCAAGGATATATTTCAAGCTTTAGTTGATGTAGATGAAAATTTTCTACCCTAGAAGATAATGCTTCAACTTCAATGTAGAAAACATAATCACGATAAACTCATGCTCATAAGTCTACTTCAGTTGGTTTGCAGAGGAAAATGTCTCACGAAAGAAGGCAATGGGTCTCCTCTACTACATTAGAACTTACAAGTAGAGACATCTACTTTAAACTCAAAAACAATAGAGTAATTTCATAGGGCCAGCACCAAGATTGTCATTAAAATAGTTTTTAAGTTGACGAAAAGCATTGGCTTTTAAATTCTAGTTGAAAATGTCATTATTTAATTATTGAGTGAGTGCTTATACTATATTATCATATCCCTTGATAAATCTTTAGTATTAGATTGTGAGTTTAAGGAAACCACAAAGCTCATTAAGATAAGAGGGCAACAGCCATCTCATAATAGTTGTGACTTGTTTTGGATCTATAGGCATCTTATCGATTAAGATATAATAGTCAAGTTGTGAGGTTTTTCGCTGCCCAAAGACACATTTTTTGAGATTAATATGAAATTCATTTTCTTATAAAGTTTAGAGTAGTTGAAGACAATTGATTGTCATGTTCTTTTGAGCTCTTGATGTAAGTTAAAATATCATCAAAAAATAACGAAATAAACTACTAAAAGAATTTTAAAAAGACCTTGTTCTTGATGGCATGGAAGGCTGTTGAGGCATCAGAGAGCTTGAAGGATATTACTACATATTCATAGTGTCTTTCATGAGATCTTAATGTAATCTTGAGAATATTATTTGTGCATATTTGATTTGATAATACCTTAATTATGAATTCAACCTGAAAAAGATCTATATTTAGTGCAAGTCATCCATCAACTCTTCAACTATGAGAATGGTAGTTGTTCAGATATCTTACTCTACATGGCCCACTTGGGCCCATTAATCTTACAATTTAACTTTCTCGTCAACATAATATCAGAGCCCTAGCATTCTTTCCAACTATAGTTGCCGCCATCGTGCCACTACTGCTACATCTTCTACATGCTCTCCTCTCTTTCTCTCTATACATGCCATATTCTACCATGTGCCACCATTTGTTGTGCACCATCATCATCTGCACCATCAAAATATATTGCTGCACCATGTGCAACTAGTGTGTCGGCACCTACCCTACTGTCGCAGTCCCTTGCTGTTGTGGTCTTTGTTGTTGCAATGTTTGCCATTGCTGTTACTCCTGCTCTTGCAGAATCTCACAGCATTGTCTCTTACTATACCACCTCCTGTCATATTGTCTTTTTGCTACATGCCATCTCCTTCTACATGTCACCTCTTGCTACACGTTCTTGTGCTTGCATTAGTATGTTATTCTCTGTCATCATTATGGACTAAGAAAATACATCTTCTCCACTTCATGGACCTCAGCATATGGCCCCGCTTCTAGTTGAAGTGCCTTCGCCATCAACACTCCTTCCACAAAACTCCATCACAACGTAACTAACTCAGTTGACATACATCTTTACCAGTCTCAATTATGCATCATGGGCATTAGGTTTTGAGCACTTCCTTATGTTCTATAGTTTGCTTCATCATTTGATAGATGATCCATTAGTCATCGTTGACCTGACCTATGCTTCTTGGTTTAAAATTGACTCTAATATAGTCACATGGATGCTTCAAAACATTGAACAAATTATTGTTGAGCCCCTTACTCATATCAAGCCTACTAAGTAACTTTGACTCACAATAGATATCATGTATGTCAACAAAATAAATATTAATTCTACTATGTAATTATTCGAGTATTTTCTCACTTGTAAGTAAGGTAATCTCTTACTTTAAACATATTTTGGATGACTTCAGGTGATTATCTAGGAGTTATCTCTTTATTAGCCTCCAACCACCGACCTTTGAATTCTTGAGCGGTATTTCCAAGAGTTCTATTCTAGTATATATCTTAGTGGTCTACACTCAAATATTGTCTCACAAATTTATAGTTAGATTCTCTTAAGTGATCGTGTGTCAAATCTTCCATTTATTTTTTTCTACAACACTTCATGTGAGCATTAGTACTCCTACCATATTTGATGGTGGTCGTAGCTCAAAGCTTGACAGTGGTCATCATCTCAAAGGCAAATACCATAATATTTTTCACCGTGCTCTTATTGTGGTAAGTATAGTCACTGATGATATCAAATATGTAGTGATAATTATATGTTTTTATACTTTAATTAATTAATTATATTTTTATCAACATGTTAATTATCTTTTATTTCTGATTAAAATAAATTAAATACATATTATTTATCTAGTCCTTATTTTGGATATTTATTGACTTATGAACTAACCCCACTTGATTCTTTTAAATCAAGTGGATTATTCTCACATTTTTCTTAGAGTTTTATTAGATTTTAGGACCTAGATAAATAAGATATTAAATGTGGAGGGGAGAAGCAATCAATCCACATTCAAAATCTTATTTTTAAGGAGGATTCTAAGTTTTAAAATGGAAGGTTGTGACTCATGGATGAAAAAAAGGGGCCACAAAATTGGGAGCCATGAATTGAATAATTCAAGTCACATATCTTGGGTTACTCATTTTGAGAAATCAAGAATCCTATTTATACTCTCTTCCTCCCTCATTGTAGGAGATCCTTGATTCTATCCTAAACTCTATGTTGACGGCCTTAGTACAACAATTTCTTAGATTCACTCTCTTCTCTAAGTGTCAGGTTGAGTGAAGAAGCAAGACCAGATCATCTAATTTGGAAGAACAAGAAGAAGATTGCTACCTTGGGCCAAAAATGATGTGCCAAGAGAGGAACGAGCACTCTCTTGAAGATTCACCTTATTCATTCGATTTCATTGGCTTAGTTATTATTGGGTGTGAGAGCCAAGATTTAGGGCTTTCCAACACTACAAACCATGCCCAAAATTTTGTTCTACAACAAAAGTTACAAATGAAACATTCTGCCGCCCACTAGTGCATCATTGCTCATATGCTTGCTGTCTGCACACTCGTCGACTTGCTCATTGACGCGTCATTGATTGTGTGATGCTCATCGATGTGTGACTGCCTATATACCACTCGTAGGTGTATCATTGCCCATGCACTGTTCACTAGCGTATCATTGCTTGTGCGACACTTGCCGATGTGTCATCGTCCACGCCACACTCACCAACGCATGACCACTAGTGCATCACTTACAAATGCATCACTGCCCATGCACCATCGTCGGCACATCTCCACATGTGTGCCACTCACTGACACATTACCACTTGCACCACTTGATGACACATCACCACCGTACATTGATTGCTTGTATGCTCACGTGCCCATCGCTAGTGCCACCAAAGCGCCAACTAAGGTAAGGTTACTCTGATTTTCGGTTTTCTTCTTGTTAAAAATATATATATATATATATAATTACTAAAAAAAGCTTTTATTAGTTTTTGACTCTCTATGGTTTGACCCTTAGTTTATACTTTGTGAAATTAAATATTATATTTTTTTTACTAAATTTGAAATTTATAATGATTATTATCTCATTTTTTGAATAATCAATTACCTATCAAATAAGTGCCAGAAGTAGTTTAACAAGCTTGAGTGGGCTCAAGATATTATCTCTAACACTTATTTGAATTCTCTTACATCAATCTTATCCATGATTCACTTCACAACCTCTACTCCTAATATTTAGATTACTTTCACCCTAACATAATATGAAGCTTAGAAGCAGCATGTCTTCTCTGCCAACCTTACATCTATATCAAGAGTCTTTATACCAATATTATACATATCTTACTTGTCTCCTCATCACTTTGGATTATTGACTCAGAGGCTTATGCCCATATGATAAGTACACCCTTTATACTTTCATCACATCACCACCTACTCTTAGTGACCATTGTTGATGGTTGAACTTGTCCGATCAAAAGTTATGGCACCACTATTGTGACCTCTACCCTATCGTTGACCCATCCTCTTTGTTTCTGATTTTTCTATAACCCTTTTATTTATTGATGACATCACTCATGCCTTACTTTATACTATTATATTTTTTTTCTTTTCACCATCTTCTAAGATCTACATATCAGATTGACGATTGATTTGAGATGTGAAAATGATTGAGGTGTTTACAAACTCATTTCGGACACACCTTCCTCCAACATTTGAGTATTTTTTGTTACTTTTGCTACTACTTCTCTTTTGTGGCATTGTTGTTTAGGTCATCCTTATTTTTCAAATTTTAAGAAAATCTTACTGTTATTGTCTTTTAATGAATTTATATGTGAGTCATGTCAACTAGGTAAACATCATCGTTCTACTTAATCTAGTCATGATAATATTTCATCATTAGCTCCATTTGATCTTGTTTACTATAATATTTAGGGACTCTTGAGTTGCCTTCATCACTAGATATTTATATTACATCTATTAATTTTTCCACTTAATGTAATTTGATTTTCAATTACCCTCTTTGTTGCAAACAAACATCATTGTCTTTTGAATTTGATTATAAATAATTTTCTTACCATTTTTAGATTTTGAATTTACCCTTTATTGACCTACACTTTTAATAATTAGACTTTCACCCCATGTAAGAGGTTTTAGTTGAACATCATTGAATAATAATATTGATTTAACTTCTTTTATCCTTCACATATCTTTACCATTAAAATGATAGTTGCCAAGTTGTCATAAATATTCATATATTTATACTATGAACTTGGGAAATCAATTTATTTGGAATATTTATTTATTCTAAAAAAATTGTTGGTTCACTCATACGTAAGTTATAAAGCTGTCTATGTAGATATAGCTTGTTCAGTCTTAGATATGTCAATATTTTAAGTTTTTTTTACAAGAATCAATAGTAATTTCTATCTCATAAATACTATGTATAACTTCATCAATTATGGCAATTAAAAGTTAGTACTTTCATATCTAATTCATATCAATCTTTATCACTTATTTTCTTAGATTCTTCTCTAACATAAGAAGTTTCATGCAATTCTTGTTGTACAAATAATACCTTCACTCTATTTTATCATAGAATAAAATCATTTTTTCTATCAAATCTTATAGCCTTGAATTCTGTTATTGACATCTTTAGAAAATATTAGTTTGGCTTTGCTACCAAATGTTGTGATAAATGGGACTCTAAAATAATTCAAAACATAAATAACTACTCACAAAACTAGAATTGGGTATGATCCCACAATGCCAAGCATTGAATTCGTGTCTATTGACATATTCAATAAAGTCAAGTACTAAAAAGCTAATAATTGATTCTTAGATATCAATAATGTGTGGGTATGATCCCACAAAGTCAAGCACCAAGAAATTAATAATTGATACTTGGATATCAAATCTGTGTGATTATCTAAGAGACCACAACACACCACATATATCGACAACTGGCACAAGAGTAATGAAATCATCTTTTTATATTCCTTAAAATAAAAATTATTTACAAAGACAATAACAACACAATGTTATAAATATCAATTAATAGTAGATTGGTTTTAATCACCTCAAAACATAAAACAAAAACGTGATAAATTATTTTCTAATTCAAAGATGAGACTATTACATTCACACTAACTAGAATGGAGACTAAAATGAAGACATAAATGAATTTTTTTTTCTCTTGAATCTCTTTCTTCTAATAGCTTGAAAACTAAGTTACTATTCTTGACCCAAAAAAAAAATTAAATGAGAAAGAGAGAAAAAGGTTACTTCTTTTTCCTTTCTTCAAGCCCTAAACTCCACTTTAAATAGTAAACTCCCTTCTCCACGGAGCTTTTGAAAACCCTTAATTTTGAAAATAACTCTCTCAACCTTTTTCCCATAGCTTCCCAAAGTCCTATAAGAGAGAGAAAAAGCATTTTCCTCTTTCAGCTATTGGGCCCTTATCTTTGGACCCTTCTTCCTCCTTTCTCCTGTGTGGTTAGTGCACGAAGGCGAAGGAAGAGAATTAAATATGTCAGAGAATCTGCTCCTCTCACCTTCTTCCTTGGTTCTGCTGGGAGGCATAGAGAGAGGAGGGAGGGCAAGGAGGAGGTGGCGGTGCTGCTTTGAGGGAGGTGGAGGTGGACTGTCACTGGGTTTGACTCTCGGATAACCGCTCACAAAACTAGAATTGGGTCTGATCCAACAAAGTCTAACACTGAATAGTGCCAGCGTGACAGTAAAAAGGAAAAAAATTCAGGGAGATGATTTACACGTAAATATGCCGGTGCTCAAGCCTCCCAGGAAAGTTGGAGATCATCGAAATCTATGAATTGGGCGCCGCTCTCCTGCGGGAGGCCCCCCTCATTGCACATTCTTCCCACCCACCCCAAGCCGTCGTTGTCGATGAGCTCCTCCCAGAGCCCGGCGTCGGTGAAGTCCTCGCGGGGGTCCCCCGACGGCGTCGCCTCCTCTGGCTGGGAGGCGGAGGGCTCTCCCGGCGGGGGCTGCTCCTCCGGCAGGTTAAGCCTGGCGCAGTCACCGTAAAGGCTGCGGGCGGCGTCGTCGTAGGCGCGTGCCGCCTCCACGGCGGTGCCGTAGGTACCGAGCCACAAACGCGCGCCGCGATTGGGCTCACGTATCTCCGCCACCCACTTTCCCCACGTCCGCTGCCGCACCCCTCTGTACGTGCACTGCGCGTTCTCGGGTCCCCCCTTCCCCTTCATACACCCCTTCCTCGACCTCCTCAGCCCCCCCGCCTTCTTCATCTTCCTCCCCTCCTCCTCCATTTCCCCCCTTCCCACACACAAACACCGACTTACAGAGAGAGAGAGAGAGAGAGAGAGAGAGAGATAAATATAAATATAGATAGAGAGAGAGAGGGAGAGGATCCCAAGAAGTGGGAATGAGGGGATTATATCCGGGTCGGCGGGAACGAGGAAGGTGAACTCTTGGGGCCAACTAGAGTGGGAAAGGCGGCCGGGGATACCTCACGGCAAACGTAAGAAAGACTCCACGAGGCTCTTCTGCATGGATGCGCCGCCTGGCGGGTGGCTGGGCTTCCATTTGTCGCCGCCACATGCCGAAGCCACGCGGCGGGCGGCTGCAGGACGACACTATTATTCTATTGGCAGGTCGGCGGCGCAGAAAGAGTCAGATTTTGGGATCTGTTGCGGAACAAAGGATTTGAAGACTCTGCTTAGCTGCTAGCTGGAACCGCCTCACCGGAGGGAGGGAGGAGGGTGATCCATGTTTTTCTCCTAGGGTTCACCAAGAAACGAGGATGGTAAAAATCTGGCGGCCCACAAGGCCGAACTTGCCTCCAAGGTCGAGGGTGGAAGTGGTTTAGATTGGGGAGGAGTTATCCGAGGACATCTCGAGCACTGGATTGAGACGTCAGGGCAATCTGAGCAAAAGAACATGAGTTATAGTCTAATAATAGAAGGTTCTGTGTGGGTTGGGGAGATGAAGAGAGAGAAACCGGCAAGAGGGAAGGGCAAATTCCGCGAGGAGAGAAGATACCCATTAGTAGTAGGACACTTCAGCAAAAAATAAATGCGCTAGGAATAAAGGGGAAGCGTGGATTAATGCTCCATCAGATAATGCCGGGCTTGAGGATCTGAGCATTCTAATCGATAATGTCCCATCCGACTATCCCTGCATAGACCCAAGAGGGGGATGATTTGTTCTATGATAAATGGGGGTTTGAGATTGATTCACCGTTATATTATCGCTACATCGGTGAACTCAAATCGCCCCCCCCCCCCCTAAAAACAAAAGTGAGATTCAGATATTATAGACAATGCAAGATACAGAATACTTTTCTACTATCTGCAGGTGAAGTAGAATGGAAGTGGGCGTGATCTACTGGAAAGACGAAGGGGTTCTGATGCATTATTTGAGAGGGGATAGCTCATGGTGTGTGGTGTGGAAAGTTGGCTAACGAAGCATCATGTTGTTGCGAATTGATCGTCATGGGCTCAAATCTATGCCTCCCATTACGAATTTACATGAAGAAAAGCAAGTGAGAGGCTCATCGCTCAGATATGAAAATTACAACCTCTAAACAAGAAAATTATCTTCAGCATAATTTATTCAAATAGTGCCCCTCAACAAGAAAATGCCATTAAATCGGCACAACAAAAAAAAAAAGAAGCTGTATTTCTAGTCCATGTATCCAGCGTACTAGGTACAAAGAATTATTGAGCAAAGAAGAGGAAGTCCCCGTCATAAAAAAATAGCATATAGAAGAGAGAATACTGGTGCCTACCTCTTTCATATTTAAAGGGCCACATGTGAATTTTACAAGCTTCGAGATGCCGACGAATATGTCAAGACTGTGGCATCAAGAGCAGGTCTTCCATAACTAGAAGGGGTTGATTGTGTAATGCATTTATAGTCCTTGTGGAACACGTTAATCTTCCTGCAGTATCAACAGCAAAGTCGATCACATCTGACTCTTTTGCTCAGTTTTCCGAGAAATTTTTGTCTTCTTCTACAGTTTATCACGATTTGTTGGCATCTTTTGGCTTTGAAAAGAATGGATCCCATTCATGCGGACCTACAGTCCGCTGTCCTTCATCAAGCAATGCATATTTCCAACTGTTCTCTTCGATAAAGTCACTGACATTATGGCCCTGAATGATGTCCTTCCTCAGTTTTGTAACTTTATCAATAATAGCATCGACAGACACATCAAAGGCATCTTTGAGTGTCTCTAATCGAGACCTTGGATCTGCATACACAAGCCTCGGTATAAGGTTTATGACCTCCTCTCTCATTGTGTTCACCTCTTCTGGCGAAATTCGGCTTAACCTTTCCTGAATGCTGATCTTTCCCACGCGGATGTCCTCCTCTGGAATAAAGACAGAATATCTGGAATAGTTTCTTGGAAGATGCCACGTGTATTGCGTATATGCAGACCCTGGATGGAAGAACACCGGGATGCACCCGGCCAGCATTGAGTCAAAGGCCGACCTCCGTGTGTAAGAGTCACCTTGAGGCTGCAAGCAAAATAAAGAACTTTGGAACATCTGCATTATACTGCTCGGAGAGTGACATTTACTTTCACCAAAATCACACTCCAACAGCTTACAGACCTCAGAGTTTCTGCATTGACCTATTATCTGACCTCTGATTGATTTGGGGTTACCAGGGCGAGGTGCCCCAGCAAATGAGAAGAGCCACTTGCGTTTCAGTTTCCTCATCCTGTCCTGCCAGAGGAAAACGTCAGCATCTTTCGCCGGATGAAAATAAGTAGGATATGGAATCCCGAAGTCGTTTGCATTCCATGGGCTAGACTCAACAACCAGCATAGACATGTTCTTTGCAGCCGGCAAGAACAAAAGCTTATTTCCCCAATCAGATTCAGCCTCTGTCAATCGTCTGAAATCCCAGGTGATCCTTCCTGCCACCAAGAAATGGTCTCTCCCACCCATCACTTTCCACTCAGGCCTCTTCTCAAGCCACTCCACCAAAGCAAGAGAAGCAGAGTCCCTGACCGACATGTTATATCCCCAAAGGTATCGAGATATGTCAAAACCAGCGTAAAAAGGCACAAAAACCGCGGCCGCAATTGAGGAATCTTTCGTCAGACATTCATATTGCTTCATACGGTTGCGGAAGATCACGTCAACAGCAAACTGGTTGGTGGCATACCAGCCCGTGCTTGAAAAAACGCCTTCAATATTCTCAAGAGGGGGACCGAGCCCCTCATTAATTATGAATTTACACATATTGGTCCACAGACTGAGTCTCTTGCACTCCTTGAGCATATCATCATTAAAACGTGGTGGAAGTTCATGAACGTATATGTATCTCCCACCACATGGATCGCTCTTATTCTCTATGGTCTGTAAAGCTCGCGTGAAGGGAAATGTTTTTGCAGGAATCTGCATGTTGGAAGGCATGGAATCAAAGGAGACAGACTGTTTAGGTTGGTGGACAATGTCAGTCCCGGATATAAGATGGGCACTAGAAGTCATCGGCAGAAGAGGATCAGATTGCTCCGGGATAGTGACAGGGCCGTGGCCGATGGCCATGAAGTGGAGGTAGAAAATCAGGAACCAGAACATGGCAGACAACGAGGCGAGGAGGCACAGACGAGATTGTTGTGGCTTGCCGCTGGATCTCTCCATCTCCTCTAGGAGACTAGATGCAGGCGAGCGCCGTCTCATCAGATTCCAATCATAAAAACACGAACCACAGAGGTAACTGCCGATGCATAATCGTAAATACGGTACGAATCGAGTGAATATCTGACGAACCCTAGTGCTTAATTTATCACCCAGAACTCTTGATTTACCCCAGGATGTTCAGGAAAATGCGGCATTGCAATTCCGAGATCAAAGCACGACGAATCCCAACTCCAATACCGACTATCAGTGCGGAACACTGGCTCAAAAAAAGAATAGAATCAGGTGACGATCCCAAATTTAACTTCGGAAACACACGAACCAGAGACTCGCAGAAAATCCACAGCTAAATGGTAGCTTGAAGACGCTCGTAGGTCGATAATCACCCACACCGAGTGTCTTAAATATGGGAGAGGAACACCCGGAGCTTCTTAGACGCCGACATTCCCGTTACTAGCTGCAGGACGTTCCAAACAAAATGTGGGGATCAGGAAGAAAGCCCTAACGTCGATCTAGAAGAGGAAGAGATTTGGAAGACAAAACGAGGCACGCCCTCTTCCTGGAGGGTAGCTAATCCTGTTGAGATGGAACACGAGAGGGGAGAAAAAGAGAGAGAGAGGGAGAGAGAGAGAGAGAGAGAGAGACAGACAGACAGAGACAGAGAGATCTTACAGAGAGAACTGCATGGGGCTTTTTTCTGGCAGGCGTCTCCAGCGAGAGTCTTGCAGTGAAGAAAGGATCGAGGAAGGAAGGGAAAAAGAGCGGGTGCACTTTAGAACGGTGCGCCGTCGCCGTCGGCCGCTGGTGGGCCCCACAATGGATGTCGGTCATCGAAAAATTTGTCCAAGGCTAATAATTGTGGGCAAATACTCGACGGCCTTTTACGACAATTACCTTAGCGCCTCCCGGATATTCCGGAAAGCCGTTCCGTCATCACGGCGTCGCAATTTAAAACAAATCTACTCCCCCCCCCGGTAAGATCCTCCATTTTGGACCGTTATGATCGATCTCAACCGACGAGATCGAAAGTCGCGGATCAACTCTTCGAAATGAGACACGCAGCGGCATATTTACCACACTCTCATTCCTCTGTCCCGCATAAATTATCTATTTACCTACATAATAAGTATTTACCCACGTTTACGCAATTACATTATATTATGTATTATTTTATAAATTAAGTTAATTGAAAGATAATAATTTACCCGACCCGACCGAATCGTCCAGTAATCTAATCCGATTCCGTACTTAGTCAACGCGTGCCAGATGAATAGCTGGAAGACTCATAAGGAAGCCTCATAAGGAGCCCATTAAGAGATCCGAAATTGTGTCAACAAACTCGGCCGGGTCTCGCTGGGTCGAGGTGACGTCAGACACGTCGGCGGTGACGATACACTCACTTGGGGACAAGTCATGTTACCGCGCGGAGTTCTGTGCAAAATTTACCTGTTTACATTGATTGAAGACTTTTTTTAAGAATACTACACGTGGGGTTCACTACCTAAGAATAATATTTAATTATTAAAATAAACTAATAAGGGTGCTATTTAATTAGCGGTCATATTTTAATCAGCTTTTTCCGATGATTTTAACCATTCAAATTTATGTCGGGGATTAAAGCTAGAAGGGTCTAATTATTTGCCCCGAGACAAATGCACATGTTTGAATTAATTGAGGGTTTTTTTACAAATAGTGCACTTGGCGATCACCTAGGAATAATAATTTAATTGAGAAAATAAGCATAAATGGTACTAATTAATTAGCTTTTTTGCCGTTATTGTAACTATTCGATTATTTTTTTTAGTGTTGCCTACGGATATAATTATCCATCACAAGAAAAAAATGCAAGTGTTAAATTAATTGAGGGTTTGGCTTTTTAACTAAATAATACACGAGTATTTACTAAGAATAATATTTTAACGTGGACAGTAAGCATATATAAATAATATTCGATTAACCAACGTAATTTTATAAGATTTTTACGATTATTTTAGCTATTAGAATTTTTTTCGAGCGTTTATTATTACAATAATTGACATCGAATAATTTACAAGTATCGTGTTGACTGTATATTTGACTTTATTTGACTTATTGCAATAATCGAATATTTGACTTTATATTCTCTCTCTCTCTCTCTCTCTCGTCTTCTCGATCGTCTTGTAGGGTTTTCCGATGCTCAATCCCACGATGGGATCTGAGAACCAGGCGCAATTACGGAGCATAAAGCGTAGTCAATGCGGTGTACGATGCGGCATGCTGAGTCGGCGCTGGAGGCTTCTTTGCTTCGCTGGCGCGCGGCGGGCCACCCGACCTTGAATGCCACAGAAGTTTCCCACGTCACTAGGCAGGTCTCGTGGCGAGGATTCTTCTGTCTTCGCGTCGCGGTGGACCTTACCAGGCCGCCGCCAAAGGAGTGGTAGAAGAAAAGTCTCAGAAGAGAATCGAATGGAATCAACGGGAAAAAAATGATCCACCACAGCATCAGACCCACGTCGACGTCCGTCGTTCCTAACCTCAAGAATTTCGGCGTCATTTACCGGTACTGCTCTCTCTGTAGATGCCCGAAGGGGACGGCTGCAGGCGTTCCATCGAGAGTGTGGAGCTTGCCTTGTAGCCTAGATACTTTCCCTTCCCCCTCTCTCCCTTGTTCCAGGTCTAGACTCTTCTGTTGAGTCCCGCTGAGGTATTTGTGGTTTCCGGGTCGGAGGGGGGGCGCGGTTTGGTGGTTGTGTGGAAAGTGTTCCTGCTCCCATGGAAGCCTCGTCTCAGCTCTGCTGTTCTTGCGCGGTTAAGCCTCTCCGACGCACGCGCTCGTCCTTGCCCGACTCATGGGCTAAGAGAAGCCGCCACCGGTTTGTCCGGAGCACGAGCAGAGGACAATGGCGGAGCGTCATCTCGGCAGTGGCCACATCCGATCCCAAGACGAAGACGTCAATTTCAGTGTCCAGTCCTAAGGCCGACAACGGAACTTCCACGGTAAGACAGTGACGACGTGCCTTTTCTCGATTGCCACATGGAGAGTAGAAGAATGTTTTGGTTCCTCGCGTATGTCCTTCTTTCTAATTTTTCCCTCTCTGATTTCATAATTTGTCTGTCGGTGACCATGGCAGAGATTCGGGAACGTATCAGATGAGATCAGAAGGGTGAGGGCGCAAATGGAGGAAGACGAACAGCTGGCATCTTTGATGAGGGGACTCCGGGGTCAGAATCTGTCTGATTCCCAATTTGCCGACGAGAATGTTACTCTCCGTTTGGTTGAGGTCAGGTTTCCATCTCTTGTTCTTACCTACAAATGAGAACATGCTTGTACGCTTGTATTCGTCTTACAAACACCATGTTTTATCATTCTAATTTAATGTCACAGAAGACGCGCTGGATTGATAACAGTGATAATTTGGCGGATTGTACCGAGTGGTATGGTAGATTTGTAGCATTTATTGCTGTGGTTGACTTCATATTGGCTCTCTATCTGTTTTAGGGTAGGTAATCGATCTGCGGATATGGGCCCGAATTAAGTATACGTGTAGTTCATGTATAGACTACGGTTTATGTTTATGTTTACCTTTGGTTACACATGATAATATCTGGCAAAGATGCAGAGAAGTTTGTGGAGATATTTGGCAAAACTTTGCAAAATAGAGGCGTAATATCAATGATTGGACATGAGAATACAGTAAAACCTGCCGTTCAGAAGTCACAATAATGAATTATCATTCAAGAGACACAATTTGTCCGTGGTTAGTTATTCATTGGTTCAGTTGTGTTTTTCACATTTTGAGACCATACCCAGGACACCTGCTGATTGACTTCAAAGATTCAACGTGTCTAGGCCAGTATAAAATAAATGGTCATTTTTATTTTTTTGCTATTGTATGAGCATTTTGTTGTTTTTACTTGATGTTTAACATATAAATTGAAAGGTCAGAAAATTTATCCTCAAATGTCATCAGGAGCCCTTAAGTCATAGTTAACACGAAGCGCATTTTGGCTGGACAAATGCAGAGATCTCCCTTGCGAGGTGTGCAGGCTGTGATATCAATTGAAAATACTAGTAAAATTAAATAGCGTATTTCCTGAGTTTAGGACTGCCTAGGCAACATGGGCTCTTGTGGGTGTCTTCTAATTTGTTTGCTAATGAGAGATGGATTTATGTTTTCCCTTGTGATCTCATATTTAATGCTTCCTGTCTCGAGTAACCAAAGTTGCTGGTTGTCACGCTATGTCTCCTTTGGTTTTTCAGATCGTAGAGAGTGGGGAGACTTTGCCACTGGTGTATGATCCAGATATCATCTCAGCCTACTGGGGCAAGCGGCCTCGTGCTGTTGCAACAAGAATTGTTCAGTTGATGTCTGTTGCTGGTGGTTTTCTTTCTCATCTTGCCTGGGATGTGATAAACAAGAAGATTAAAGAGGTAATGCCAGAAGTTATTGTTTCCTAGATTTTATCTTTTCATGGCATTGGGTCCGTATGATAATTGTTGTTCTAACTTTCGAGCTCAACTAACTGGAACGACGTACAATGTAAATATTTCGACAGTATATTTGTCAGCTGTACTGTAAAATATTTTATTTATTGGATTAAGTCATTACTTATTTTATTTTGGATGCTTATTTTTGCAGACATCGTTCATTGCTTTGTTTTGGAAACCTGTTTTGAATTTTTACTCGATTATTTTCAGAATGAGGTTGCACGAGCCATTGAATTGAGGGAAATTGTAACCTCTTTGGGTCCAGCATATATAAAACTTGGGCAAGCATTAAGTATCCGGCCAGACATATTGTCTCCCGCAGCAATGACTGAATTGCAAAAGCTATGTGATAAGGTAATACTTATGAATATTTTCCTTTGCATTCTCTTATTTTCAACTATTTTTTAAAATGGTTGCCAAATTTTGTTTGTTTTTGTAAAAGCGGAGCTGTTGCTCTCTTTTCTTCTTGCAGAAATAATAAAGATATTGGAAAAAACACCTCTTGATTGACATAAGATATGATTTGCAAGCCATTTTGGATGGAACTCATCTTACCTTTTCTAGCGATAATGAATTGGAACCCATGTTATGTTTCTTAGATTAAGATTCCCTTCGGATCTAGGAAATGCCTGTTACACATTCTGTGAAATTGCTTTTACAACGGTAGAAAGCCAATTGAATTTACTTCGCAGGTGACCTAAAATATGGTGACTGAACATCAGGAGGAACCGCAATCCAAGTTTTTCTTCATTTTCGAATAGTGATAGGAGGAAAGCACCAAATTTATGTCACATTTACTCTCCTGGTTACTTTTGTTCTGTATCATGATCTCTGCCTAAAACTTGATCTGGCAGAAGCGTATAATCTAAAGGGAAAGAGAGAAAAATCATGCTATTATTTCGTGCGTTATTTTTTATTTCAAAAACTATTTACCAGCTATACTTGGCAGTATATGACATCAGAAGCCGTTTTAATTGATGGACTTTAATCGGTGGGTTTTGAAGGTTCCATCATTTCCGGATGATGTTGCAATGGCCTTGATCGAGGAAGAGCTTGGTCAGCCTTGGTATAATATATATTCTGAACTTAGTCCTTCTCCAATTGCAGCTGGTAAGTCGTACTTCATTTAGTGTGATGGCATGTCTTTCCTTCTGCCTGGGTTTTTGTATTGTTCTGGACTCTTGTTTACACAATCAAATAAGATTGTCCTTTTAGTTTGTGAAGCATCTGGATCTCATGTATGATTTCAAATGATTATGCAGCGTCACTGGGACAAGTCTACAAAGGGAGACTGAAAGAAAATGGAGATCAAGTGGCCGTCAAAGTACAACGACCTTTTGTTCTTGAGACCGTCACGGTCGATCTTTTTATCATTCGAAAACTGGGTTTGTTCTTGCGAAAGTTTCCACAGGTATTGATATCTTCCCTTCCCTCTTATTGTTCAAGCTGGCTTGTGCCCAAAAATGATCCTCTGTTGTTTTCCCAGGTTTCTATTGATGTCGTTGGGTTGGTTGATGAGTGGGCTGCACGCTTTTTTGAAGAACTTGATTATATTAATGAAGGCGAAAATGGAACACTCTTTGCAGAAATGATGAAAGAGGACCTTCCTCAGGTACTTTTTAGTCGCATTTGACAACTATGCATAATATTTGAATACTTAGCATCACGTGTTACGTAACTTTTTGCTGTCAACTATTCTCTGAAAACATCATAATGTGTTTCAATCATCCAAGTCAACCTGACAGAATGTTCTAATAAAAGGACTTCTTAGTAGACAACAAAGGGAATCAGATTCAGTTATTTAATGTAGAAACTGAATGGTCAGGTATTTTGAACATGAGAATTAAGGTAGTCAATGCCGCAATTTCACATTTCCGTGGTTTCTTATTACATTATCGTCTGTTTAAAGGGGAAACCCTTGAACTTTCAGATCTTTATTGGTAATATAGAAAAGTTCTCTGATTTTATCCATCGATCAGTGACTTATGCCTGCCAGTCTATTGATTGGATCCAATTCTGGAAGAGATTTTATCTTTGATTTTACGGCAGATGTAATATATTTTCATTCACCAGAAACCTTGCTACGCTGTGTTGACAAGGATGTGTCTAATTCTACTGGCAAAGGCACATAGACTTAACACTGTTCTTGCTAAGAGAGCCTGTTGTACAATTGACGCCAAATGGAAAATAAATTAATATTTTATTTACAGAATCATTAAATAAGAAGAATAAAATCATGAAAGAATCATAGGAAACGTAAACTGTTACCTTTGCACTCTACCGGATGATGCTCTATTAAAAATGTTATTTTTATTCAGCACATTCTGACACTAGTTTCTGATACACCATAGGAGTAATGACATCCACTTTATGTTATATTTGGAGGCCCTCTCCACCTTATGTTTCTTCAATGAAACCCCGTAAAACTCTTATTTCCTGCCCCTTCTATTGACTTTTAGTCATCGTTATCATCTAGGTGTGCGTGTTGGAGGTTAACCTGTACGTCCTTACCCTAAACTTGTTACGACATTCTCACTATTTTCATCTGACACTTTCCCTGTCGGCTTGATACTGATATGGGTAAGTAGACTGAAATTCACTTGTTTCCAGGGCATGCCAATAGCCTTTTCGTTATATGCTTTGAGTTCGTATCTGTTACGATTAAAATCGGGGACTTCCATGATATTATGTGTTTTGTAACTTATTGGAATGTTTTTGTTTCAGGTTGTGGTCCCAAAGACGTACCACAAGTATACTTCGAGAAAGGTTCTTACCACCGAATGGATAGACGGTGAAAAGCTTTCACAAAGCACTGAGGGTGATGTTGGGCAATTGGTTAACGTTGGAGTCATATGCTACCTCAAGCAGGTCTTTTTGCCTCTTATTGCCTTTATTATTTTTATGAGTTCGTTCTTGTAGTTATTTGCTGAACATCCTTTCATCTTACCTGTTCAATATAACAATCTGAAATTAACACTGAATACTTCTATCTAAGAACTAGTTGAAAATTGCAGTACCCTGTAACCTTGCTTTCTTGCCAAACAATTTTCAGTTCTGGGATCCTCATCAAGCATTACACTAATGCATTTCCTTGTGATCATGATATCTATTTGTGTTTCTGAAGATTTTGTTTCCTGGTATTACAGCTTCTTGATACCGGTTTCTTCCATGCTGATCCACATCCAGGGAATATGATCCGCACCCCAGATGGGAAGTTGGCTATTCTTGACTTTGGTAATTTTACATTCCCTATGGCATTATTGTGAAGTTTTTTCTGTACACAATGCTCTGAGCATGATTTTTACTTTGAACTGACTGAATGCGATTTGGAATTTAATATTATTTTTTTACAGTAATACCATGCATTCTCATTGGAAAAAAAATACTTTATTGAGTATAGGTGAAACGCATATTCTGAAAGAAATTCTCATAAAATGTATAAAAGAAGATCCTCGTAACTGTATGACAGATGGAGAACCTGGAGGACGTTCAGTGGGCAGAGTAAGTTGCGGTGGGCAAGTGTCATTGGAGGGTCAGGAGGGCCAATTATGAGGGAGGAGTTGGCATACCTTGAAGAGAAAGGGAGTGGGATTTAGGGAATAATCAATCCAAAAACCAGTGGTCATGGTAGTCTCCTTTGATATATCCTGATAACCTACCAAATGGGGAAGATACAAGAGCTGGTAGGCGGGCCGAATGACATTTTGGTTAGAAAGGCGAACAACGAAGTGATAAATTTGTCTAATAATAGGGAACTGTAGAACTGAAACACCTTCCGTGTAACATTGATATATCAAATCCTTGAGGATGGACATTGGACAAAGTAGCGTAGAGATGGCGTGATTTGCACATTCTGTCGTGTGATCCTGGTTCACCTATGTAGCAGCGGGAGGAAATAGATTTGCCTTACCATAGCAAGGTTATATGGGAAAATTGAAGGCTCACAGCTCTTTACTGCCGAATGTAAGTCAGAAGAAGAGGGCAGTCCGTGAACGTGAATTTCTTGGGTCTCAGTGCGCGTATTTGGAAAAAACAGTAGAAATCATTGAGAGAGTGCTAATATTGATGACTAGAAAGGGCATGCGAAAGTTTTAGATATAATTCCCACAGACGAATCATGGATGCCAAATATGTGTGCATATGCCAGATCTTCATCTTTGAAAAAGGTAGCACCGACCGAAGGCCAGTAGTTTGAGCAATTGAAGTGGCAAGGGGAGTCCACTAGGGTTTATTTTGAAGTTTTCTTCGTTTCATTAGCATCCATGCTGATGGGTTGATGCGTGTTTTTTCAACTCATGATGTAGTTCATTAATTTTACTATGCATAATCATCTGCTCCTTACTTTTGATCGTTTAACAAATTGGGGTTGGTTTCTGTAGGCCTGGTTACCAAATTGACCGATGATCAGAAGTATGGAATGATTGAAGCAATTGCCCACCTCATTCATCGGGATTATCCTGCAATTGTTAAGGATTTTGTGAAGCTTGACTTCATCCCCGATGGGGTTAATCTAGATCCGATTCTGCCAGTCTTGGCAAAGGTGTTTGACCAGGCACTGGAAGGTGGAGGTGCAAAGAACATCAACTTCCAAGAGCTGGCATCCGATTTGGCCCAAATAACTTTCGATTATCCGTTCAGAATACCCCCCTATTTTGCTTTAATCATCAGAGCCATTGGGGTGCTGGAAGGCATAGCTCTGGTGGGAAATCCCGAATTCGCCATCGTTGATGAAGCATACCCATACATCGCACAGGTTAGCAGGAGTTGCTCATCTTCTTTCGAATCTTCTTCACAGATTACTGATGTCATGCTCCATAAATATGTACATGTATTTCACTTTTGTGCTCATGTCCACGGCGATGCCGCTGATTATCCATACTGTGGGTCGCAGAGATTTTTCTCTTGTATCATGTTCTTTTCAAACTGGTTGACCTTATTTCTCATGTATAATGTTATATCAGAGGCTCCTGACAGATGAGTCACCGAGGTTGAGAAACGCCCTGCGATACACCATATATGGAAAGTCTGGGGTTTTTGATGCCGAAAGATTCATCGATGTGATGCAAGCCTTCGAGAACTTCATAACTGCGGCCAAGAGCGGCGGAGGAGAGGAGCTCAACGGCGGCATGGCCAATCTCGGGATCTCTCAGAGCCCCACCTACTTGCTTCCCCCCGGCTTTCCATCGCTCTCATCCCAGCCCGAGACGCCGATCAAAACGAGGGCCGCCTTGTCGTTCCTCCTATCCGACAAGGGAAACTTCTTCCGCGAGTTCATCCTCGACGAGGTAAACTGCATGCGTCCTCTCGTGGTGGAGTTTTTCTTTCTAAACCTGCCGGCGTCGTCTTGACTCCTCGTCTGCAGATTGTGAAGGCGATCGATGCGTTGTCGAGAGATCAGTTGGTGCAGATTGCGGCAGCCTTGGGGATCAGGAACCCGTCGCCGGTTTTTTTTAGCATGGTCCCCGTGAGGACCCCGGCCCTGTTACCCACCATCACGGAGGAAGACAAGGTTATACTGAACAACGTAGAGAAGGTGGTCAAATTCTTGACTTCTGGGACCCCAAACTCGTCCCTCTCTCAGGTAGTTCTACACCCTCTCTCTCTCTCTCTCTCTCTAGATTGTGGTCGATTCATGGGCACAGAATTATATGGATCTCTTTCTAGTGATAGAATCACAACGTAGAAATCTCTGGCACTTTAGTCTACATGGTTCTTTCCTCTCTCTTGATTACCACCCATCCACGGGCAGATAATTTCTCTATATTTAGCATGGAACTCGGCATGGAAATCTCTGATATCTTGCATAGTTCATCTCTCTCTCTCTCTCTCTCTCTCTCTCTCTCTCTCTCTCTCTCTCTCTCACTAGAACACCACTGGGTCCATGGGTTGCTTAATTAATTCTACAGGTTTCAGTGGTAGAATCTATCTAAGCTTCGAAATCTCTAGACTCTCAAATTGTTGAACTTGGGCAGGACGTGAACGTGGTGTCGGTGATTCAAGAGCTACTCCCGGTCTTGCCGGGCATCTCCGCCCGGGTGCTCCCCGAGATCGTCAGCCGCCTGTCTTCCCGGGTGCTCGCCCGCCTCATCCGTGAAGCATTTTTGTAGTAGCTCAACCTCCTCCCCTTTCTTTCCTCCCCCGGCAATCTCAGCCAACAACAGCTGTGTACATAACCCCCCCGCCGCCACAAAATTCTCCGGTCAGCGATCAGTCCTCCCTTGTACATCAAAACCTTATGCCTCCAGCCATTCAGCGGAAAGGAGCTCAGATCAGCATGAGTCACAATGATTCAGGGAAAGAAGTTGACCATTTTCAATACATACAGCCAAGATGGTTAACCTTCTTCTTCGTCTCCAGCGCCCTAGGTGGGCTGGGCTATGTGGGAAGTCAACTCTCTGCCTATGTGTCTCCCACGTTGTAGTCAACGCTAAGCTCTCCTTGGTGGAGGGGAACAATGCTAAGCTCTCGTCTGCAAACGTCCATAGATGCATCCGGGCAATTTAGGGTTTCTCAGGCCCTGATCAGCTAGCTCCGATGTAAGGGGTCTGATGATCCGTTTGTCCCTATTGAACCGGAGGCCTCTCTCAGCCATCACAGCGGTGCGTCCACCCCATGGATCCAAGGGCGGCGTCCCCTTCTTCGCTGTGGGCCAGGAGGACCCTCTGAAGCGCCGCTTGTCCCTGGCTCTTGAGACTAAAACCCTACACCATCTCCGCTCACAGTCTGAGCACAGTATCGGCAAGAAATCCGCTCACAGAAGATGAGGCCAGTGAGCTCGGGAAAGCAATTTGAGCCCAAATGCTTTCAAAGGAAAATATTAGCGCCCACGAAGCAATGTCCGTCTCCTCTGGCTCAGATAATCGCTGTAAGAAGAGAAACCCGTCGACGGAGATGATTAGGGTTTCAGTATCGGGACCTCGAGGGTAGTGGGCTCTTCCGAGAACTGGTGAGGTGGACGCGGGCGACCTGCAGCGACGATATGTTTCATGCGGAGGAGGCACCGCTCTGATAACTCAGAGGCCTCTGGGTCAACAGGGACAGACGGATTATCCAGCCCCTTCCCTTCTAAGGGGTCTGCGTGTTCTTCTCCTGGTGGGAAAGAGGACAGAGGGGAAGGAGGGGCCGAATTAGGTTTCATGAGGGAGGCACCGCGCTCTGATGAGGCGCACCCCAACGGTCGAGTTCATAGACGTTGGGCTCGCCACACGTGCAAACACTTCCCAACGGATATGGATCGCACGTATATTTCATTCATACGTTTCAACTTTCACGGGAGAGTGCAAGGCAGAGTAGCTCAGATACAGGGAAAAAAATGTTTTCTGGAACGCTCGTAGCTGGTGCGCATCCAAATGGACCAGCCCAAGCGCTGGGTTGCGCTTTTCATCCTGGTCTGACGCGTGGCAGATGACGAGAAGATAGACTGCCAGAGGAGAAGGCGGCGGAAGAACTGCGGAGCGGCAGCTTCACTCTGCCACCCTCTCTCTTCCTGGAAGAAGAAGATCAGGAAGAGGTTGTAGGGTTTCTGGGGGGGTCATGCGGGGGAAATTCTGAAAGTGTGAGGAATTTCTCCAAGGCCGGGTCGACGGGGATATGATGCAGGGGTGCAGTCTCCAGTCGCGGGTGGTCTCGAGATGGAGGACCCCCTTCGTTGGTGTCTTCGACCCCTCCCCGTGCTCTCGAAGTTTGCCTGCGAGGACCTCGGGTTTAAACGGTGAGTGCCTTTCTGATCCATCTGAATCGGTCAATTGGCTCTTCTGATTTGTACATCTCTGTTGTCGCCGTGCTCGAGCTCCCCGAAGCTCGCGGGTTCAGCCCGATTAAGGGGGGAATTCCCGTTACTTTCTGCGGCAAGGATGGCGGGCGACGGTGGCATGAGACGGCTAGTGTTAATTCTACACGTTCGGGGCCGGCCATCTTTTAGAAGTAGAGTAATTTGCAGGACAAACTATGGATGTGTCCGCCCGACAATGTAGACGACGCATTGATACAAATCGCGTTGTAGGGCTCTAGCGGCGTAGCACAGGATATCCTGTGCCTGTTAGATTAATAGTGAAAGACGGGCATCTCAGGTTCGAGGGAATGCTCACTTTTAGTATTTTGGCGCTCACTGAAGTAGAAGAAGAAGAAGGAGGAGGTATGATTATGCAGAGAAGGTATGCCCAAGGGCTTTGAAACGCTGCCTGCTAGCTCCCTTGTCCTGTCCCTATCTTGTGCTGACCTCTTTGAAACAACTAGTGGTGCGTGGTTTCCTCATCAGGTTTGCTATGTAGTTCTTAGTGATTCATCGATCGAACAAAGGGATGATTTTGCATCCCATGAAAATAGGAAGCATTAAAAAGGTCTTGAACTGATTTAGTTTCTCAAGAAATAAAGTAAATGAAACTGTCCTGATTCAGTGTTTCCACTAGTTCTTTATTTCGGGGATAACTGCACGAAAAATGTGTATTGCCACACTTCATCTGGGCTAATTTTTCTATTGTATATTTGTCTACGCGAATGGTCGTTTCGGACCCCATGCCTCTTCATGGAAAGCTTCAATGGCCCTCCAATTTTGTTTTTACAACAACGATGCTGACCGTTTTCAAGGGAAAACGGATGATAAATGTTGAAAGTGGAAATCTGTGGAGAGAAAATATCCCTGTGCTATTTGAGTGACAGTAGCATTAACCACGAATTTATTGTGTCTTAGATTAAAGCTATGTTGAGTGTCAATTACCCCATAAGATGGTGGTAGAAAGCCAAAATTTGGAGAACTTTAGAACCATCACCCCATTAGATGTCTAACATCCAAGATAAATTATTTGCGATGTTTTTACTGGTGTGCTTCTTCTGGAAGAGTACCGTGGTATATAAATTACGCCATAAAAAACATGATTTTTTTTTTATGAAAATGATAGCAGTTAGTTGGTCCTATGGTTGATCATGTGGTCGAGGCCTGTTCGCAGGGGATTTGTTAAATTTGAAGAACTAAAGAAACGGCTGAAGAAACTTTTAGCTCAAGGACTGGCCATATAAACTAAAATTTTCATCAATGACAGGAACCACTAGCTAGAACATTTCCCTGTTTCGTTGGAAAGTGTAATTTTCACCTTAATCCAATTTTTTCAGAAATTTATCTATTTAATGCACTCCTAATGGCAGTTTATGCTTTTCTTCTGTCATTTTCTTGTTCAGATAACGTGTTTAACGAGGAATAAGATATTTTCCTTCTGGGTGATTTCCGTTTGCATGATTAACAATATTTCAAATTGAAATAACTAACCTTTTTCACATATCTTGATATAGAAATCGTTCCACCAACTAGCAGCTGCTTGATGTCTTTAGAATTGTAATTTGATTGAAGTGAAATTATACAAAAAAATTAAATTTTGATTATTTTCAGTAAATGACGTGCACATTGAGCGCATAATTTGATTTTTCCGGTCATGCTTGTTTAACAAAGAATTTGTTAAGGATTCATCTGTTTTTTCAACAGCCATTTTTCCATTTTCTATAAATTTTGAAAATCTTATTACATTCTCTGTCATATTCGTCTATCTTATTGCATTCTCTTTTAAAACCTTTTCTTTCAATTATGACTAAAAATTTCCTTCTATGTAGTGAGATATAGATTCATATCAAGGATGAACCCATTACGTAATAAAATTGTGGCTCAAGCTTCTAATATAAATATTGGAGCTGATGGTTTTGAAGAAAGTAGTGGGGATGATGAGAACAAGACACACCAGACTGGCTCAACGAATGGGACTCCCACTGATAGGTGAGTTCCAGATGCCAGGATCATCTTTATGGATGCTATCATCATTCTTATGTTGTATTATATGATCTGGAAGAGCCTGCACTTGAATTTCTCTTTCATGCCTCGTAGCCATAGTTTCTGCTCATCTTGTCAGAATGTTTCTTGAATCATAAAGCATAGAAGATTAGATTAGATGGGCTGTCCTCATCTTTCATGCCTCGTAGCCTTAATTTCTTCTCATCTTGTCAGAATGTTTCTTGAATCATGAAGCACAGAAGATTAGATTAGATGGGCTATCCTCATCTGCCTGTCTTTTAGGAAGTGATATCTACATCTGTATTGTGTTGATGATTTATTTGGGCTTGCGCATCTATATATATATATATATATATATATATATATATATAGATTAAATTATAGGAACTTGTTCAGAGTTGACATTTTCAGATGTATATATATATAGATTAAATTATATGAACTTGTTCAGAGTTGACATTTTCAGATGTATATATATATATAGATTAAATTATATGAACTTGTTCAGAGTTGACATTTTTATATCTATATATATAGATTAAATTATATGAACTTATTCAGCGTTGACATTTTCAGATGTAGCTCATTTTCTCCTTTTTCATTGCAGCGAAAATCCTCTTTCAAGAATTTCTTATCCAGTATCTGTGGCTGCTGTGCTACTTGGGTGTGCGCTTGCCTATTCGCTAATAGTTCTCTCAAAGGGAAATCCCTCAAAAATTATAGCAGCAGTTGCAAAGTCTGGTTTCACCGCAGCATTCACTTTAATATTCGTATCAGAAATTGGGGACAAGGTGAATGCATGTCCGATTTTTTTTATTATTATTTTTTTTCATTCCATTCTTGTGACAAGGATAATATTTTGGTTGCCAGACTTTATGTTAATTATTTTTCACTACATACAATCGTGTTTATTTAAAAAAAACACATCCATTTAAAACATTAAGTTCGTTCCTGTCATTGCAAAGCATTAAACAATTGATTTTGGGCCTGATTAGAACTACTAGACACTTTGGACGTAGTTCTTGAGCTGACTTCCCATCCCATTTCTCATGTCAACGGCTGATTTGTTGTCAACCCTGTCTTCTTTTTTCGTTTTTGTCATCAGGGCACCCAACTGTACAGGTGGCAGTAGTTGACCCATGACTGGATAATTAAGCAAAAAAAAAAAAAAAAACCTGTATTCCTTGTTCCTACTCGATTAGGTCTTATAATATCGACAACTTTGCATTTTTCTTGTATTTATGTCTTCATAGTTTCTGTTTAAACCTTACTGATATCCTTTAAGATTTATTTATTTTTCCTAGCTTTAAGTTCTTACCGCATTCCATTGTTTACCTCTTTTTTACATCTTACTAGTTGTTTTTCAGTAGCAAAATTAGACATTAATTCTCTAGAAACCCTAGTAATTATCATCAAACCAATTTTCATCTTTTTTTTCTCTTTTTTTTTTGTTTGAGAGAGACCTTGCTCTTGGTATAATTTCACCATGAAAAAAAAACAAGTCTAATTTTTGTTAAATATTGTAGTAATAATTTTCTGTATATTTCTTTCCATCAGCTTATAGCGATTTTTTTTTGCTATATTTACTTTTTTCCTGTCAACCTAGATTTCTCTGACCCTTTCCTCAACCCTGTCGATGCATTGCTGATGCCTAGCTATATTTGGAAGAGAAAAAAGTGTGTTGGAAATAGAGAAACGATCTCTGTCACGGAGGACAGGGAACAAACCTTCCTCCGCCCGGTCGCCGCCGTGAGGAGGACGATCTCGTCCTCCTCTAGCTTCTTGAACAACTTGTCGCTGGAATCATTACTAACGGTGGCAGCGAGCGGTTCCTCTTCCCGGGGGCCACCTCCATACTTCCGCTGCGCCACTCTGATGCCGCTGCCGCCACTGGTAATGATTCCGGCGCCAAGTTGTTTCGGTGTTGGTTCTGGCCGGCGGCGTCGCTTGTCTGGGGGAGCGTCGACGCCACCATCACTGGCATCTGGCGACAGACAGGTTTCAGGTTAGGGTTTCAAACCCCTCCTTGTCCGGCGAGGGTTTCTTCTTCCTCTGCCGAGTATCCTTGTTCGGCGAGAGTTTCTTACTCTGCCGAGTATCTTTGTCTGGCGAGGCCTTCGGCCTCTGCCGAGTGCCTTTCCTGCGAGGCATTCTGCCTCTGCTGAGTACCTTTGCGGCGAGTCATTCCTCCTCTGCCGAGTATCTTCGTCCGGCGAGCGTTTCTTCCTCTGCCGAGTATCCTTGTCCGGCGAGGGTTTCAGCCTCTGTCGAGTTTTCTTCCGGCGAGGCTTTCGCCACTGCCGAGTATCTTTCGCGCGAGTATCTTCCGCCCTATCTAATCATTTTTCAGGTATTGTCTCGGTCCAGCGTCGCCCTTGACCGGGGGGGAGGCTGCGTCCTCTGTCCTCGTACTCCGTCCTCCTCAGTCCGTCTCCCGCTGTTCTTGATCTGTTACATGTTTTCCCTAGTTTGGTGACCAAAGTTCTCCGGTCCACGGTGCTACAGTTCATGTTGTCTGGTGTTGTCTGCTCACCTCTGCCTTTTTCGGAATGCCCTTCACCATCTAGTTCGTCTGCGAGTTCATTCGTCTCAATCTCACTTGATCCATGGGAGGGTTGCTGGCCCTCGCCTCTCCTGAGAGCTGAGCCCTGTCATCACATCAATAGTCATATCTGGCCATGTCGGCAGTGCCTTTGCAGCAGAGCTCGGCACTATGCAGATCTCTGAGCAGATGGATACTCTCCACGTGCTATCATATCCATGGTGAGCTGTTCTTGGGGCTTGACAAGCATCAGAGGAGCCAAAGGTGTCGGCGAATCCACAACCTCAGTGGCGGTCATCTTTGGCTACCATCAAATGAAGAGTGGCTACTACAATGGATTTTTGCCATCACCAACGTAGTCAAGATGAACTTAGGAAATTCTAGGTCGTAAGACAGTTATGTAAAAGACTGAGGGTGTTTTGCGGAAATTGTGGAAGGTCACTTCCAATATAATGGGGGTTAGAGGTGAATGAATCTTGAGGCGGTTTCTGCCGTTCTCCCCTCTGTCCTCCGTGACAGAGGTTGTTTTCTTCCAATTTTAACAAAGTGCATACATGGATGCCTAAAGATTGACTTCTTACCTCCAAAGATAGAGGAATGTTGTAGCCCTGGAGATAAGATATGTCCCTGACCCTTTCCTGGAAAAACATCATGTTATAGATAGCCCAACAAACTCGCAAATGTTTGGTTGTGGAGGGTATATATATGAATCTTTCTTTAGAGGATGTCATGTTTGACCAGTTTGACCTTTTGATATTTTATGTTGACCTTCGTATCCGTGGATCCCAGAACTTTAATTTTTTTTGGATGATGACAAAGTTTCCAAACCAGATGCAATTTTCTGGAGCCCAATTTAATTTAGTCGCTCTAATTTTATGTTTGTCATGTTTCAACCTCAGAGTTTAGTGAAATCATTGGTGATATAGTTAGTATATTTGTGGTGTTGCAGACATTTTTCATCGCCGCATTACTCGCTATGCAATATGAGAAGGCATTGGTATGATATTTAGATTATGGTCCAATGTTCCTCATTTCTTATTCGTTTCAACTCATTTACTCAACTAGCTTTATCCTTGTTAACGTGTTCAGGTCTTATTGGGGTCAATGGGTGCTCTTGGACTCATGACTATCTTATCTGTAATTATTGGGCGAATATTTCAATCTGTTCCAGCACAGTTTCAAACAAGTAAGGCTTATAATGTCTCCCCTGACCGCTTTCAAGGATTACGAGTATCTGTTCTTCTGTTGTCTTCTTTTATTTCTGGTAACAGTTACCAATTAGTCAACGAGTATCTGTTCTTCTTTCGAATTCTTATTTCATGTAATTATATATCTTAATCGGAAAAACGTTTATAGCCTTTTGTATCATTTTCTCCACTGCCGTACAGAATCAATCTTCTAATGTTTTCCCTAACAGTCCCAAGTTAGAACGTCCTTACCTTCACCGTCACAGTACTCGGGATTCTCACTGCCCAATCTGATTTTGTGGAATGATTCCAATGCACTGATATGGATGATATGTATGTATCTTTGTGGGCTTGTGTATAATGTTCCCCACTGTTTGTATGTAACTGAAACCCGAATGATTGAACCCAGTTCAGCTGACCTTGGATTGGCCGATTTGGCTGGTCTAATTTTGTGCTTGATTGATGTCCAGATCGGATTGGGCTTGGTCTATCTGGCCATCCAAGCTTATCCCAGCCTGGATACCATGTTTCCAGTTCTAGCATTCAACTATCATTGTCGGTAAAGACTTCTTCGATGAAGCTTTCTGCATGAAAATGGTGCATTGATTCATACATATCCGCCATCCGATCTGATCGCAGTCGGCATACTGCGTGTATTATGTATCATCGTTGAGAAGGATTTGCCTTGGTAAGATGGTCCATGTTCTAGGAACAGTCTGCCCTCTGAATTCTGTCCTCAAACAAGGCTCTAGCTATGATCTTATTAGTGTCTATGCTGCTGATTGGCGAGCCCATGTTTGGGCTTGGACTGAAGAGAATCAGAAAAAAAAACATGGCATCGATCTCATCTGAAAGTCATTGACTGACGGTTTTCCCTGGTATTTATTCCCCATTTTTGGAAAAAAAAAGAATCATTTCACCCCAGTTCTGATGATTACAGCATATATTAATTCATAAATTCGGATCATATCCCCTCATATTCCTTTATAAAGTACCTCTTAATTGGCACAGCATATTGACGGCGGGTCGTCGATTACAGCATTGCCTATTGGAGAATATGCGGCAGTCGTTCTTCTTATATACTTTGGGTTGACTTCGATAAAGAACGCATGGGACCTTCCGCCTGCTGCTGCCAACAAGGAAAACGAGGGCCCAGAGCTCGGAGAGCTCGTCGAAGCTGAGGAGATTGTGAAGGAAAAGGTCTGCAATTCCAAGCCCCACTGTCAAGCATAATCATTGGAACATCTATCGCTAGTTCTACGCGAGTGTTTCTAATTTTGGTACTAATTCCACTGCTGCACTCAGGTTGCGAAGAAGCTCACAAGCCCATTTGAGATCATCTCAAAATCTTTTAGCCTCGTATTCTTCGCAGTGAGCCTCCTTCTAACCGAGATCCATATCCTTTCTCCTCTTCATGTCCCCTTCTTACAACATCCTGTGTGAAGAACTGACGAGGATCACCATTACCAGGAATGGGGGGATCGCTCGATGCTGGCCACAATCGCCCTTGGTGCTGCCCAGGTACCCATCCATCCTTGCCCTCCTGTCCACACACATCCTCTCTCTCTCTCTCTCTCTCTCTCTCTCTCTATCTGTCTGTGTGCCTCCTGGTGAACACATGGCATGTGGTAATTGGCCATCCCATTGCAGTCTCCGTGGGGAGTAGCCACCGGCGCCATTGCAGGGCATCTTGTGGCGACCTCCTTTGCGGTCTTGGGAGGAGCATTTCTGGCGAAGTACATCTCTGAAAAGCTGGTGAGGACCCCTCCTGCCCATTTTTACCCATCTTCCCCACATGTTCCCCTTCTCTCAATCGATCTTCATTACCAGGTCGGCTACCTGGGGGGAGTCCTCTTCCTCATCTTCGCCGTGGCCACACTCCTGGGAGTGTTCTGACCGAGCCCAAGAGTCCACATCGAAGTCAACCTCATCGTCCCCGGAAGTCAAGGTCCAGACATCTGGGTCATTGACTTGCCCAGCAGAAGAATTCTTTTTGCTGCATTTCCCCTCGTGTATTTTGGTTCATGGCACTTCCCAACTTATTCTGGAATTCATTCTGAGTATCCTGGCCCAGCCCGTGTCGCGACTTGAGTTCGCATTGCCAGAATGCATTCCAGGGAACTCATACCCCGTCATCTGCCCCCCAAGTGATGTGCGGTCTGACTGTTAAATCACTCCGCGGTTCATACGGGGAGAGAGAGAGAGAGGGAGAGATGGGTGGCCTATTTGCGAATAACACCCTGTAAGTTATGGGAATATAAAATAATATCCATTATTGAGTCTTTTTCATGGTTAGGGATTATGTGGACATCAACCGGAGCAGTGGAGGTCTGAACGGGATCTAACTGGGCCTAGGCTCCGAACAGTTTGTGTCTGACCCGGGCGCCAAATGGCCCAGTGGGCATATGTGTAAATATAAAATTATTTCGGCCGCCATCATCACCACCACTGGGAGGCTATCCACGACATTCGTGCTTACCCTACGGACTAATCTCAAAATAGAATAATTACAAAATCGCCCTCCGTCAGATGCCTGGTTGTGGGTATGCATGATTTTTGAAGGGGTTTTGTGTAAAACTGCGACGGAGAGAATGCTACAGGGGGAAGGGGAGGGAGAAACTGATTCGGGAGGGGGCGCCGCCACAGATGGTGTACACGTCATTGATCCTCTGGGCCCCATCTCCTCTCTCCTTCACCTCAACCGTCGTCTTCTTCTTCCTCTTCCTCTTCCTCTTTTTCTTGCAGACCCCATTATCCAGATGGTAGAGAGAGAGATCTGTGAACGGTCGCAATAAATTCGGAATCAGATCCATCCTCTCCTCCGCCGCTTGCCCTCTATCTACAACGCTCGTGCTCTGAATCTGTTGCTTTATTCGCTCCGGGTGGAAGAGCGGCCATGAATTGCTGCGTTCCCGAGTTCTTCCTGGAGGACGACACCGTCTTCCCCCCGTCCTTTGTCCGAAACCTCGCCGACTCGTCAGTGACTGCATCTGCCCGAATAGTCTATCTATCTATCTGTCCATCTCTTTTGCGATTCTGTTGTGACTGATTCGATCGTTTGGGATGGATTCCTCTGGTGATTCAGGTCGGGGGGGGATTTCGTGGAGCTGCTATGGGACAACGGACCAGTTTACCGGCGGACATCGCAGGAGGAACTCCGCAACCGCAGCGGGGTTTTGGCTTCTTCTGTGTCGGCATCGGCGGGGGCGGAGCCGTTTCTGGAGGACGAGATGGCTTCCTGGCTGGACTATCCACTTGGCGACGGCGAAGACCGCGGAACCGTCGGCTATACCGATCGATTTGACCTCCCTCTGAAGCCTCAGACGACTGCGGCTGTGGTTCCTTGGACGGACGGAGATGGCTGGAGGACGCCAGGGAAGCCACCGGAGATGCAGGAGAAGCTCCTGCGACCACTTGGATCGGGGGAATCGGCCATCGTGGACTCGAGCGTGACTTCGGACCCGACGATGGTTGGCCCGCCGGAGCCTAGGGCTTCCTCCGGCCGTGAAAAGGGGGAAACGGGTACTTGCGAGCAGGTGCTGACGTCATCATCGGGAGTGATCTGTGAGGCGGAAGCAGCCGATCAGGCGGCACCGAATCCGGAAGCCCGGAAGCGGAAGGCGGCAGACCCTGACGACTCAGATTCCCTCAGTGAGGTCAGCTCTCTCTCTCTCTCTCTCTCTCTCTCTCTCATACACATGGGCTTATAAATTGCAAGAACATAAGAGTAGCTCTGAAATCTTAGGTAAACATGGAACTGTGAAGAACCCAACTGGATCCGAAAATTCTCAGGGTATAAACCTATCAGGGAAAAGAAAATCTTATATTGACAATGTTCAATTGCGGTTAGAACGACCAAATAGATCAGCTATTGAACGAAGCAGAACAGGTTGCGAATTCTGTTAACTTGGATCGTCATCAAGAACTCTTTTTGGATTATTAGGCTTTGTGATTTTGCAATATCTCACTTGGATCTAATCATCTGCCGCATACCATAAAATCTCAGAGTTAGTAGAAATATCTCTACATGAATCATTTTGCGAGGTAATGTAGAATAGCATAGACTGCTAATTTTAAGTAGAGCACACAGGGACGGGATCCCTCTGCAGCAGCGTGGAAGAATCAAATCTGCATTTCTCAGCAAAATATAAGTTTCATATTGGATATGGTAACAATCCTTATTATTGTCCAATCAATTAATACCATCCGTTTGTAGTAGGAACTAATAGTGCATCAACTGTGGCATTTTCTTCCCTGAATGCCTGTTGTTCTATCTCACGGCTCTTTTCTCCGCCCTTCTCAGTCGATCGACAAGCAAGATGACACCAGGAGATCAGCACCGAAGAGGAGGCCGCGTGCTGCAGAGGTCCACAACCTCTCTGAGAGGGTCAGTGGCTGTTAAGCTCCTCTCTTCCTCCCTCTGAACCTCGACCTGGCCAGGCTGTGAGTGTCCTTATGGCGGGTTCTTCTCTTCTTGCAGAGGCGGAGGGACAGGATCAATGAGAAGATGAAGGCCTTGCAGGAGCTCATTCCCCGGTGCAACAAGGTCACCACTCCTCCGTCTCCAACAGCATCCTTACCCTCGTTTTCCCCCATCCTTGTGATTTTAAAAAAATATATCCGAGCCCATTGTTTCTCAAAAATTTTCAGTCAGACAAGGCGTCGATGTTGGACGACGCAATCCGGTACTTGAAGTCTCTCCAGACGCAAGTTCAGGTGTGTGTAATGAGCAAAATCTGTCCCACATCCACCCTGAAATCGCCGTCAATGATCCTAGTCCTTTCAGACCAAATTGTTGACCAAAAATGTCACATTTTCCTTCTTCTCCTTCTTCTTTCTTATTAAAGTAGCTAATTTCTTGGATCTTGGTTTCAGATGATGTCCATGAACTGCAACATGTTCCCGATGATGTTCCCTGGGGCCCATCAGTTTGTGCCGGCGCAAATGGGAATGGCGCTGCCGATGGGGATGAACATGGGCTTGGGAATGGGGGCTCTGGGTGGCCCCATGCCGCCATTTCTCCCAGTCCTGCCGGGCTCTCGCATGGCCCCAGCCAGTGCGGCCCCTCTGAGCCAGGGGTCGCCGCCCATGCAGCCGTTCCAGGCCTTCTTTGGCCATGTGGCTCCCCAGGCTGGCCAAGCCAACCCAACTCTGCTTCGCCCGGCTACACCCAATTTGGCAAATCACATTGATCCTCCTCGTCAGAAGCACGCCGGGTTTCCTCATTTGGAAGGCCATCCTCAGGTGAGGGGAAGGGGGTGGTGCTTATGTTTGTTTATCTATCCCCATTTCCTTGGTCTTATCCACACTTGGGAAGAAGATCACGGGGATCAAGATGCTTGGGACGTTGACTGTTTGGGTTTTGTCAACGCCCCGGACCAAGAGGTGTGGTGCTTATGTTTCTCTATCTATCCCCATTTCTACGGGGTCTTACCCACGCTTGTGAAGGTCACTGGCATCAAGATGCATGGGCGTTGACTTTATGGATTTGTCAACGCCCCAACCATCGCTACCTGCGTGGGATATCTGTTTTTTCTTTTTTGTTTTTTGGAAATCCTCAGGTGCAGAAAATAAGATCAAAGGACCCGTCCTCGTTCGATTTCTTTTCCTGATTGTTTTGACTCATTCTCTTCTTCTTCTTCTTCTTCTTCTTCTTCTTTCTCTACAGAATTCCGAGCAAGGAGCTGGAAGCAGAGGTGTCGGCATGGCTGAGAAGCCCAGATGTGGTAATGCCCGAGGTCAAGAGCCAGGACCATGGTGATCATCTGAGGTTTCAGGGTTAGTGTTCTGACTGGACTCTGTCTCTTTGCAGTTTGACATGTTGCGCCTGCGGAATTCGACAGGATTTTGTGGAGTAAGAAGTTACATTAGCTAGTAGCGGAGTTCAACTCAAGGATGTGTAATGTCCGGGCTAACCTCTAACCAATGTCAGACCTCTGCTCCATTTCCATAATTGTACTCTGTCTAGCAAATAATCGGAAGCTCAGTGAGGACTAAAGTCAACAGCTTGAGTTCAAAGTGTGGGCCTCTATTCTTGACCAGTGCTATCGCCCTCAGTTGAACTCGTTACATTTGTGGTCAATTTTGTTGACTAATTTTTAATGGCAACGAATCTTATGGGCCTTGATAGCATTCCATGGTCAATTCTGTTGACTTTTAAATACAACGAACCTTGTTCCTCTCTCTCCCTCTCTCTCTATCTAGCACCTCACAGCCTAAACCATGGAAGTAATGAAATGGAAAAAATTGGAGTCGTTAATATTAATGGAGCTCACCAGAAGAAGCACCATCACCTGCTACACGGAATCAAGCTGGCTGCCGCCGGCACGAAATGCACCGAAGCCTTTACATGGAGTCCTCCATGGGGAAGTGATTATGAGAAGAAGGCGGGGAGCCTGCAGGGCGCCCTTCTCTCTCCTTTGACTCGATCAGCATCATCACCACTTGCCGCATCGGGGGCCTGTCAAATGGGGACATACTGGTACATAACAAGGCAATTTTCATGACCGAGATCATGTGGTCGACTGTAGCCTTGTCTCCGATATCTAACCGACGATCGAGCACCGTCGAATCCAACGAGTTTGATCTAATGTAGTTCCTTGTCCACGTCACCAGGTCGCCGCCTTGCTCCAAGGGCTGCACAGGTCTCCTGCCGGTCAGCAACTCCAGGAGGACCACTCCGTAGCTGTAAATGTCGCACTTTTCGTTGACCTTCATGGTGTATGCGTACTCTGTCATGGAGAGGGAAGGAAGAAGATCAACGTTGACTTCAAAATCAGGTGAGAACATCAATAGAAACGAAGACTCTCTGTTTTCTGGGAAACAAGGAAACAAGAACAGAGACATCATAGATCCGGCTTCCTGATCTTAGCTAGGGTTTTTTGCAGAGATCTTCAGCCTCTCCAGTGCTAAGATCTTGAGGGTCGACGGAAGGGAGAGCTTCACGCTAAGATCCAGTGAGAACCCAAAGAACAAACTAAAAAAGGCAGGGTTTTTTGGTTCAGGGGGGCCTACCCATATGGCGTAGTAATGGCGATGTTTCTGTAAAACAGCTACCCGTAGCTGGTACCCGCAGAGGCAAGAGAGAGAGAGAGAGAGAGAGAGAGAGAGAGAGAGAGGGGCTCACCAGGTGCAATGTACCCGTAGGATCCGGCGACAGCGGACATGGACTTGGAGTGGGGCATGTCGATGACCTTGGCCAGGCCGAAATCCCCGACGTGGGCCTCAAAATTATCGTCGAGCAGGATGTTGTTGGATTTAATGTCTCGATGGATGATGTGGGGCTTGCAGTCATGGTGCAGGTAGGAAAGACCCTCTGCAGCCCCGAGGGCGATGGTGAAGCGGGTCCCCCAGTCGAGGGCCGTGGCGGCGCTCTGCTGCTGCTGCTCATCGCCATGGAGCAGCTCCCCCAGGCTTCCCCTGGACATGTACTCGTAGAGGAGCAGGTTGGCCCCCCGGCGGTAGCAGAAGCCGTAAAGCTTGACTATGTTCCTGTGCCTGATCTTCCCCAAGGTCAAGATCTCCGCCCTGAAGCTGTTGTCCATGGTGTTCCCCTCTGTGTGCGAAGACAGCCTCTTCACGGCCACGGTCTGGCCGGAGCTCATCACCGCCCTGTAAACTGTCCCGCAGGCTCCTTTTCCGATCACGAAGCCTTCGTCGAAGTTGTTCGTAGCCTTGATCACGTCCTGGAAAGTGAAGCCCTTGTCCGGGGAGATTTGCAGGCCGGAGGACGAGGACGAGGACAAGGACGGCTGCTTCTCCTGCACAGGGGCCACCGTCTCCACCGGCCGCTTCATGAAGTAGATGACGACGACGATGAGAACCAGGGAGACCCCGCCGACGGCGGCCGAAGCCAGCGCCACGATCCTCCCCGTCCGCGTCCTGAACCCCTCCAGGGACACCGGACTGGATGCGGCGGTGAAGGCGCCGCAGGGGCCGAGGGCGGCGACGCCGCACAGGCCCTTGTTTCCCAGGAAGGAGCTCAAGGTCATGTTCTGGAACAGAGAGAGCGGCGGGAGCGGCCCAGACAGATCGTTGTAAGAGACGTTCAGCTCGCGCAGACTGGAGAGGCCCCCAAATGAAGAGGGGATCACGCCGGAGAGATGGTTGTTGTTGAGCAGCAGACACTCCAGCATATCGAGGTTCCCGAGCTGGGGTGGAATCGGGCCGGAGAGATTGTTGTAGCTGAGGTTCAGCGCGATCTGCAAGCTGGAGATCCCGCCGAGTTCTCCGGGTATCTCCCCGCTGAATCTGTTGCCCCCCATCTGCAGCGCCATCACCCGAGGGAGGTTTCCAAGAATGGCGGGGATCGCCCCAGATAGCTGGTTATCGGCGACGTGGAGCAGCTCCAGCTGCACAAGGCTGCCCAGCGCCTCCGGCAGGCCGCCGGTGAAGCGGTTCTGGCTGATATCCAGCCGCTGGAGCTTCTTGCAGTTGACTAAATCCGGGGGAACTCCGCCGAGGAACTCGTTGGAGGAGATGTTGAAGATCACCAGCTGAGAGAGACGGCCGATCTCCCTGGGCAGCTCGGAGGTGAAGAAGTTGCTGTGGAGATCGAGCCTCTGCAGCGCCGTGCAGTTGCCGATCTGCGGCGGAAGAGAACCGCTGAACTTGTTCCGGTCCAGCTCGATGGTCGTCAAGTTGACCAGCTTGCACAGGTCTGAGGGGAAGCTCCCCGTGAGACTGTTGTTGCCCAGGCGGAGCTGAACCATGGAGACGCAGTCAGTGATGCTGCTGGGGATATTCCCGGTGATCCTGTTCGAGCCCAGATTCAGCAGGATGAGGTTAGAGTGCTGGCAGAGGTTCCTGGGGATCTGACCCTCGAGATTGTTCTCCGAGAAGTCAACCACCCAGAGTGGACTATGCGCCCCGAGATCCTGGGGAATACCACCGGTCAAGTTGTTGCTGAAGAGCTGCAGCTGGGCCAACTTGGGCATATACTGCAATTCGAGGGGGATCGGTCCCGTGAGGCCATTGATGGACAGATCCAGCTTGGTCAAATTCTTCAGGCTGCACAGCTCGGGGGGGATACCCCCCGTCAACTTGTTCTGGAACAGGTACAACAACTGCAATCCCTTGATCTTGCCCAGCTCGACGGGGATCCCACCGGTCAAGAAATTCTCCGAGAAATCGATCTCCCTGGCTGAGGTGAGATTGCCAATCTCCTTCGGGATCGACCCATTCAGCCCATTCCGATAAAGGTACAGATTTTGCAGAGATCCAAGACGCCCAATCTCCACAGGAATCTTCCCCATCAGGTTGTTCTGATACAGAGCGATGGTCTTGAGGTTGACGCAGTTCCCAAGCTCCTTCGGGATGGTCCCCGACAGCAAGTTATTCCTAAGGACCAGTTCTGTCAGATTTCCGAGCCTCCCAAGCTCGACGGGGATCTCGCCCACCAGCCGGTTCTCTGCCAGGCCGAGAACCTGCAAACTCCAGCACCCACCAATCTCCGGCGGAATGATGCCGGAGATCATGTTCTGCCCCGCACGGAAGGTGGCCAAGTTCTTTAGCCTCCCGATGGACGGCGGCAGCGGGCCGGCGATGTTGTTGGTGTAGGCGACCAGCTCCAGCAGGGAGGAGATGTTCCCGATCTCCTCTGGAAGAACACCCGATATCTTGTTCTCGCAGATATTGAGCCTCTCCAAGGAGGGCAGACTCCCCAGCTCCGGTGGGATATCTCCCTGAAGCTTGTTGTTGTTCAGGTAGAGGGAGACCAGCCTCGAGCAGGTTCCGATCTCCTTCGGGATACCGCCAGACAGAGAATTGGAGGACAAATCGAGAAAGGACAGGTGGGTCAACCCGCATATTCCTGGATAGAGAGTTCCAGAGAGATTCTTGGATCCCAGGTTAAGGCCTGTAACGACGATTTGATTCTGGTTGCCGATCTCTGTGCATCCCACGCCAGTCCACGCGCAGGGAGTCTCATCTTTAGGGTCCCAGTTAACAAGGTGGCCGAGATCGTCCCTGAGCTTGCTCTTCACCTCCAAGAGGAGCTTTCCTTCTGTGTTCAGAGCTCTGCATTGACAGGCCATGGAGAGGACCACGGCAACAGCGACTACACAGCAGTAGGCCCTGAAGAAACCATGGGATCCCCCGAATCTCGAACCCTTCGGCATATTCACCGCCGGCGGCTGATCGGGATCAAGTATAAAGAGAGGGAGAGAGAGAGAGAGAGAGAGGTTGACACAGATCGATCGCCCGGCTTTATCGAAAGTGCGATTGAATCTGTTATCTAGCTGAGTTCCTCGTGATTTGCAGAAGAAAGGAAATCATCAGGTTCACATCAAGTTGAGCTACCGAGATATGTCGATTGACCTTGCTCCTACGATCGATATCAGGCGGACGCGTCCTCTCCCACCGAGGCAAGAAACTCTGGCCAGAGAGAAACAACCGAAGGAGAATCCACAGCTTCTGAAATCCACAACGTCGACATACCTCCGCGGCTCAGAGAGCTCCAGAGCCCCATTAATGGCGGTGACCTGGGAGGACGAGGGAACCCATCAGAAAATTTCCCACACGAGAGACGAGCAGTAGATCAGGTGCTTCCGAGCCGGACAACACAGCACCTCGCTTCACGCCAAGAACCAGGCCTCCACCACTCCTAGAGAGGGAGGAGCGGAGGAAACGCAGTTCATCCCTCAGCTTCCACCGAAATCCCACCCACTGGATCCTCTCGGACCACCGGAGAAAGGCGAGGTCTCGAGATTTCCACCCTCGTCGCGCTTCCCCATCATCCAGAGAGTCTAAAGCATCAAATCCAACTTTCCCGCGAGGCAAACAACAGGTCCACACATCAACAACCCAGTCGCCACCGCAGGCGGGACCAGTCGACGGAGACGGAAATCCACAAGCCCCACAGCTCTTCCAGCAGGACAACGTAGACAAAGGAGAAGCACAACCCGGCAGCCTCAGGGTTCGCAAATCGGGCCTCCCTCTCCTCGGCAGAAGCCAGTGCTCCGCAGCCGCCGGCAGTCCCAGGGATTAAAGGTTCGCCACTTTTTCTCCCGCTCGTCGAAACACGGAAAAACGGCTCTTCTTGACTGGCAGACGAGGGAAGGGGGGTTGATCCAGTCGCCCCCCTATACCGCAGTTCTTCCGAGAAATGGATCCGAGTGAACCACCGCTATTCACCTCCTCGGAGGGAGATTAAGGGGAGAAAAAAATTGGGGGTGGGTAAGAAAATGAGACAGACGGAAGAACAGAAGTTCTGCAAATGGCCGGCAGTCACGCTTTCGAGTTTCGACTTTCGGGTCCTTTCTCTTTCTGTCGTTATCAGCACAGCAGCCCGCGCCCTCCTCCTTCCCTTCTCCGTTCCCCTGAATTCTTTATTTGGAACTCCGGGATCTCCCCCACTTCCATTTACTCCGCCCTTTCCGACGCCGCACTGCCGCCGAGAGCGGAGCCCCGCCTCCGGCGGCCAACTGTCAGTGGCCAGTACTCACGGCATCTCCCTAGATGCCGAAGTGGCGACGAATTAATTCAGGAGCTGAGCGAGTGAGGACCGCTCTGAGCTGACCCAGTGCAGCGTCCCTCCGCAGCATTTTAGCGAGAGCAGAACCTGGAAGGCCCGTGAAGACGAAGGGGGGCGGTACCTGTCGTTATCCCCCCCCCCGTCCGAGAGAGACGAAATCAGGACCGTTAAAACCGATTAGAGAGAGAGCTGTCGGATGGATGGGGGAGGGGTGGCCGGGCCAGAAACCACGCGGACAAGGCGAAGTGAAGGAACGTGCCGTTGCCCGGACGTCGCCGCCGCCATCAAAGGCCTCGGCCGGCGCCGGGATTTCACACTGATCGCGGGGCCTCCCTGGAGGACCCGTCGCCGTTGCCCTGGCCGGAAGGGAAAACAAGATGAACTTGAAGCTGTCTCAGCTGACCGAGAGCCACCCGTACGAAAACTCTCACCTGGCAAGTCAACATCGCCGAGAGATACCTACGATCTCGAAGCAGCCCCTTGTTTCCTCCACCGCCGACTCCAAAGATCAGATTTTTTTCGGTGTTCTCAACGTCTCCGCTACTTCCCAACTTTTTTCATTAAAAAAACCATTCATTTCCGCTGAAGAACGAGACACGTGGACTCATCTTCGGGATTTACGTAAAACCCTTATCGCATTAGGTACAGGTGGAAGATACGAGAGATGATCGACGACTGACGTCACATGATCCGATAATGATGAGAGAGGAGAGAGGAGAGAGAGGGTAAAAGAGAGTGGCATTTCGACAGGCCAGGTATTCATGAAGAGGAGGAAGGCCGGCTTGCTTTACGCCCGTGCTCGAGCGGGCCCGGAAGCCCACCGAGCCCTGCCTTATCCGAAGGGGGGGGGGAGGGAGTGCAACGGCAGGCCGCACCTTGCGTCACTCCACGTGCGATGCCAGTTCCACGCGCCTGTCCATTACGACACCCCGCACCACCGCCTTGAGCCGTGGCGTGTTGTCGGAGACGGGCCGTATCGGCACGTGGCCCAAAGTTTCCCCAGCACCGCCCATGTCGGCCAACAATTAGCATCCCTTTTTTTTTCGTATTTAATCGTCATTTCCATGCCCGAGAATAGCAACGTATAATTAATAAATTAAGTGAATTGAGTAGTGGCCCGTCGACTATAATGAAAATGACTGAGAAAGGCCACCTTAACTGAGAGGACAAGTTTAATATAATAACTATTTTTCAGGCGATTTTGTAAAAAAAAAAAACGATTCGTGTTTTTCAATATATGAAAACTAAAAAAATCATCTTAAAATTAGAAACGATCGAACGGTCTGATGGATGCTTGTAGAAATGGGCCTTGGTGAGAGGTTTAAAGGGCCCATTAATTGGATGCCTGTAAAAAGGTGGCCTGGAAATGGGCCGTAGTGAATGGTCCGTCAGCCGCACTACTTGGACACCGGTAAAAGGAGTGCCAGAAAGACTCGCTGTGGGCCGCTTCCTTAATCACATACGGCCCAAAATAAAAATCCCGACCTTCTCGAGAGACCCGATAGTTCAACTTTTTATTGTATTTTCTAAGGCTCTTAATTCTCGAGATTATAGGTAGATATGAGGATTTTTCAGAATTTCAAATCAGATTGATCGTCTCCTACATCTTGGCCAAGTTGATTCCAGTGGATGAATTAGGATTCGCCGCAAGGTAGCATGGTATCAACTCCAGCAATTTAAAATATCATGCGATCTCTTCTTCTTATGGGTAAGAGGAGAATCTCTGCATCCAAGTTGAGTAGAGGCCAAAAAAATTTGAGTGAAATGAGAAAACAAATATTGCAGATGAGAGAAGAATCATAATTCGTCATAAGGTAACATGCTATGAACTCCAATAATTTCAAACATCATGCAAAATCTTCATACTAATAAGGTGCAAATTTCTCCATCCAAGCTTTGTATAGGCCAAAATCTATTTCAATTGACAAAGAAAAGAAAGATTGTCAGCACGGGAAGAATCAGGTTTCCTCAAGAGGTCACAAGCAATGAACTCTAATAATTTCAAATGATGTTCAATCTCTTTCTACAAAGTAAGAGGTGGATCTCCACATCCACTAGACTAAGGAAATAAATTCCACCAGACAAAGAAAAGAAAATTCAAGATTTTTCACTAGATAATGTGCTATGAACTCAAACAATTTAAAATGTCAAACATATAAATCTTCTTATTAGTAAAGTGTGAATATCTTCATCTAGGTTAAGTACAATCCATATCTAGAATAGTGAACGAAGAGAATAAAAATTATAGGTGGATGAAGAATCAAAATTCACTAAGAGGTAACATCTAATGCACTCCAACAATTTTGAACATCCCTCAATCTCTAGTTATCAATATGACAGGAGTCTCTAAATCTAAATTATGCATAAGATGTGACACATGACAATTACCTATTCTAGTCATAATGGGTCAAACAAATGAATTGAGCTCAGCCCAATCAGATTTGGGTCACAAAGCCAACCACAAATCTAGACGTTGATAGATCCATCCAAACTTTGACCAGTTTCTTTACTACTAGCGAACCCTTTTCACCTTGTGGGCCCATCATCTTATTTAGCCCATGTTCTATTTTCCATGTTAGGCTTTTATATAAGGTTTGGATCATTGCCTCATAAGAACATGACTTGAATTTCAAAGAATAAAGAAGCTTCCCATTACATTCATCTCTCTTCCTCTAAGAGTTTATTGTGAAGACCTTGTTGTTGTCTGGGTAGGGATGATTGAGAGGATCCCGTTGTTCCTAATCAAAGATTTGTCATTTCACCACAATTCATCTCTACTTTTTTCTCTATAACTAATCATTATGATTCAATGTCATTGCCATTATGCTATTGTGACAGTCTTAGAACCTTTTGATCAACTTAAGGTAGAGAGGCCAAATGAGACATATGTGGACAGAGACAAGCATGCATCTCACATGTGCAGTGGGTGTATAGGCCTCGCAAGAATAGGCGATAAAATGGGAGATACTCAAACATAGCAAGTTTCCCAAATCTGTAATAACTCTTTTGGATCTGCATGAGATTTGAGACAAATGGAGGAAGGTGTGTGTATGAAGAATGAGGTGAAGTGAGGAAGGTCAAAATATAGAAGGTTCTTCATACCTCTCCCTTTATATAAGGGGGAGAACTCCACCCTCTAAAGGACATAATGGAAGGAAAGGAAGACGGGGTACATGAGAGAGAGTTTTAGAGAGATAAAGAGTGTGGATCTTGTATGCAAGAGAAAGGAAGCTTTGAAGTAAGCTTAGGGAGTGATTGGAGGGAGCTGAGGTGGAAGTATGAGGAGTGAACTAAGTGAGAGCTGAAAGTCAAGAAGTGAGAAGAGCTATCATCTTGGGCTCTTCTCTTCCCCTTTTTGAACACCTTTCTTGAGATAATAAGAATACATCAGTGTTCTAATATCATAATAGGGTATTTGAGATTTATATAAGTGATATGAATGTTACTCAATGTTGACAAAGTAATAGTTACAACAGTTGATGTTGGTCTCAAGTGAGAGAAAGATGAACTTGAATAACTCACTTGTGACACCTATTTACTATTGGATCTGAAGGATCTAATGTTAAGATAAATAGAGAATGATAAAACATAATGAAAATAGACTGAAACTATACATGAATCTATGAAAGCACAATACGAGGATGC